TTTGTTTGATAAGGAAGAGGAGTGTTTCTCTAGCAGTAGGATTTTTTTCTGGTAATCAAAGTGGTTGTTTAGGAGATTGCTCAATTTGAATTTAAAAGTTTTTGACAAGCTATTTAAAGAGGATGTATCAGCATTTGAAAGATTCAAGAAGTTTGAAATTGAGTTCAAGTCAATTTGATTTTCATCTACAGTATCTGAGATATCATCAGTGTTATCGTTATCGTTATCGTTATCATTATCATTATCGTTATCGTTATTGTTGTAATGATTATTATTATTATTATTAGTGTTCTCGGTAATGATATCAGTATTTTGGTGCATGCTATTGATGTTATTGGTATTATTAATATTATTAATATTAGTGATTAAATTAGAAGCATTATTATTGAGAGTGAGTTGGTCATTTGAAGAAAACATCATTGAAATAGACAATGAACCAACCAATTGACAAAAGTCGAGCAAAATCAAGCAAAATAAAACAAAATTAAACCAACAGTTAGTTATGAATAGCGATTAATGAAGAAAATGTTCCTAATCACTTTCTGGAAACTTACCTAAGAAAAAAGATATCAATATATTAAGCATTGAAAAGAAAAATGAAAGGAGAAACAAAAAATAAATGATAAGTCACGTGCAAAGATCTATGCAATTTCATGTTACGTAATGATTACACAATCAGTCACGCTATAAAACATGTGACTGAGACATATGACGAGTTTCATCCCGATTGAGCGGGGCTAGCGTGCATGTGAAGGGCGGTGAGTCGTGTGCAGCGTGCGCGCGGGTCGATCCCAGGGCAGTCCAGGTAGGGCAGGGGAGAGACGGAGGAAGGAGCAGGAACAAAGCCCCGTGTGAGTACCCACACTACCAGAAATACTGCTTGTGTAGGGGTGGAGCATGTTGAGACAGCTAGCACAGAGAGGCGCAGCAGGGACAGTCCGGACGCCGCGCGGCACAGGAGGATGCTGAGCGCGGGCAGCGCACGCGGGCCCGCTGGGAGTGCGCCGCTACACCGTCAGCGCCGCCGGGCGCGGAGAGCCGCGTGGGCCTACGGAAACGAGGCCGCGCGCGCTGGCTGACGGAGCGGATGGGAGCAAACACAAAATGTGCGCAGAGAGGAGCAGGTGATCTGGCGGATATTATTTAGGCAGGAATATTATGAGTGAGCTGGCGGATATTCCGCCCCCGGTGGAGGTGGGAGGGCCAACGTGGGAGTGCAGAGTGCGTACTATTCAATATAGCAAGCACATACAGTCACACAGCACCACCACAGCACAACCACAGATACAATAAAGACATTGCTGCCTCGACATGAGGATGGGTGTTGAAGGATATAGTCGAAGGATAGAGGCATAGATGCAGACATATCTATCGAGGTGGTTGGTGGCTTTCCATCTTGTGGTAACAATGATGAAACTATTCAGCGAATCAAGACACCACTGTCGATAATCCTCAAACTCGAATGATCCATAAACGATCTATTAATACTATATTCGTGATCCATTCATGCTTTTTTATTTCCCATCTGATCCTATCTTGATTCGACCTTACTGATAGATAAGTGCTTGTAAATTCATAACTATGACTATTAATACTTGCTGCTAAATAAATCAATCATTTTTTTGATGTTATTGGATTGGTAAATGTTGTAAAACTTGTTTTAAAACATGTTGAAACAACTTGCTACTAAACTTATTGAAGTTTAGCAGCAAGTTTTGATTCAATCGAAATAGTAACAGTGATAGTAATAGTGATAGTAATAATCATAATCATAATCATAATCATAATCATAATCATAATAATAATTATTATTATTTAACAATAATCGATAACTTTTAATCTAAAATTTCATTTCATTTCATTTATTTCGGTTTTAAATCGAATTTAGCGTTCTATTAATGACAATTTTGTAAATGGAGAGGATTTGTGGATTTAGAATTTATGAATCATTTAATGGAAACATAAAGGGATAAGTAATCGTAGTTAATTATAATTAGTTATGATTAATTATTATGATTAATTATGATTACTTGTAATTAATTATTTGATATAAAATGATTCAAGCGATTTTAAACTACCAATTTCAATTAATCATGATTTCCCATGATTATGATTATTGAATTAGCAATATTTTCTATCGACAATCTTAAATATAACTTTAAATGTGTTATTAAATCATTCGAATTTCAAAAATTGTCTCATTAAATTAAAATTTTAGCAGATAAAATCTAATTTACCTTATTCAAATTATTGATTTTATTCAATTTGTTCTCCTTATTTAGCAAAAGTTCTATTTTTTTGATAAACAAGCAAAAAAGCAGATTCTGTGACAATTTGCACAAATCCAATGGTTTTTTCATTTTGAAACAAACCAGTCTTCAGCAAAGGTTATTTTGCATGACGTAGATAAAAAAGTGTTTTTTTTCTTCTACTTTTTTTGCTTCTTCTTTTTCCTTTGCTTCTTCTTCCTCTTTTTCCTCTTCCTCTTCTCCTTCTCCTTATCTCAACACTCAACCCCCCGTGTGTTTGCGCCGGCCCGCTTTGGCACACGCGTTCCGCTGTCCTCCGCACATCGGACACGGATGAGGCCCGCGGAGAGCTCACCCGCCTTTGCAGAAACGGGACACGCAGCTTTTGGATTAAGTTCAGAGTTGATGTACACACAAACCTTATTCAAACCCTAATTGGTGTTCTGCTTGTTTGTTGAAGCTTAAACATCTTTAGCTTGGCGCTTTTTATTTCATTCTACCAAAAACCAAAAAAAACCATTTTCAGAAAACTTAAATCTGTAAAAGTTTATTTGAAACCTTAATGCAAACCTTATTCAGATGAGTTTTTTTTCATTTTTCCCAAAAATTTAAAGAAAAACACCAAAAAACAAAAAACAACACCAAAAAACGTTAAAGAAAACAACACCAAAATCCTTTTTTTTTTCTTTAATCGAGTAATGTAATGGAATTAACCAATGAATAGCGAATGAATAGCCAATTAATAGTCAATTAATGGCCGATTAATGGCCAATTATTATCGTAATTATCACCATCTGTTGTAATTACTCTTTCTATTTAAATATATCTATTTTAAATTTGAGAAAACTGTCTTCTTTTCGTTCTTTTTTCATCCATTTTTATCCATTTTGATCGTTTTAAATCCATTTTCACATAATTCTGTTATTAAATTTTATTAAATTTTATTAAATTTTATTAAATTTTATTAAATTTTGTAGCGAATTTTAAATACAAATTTTATTTTATTATTTTATTATTCTACCATTTGATTACTTGAATCTTTTCCTGAAAATTTTGCAAAAAACTAAAACTAAAATCTTAATCATTTTATATCAATTATTTAATTATTTATTTAATTATTTACTTACTTACTTACTTACTTAATTATTTACCTATTTAATTATTTTCCTTTTCGTTTCAATTTAGAAACTTTCCTGATAGAATTCTTTTTTTTAATATAAAAAGACTCACTCATCTTCTTTTATCTCTTCTCTCTCTGGTATCTTTTACACTTTATCATCATTTCTTTACTCTGCCATCTCGTTCAGTCCCTCTGCTTTATTAACTCTGATCATCCAAAAGTTAACTTCTTCCTCCCTTCTAAAGCAAATCATCCCAGATTAATCCTAAGATCTTCCTCCATCTCTTTCACCTACTCTATTCTACCCACTCAATTCTGCTTTCTCGCAATATCCAGCTCAATTTGTTTTATTTGTTTGAAATCTAAACTTTTGTGACTAACCTAGTTTTCCAGCGACACTCTCAAAATTGAACTACTACATTACATTAGTTGAAAGCATTCTCACTTTCTCACCTTCTCACCTCCTCGTCTTCTCACTTTCTCACTCTACTTCGTACTCTACTCTCTCCTGGAACGTCATCAAGTTTCATCTCAATCTTAAGGCTAATTCCAATTGTTTCTTCTACCCAGAAAGCAACAGAGAACCACCCAACAACCACCTCTCTGCAATCCCAACGACTGTTCCAGCAGCTGCTTCCTCTGAACTCCTCCAACTTGCTTATTTCACTGCTCTAGAGAACCAATTTCTCCTTCTCTTTTCCTCATAGAAAAGAATCCGTATAAAAGATCCTCATATTCCCCGTCTTTTCACTTTCTCTTTTTTCTCTTCTCTTCTCTTCTCATCCTTCTCATCCTTCTCGTCCTTCTCGTCCTCCTTCTTCTCGTCCTCCTTCTTCTCGTCCTCCTTCTCCCTCATCTTCTCTGGCCCCTGCGTCGTTATCTCGTCTCCTCTTCTGCTGCTGCACTCTCGCCTTCGCTGGCCCCTTTACCACTCCCTCTCACGTCCTCTCGTCGCTTTGCCTCCGGTAGCTCCAAGTACCATCATGTCCTCCAATCCTACCTATGGTGTTTATGATTCCTCAAATCCCAACGCTTCCCAGTCAAATCTCACCACTGACCCCCAGCTTCAAAACCAACCTCAGTCCCAACATGCAACCACCTCTCTAAAGTCCCCAATTCCTGCAAACTTGCCCCTTTCCTCCATCAACCAGGTGGGCGTCGCCACCTCGCTGCTCTCAAACCTGAACACTACCAACCAGCAACAGTCAAATGCCTACTACCCCTATGGCAGATACCCTAATTACTACGAGTACACAAACTATATGCCCTACCAACAAAACCAATCCCAATTGAACTCCTCCCAGTTGCAAAACTCCCTGCAGCTCACCCCCCAGCAACAGCAACAACAGCAACAGCTCTCCAACCAACAGCAACAACAACTCAACACCCAACAACAACAGTCCTACCACGACCAGACGCATTCCTTGAAATCAGACAAACTCTCCTCTCCAAACTCCTCAATTGATTCCTCAAAGTCCCATTCCAAAAAATCCTCAAATCTAACCAGCAAAGCTCTCGTCACCCAAACTCCCCAACCTCACCAACTCACCTACTCAACCTACGGCAACCAACTAATTGCTCCAAGCTGGCAACTACCCTTTAGACCAAACCCTCAACCCTTCATCCCCCAAAAACCAAGATTGACCACAACCTACTGGGAAGACGAAAACACAATCTGCTACCAAGTCGAATGTCGCAACGTTACTGTCTCCAGAAGAGGCGATAACGACTTTATCAATGGTACAAAACTACTCAACGTAACCGGAATGACTAGAGGCAGAAGAGATGGTATATTAAAAACTGAAAAAACAAGATTTGTCATTAAAATCGGTGCAATGAACTTGAAAGGTGTCTGGATCCCCTATGACAGAGCCTTTGAATTGGCCAGGAACGAAGGTATAGCTGATTTATTATACCCATTGTTTGTCACTGACATCAAGGGCTTCTACACCAAATCAAATGCTCATGTCGGTCAACAGCCTCCCCAATATTGGGCTGCTCCTCCTTTGCATGACCCTTTCCTTCAAGCTCAACAACCTTTACCCACCACTACCACCTCTTCCTCAGATTCTCAAGATCCTACCACCCAAAATCAACAAGGCCAGTCTCAAACTCCTCAATATCCTTCTTTTCAACAATTCTACCCAAACTATCCTCCTTACCAATACAATTACCCAAATACTGTTCAAAATCAATTCATGTACTACGGTAATACCAGTACAAATACAAACTCAAATACGAATACTGCCACCAATACTTACCAAGCACAATTAGCCTCCCAACAGCAACAACAACAACAACAGCAACAACAACAACAACAGCAACAGCAACAGCAACAACAACAGAAAAAAAAATAAGTACAAAAAATTCAGTAATTTTAAATTAAGCTTAAATAAAATTATTTGTTAATCATTTAAATCAAAAAAACCCAAAAAAAATAAAAATAAAAAAAAAATAAAAAAACCATTTAGTTTTATTTAATTTGCTTATCTTGGTCAAATTGTTTTTTTTTCTCTGTAATTTTTCAAAATTGTAATATATTCAATATATTAGTTTTTTAGTATTAGTATCTCTCTCTTCTCTCTCTCTCTTAATCTTATTTATTTTAATCTGTTTTTGTTCTCTTTCTGTTTCTCTTTCATTTCTTAATATTTAGTTTTCTTTATTATAATTAAATAGTCTTTGTTTCCCTATTTTCCCTATGATCTATGTTCCTCTATTTATCTACCTATCTACTTATTTATATATATACACTATTTCGTAACCTTTGAGAATCTGATGGGTGCTATAATATCTTTATTTATGTTCTTTATAACCTATTTAGTTTCGTTTTGTCTTATCTTTTACATTTTTCCCTATAAAATCTATATATCTACTTGACATGAACCACATCTTGGAATATCCCTCGAAAATAAAATAGAAAAGCACTCAATATATGTTTTCTCCATTGAATACTCTCGACTCTTCGTAGGGATAAAAGCAAAGTGAGAACACTCCCCAAAGAACATATTCACACGATACTCCTACTGACGCTGCATTTCTTCATCTCATCCCTCTCCATGTAAATGTAAATGTAAATGTAAATGTAAATGTAAATGTAAATGTAAATGTAAATGTAAATGTATCCAAATCATAATCTGTGTAGTATATATCTGACAGAACAGGCTTCCCTATGTATTAGTATAGCCAATGCGAGCATCTTCAACGCTGTCTGGTTTCGCACCCACTGGAGCTTTGAACCATTTTTTTTTTCCTTCCTTTATTCGAAACATGCTGCTTCTGATGCCACAAATAAAAATTGGCAAATAGCTCCAGCATTGGAGAGAGAAGCAGATTCAGCTGGGCTTTTTTGAACAGGACGTGCGACGTTTGGCAACGATAATCTGGCTCCAGAAACTGACAATGTAATTGGGGATTTCTCTCATTGCTTGTGTTATTTCGTGCAATTTTTTTCCATATATCAAAGGCTTCGATTGGGCAGTATTGTAAATTGCTCTAATACTGCAAATATAATCAACAGCTGCACCAGAAAATACAAGATTATTTGCCATCACACACACACACGTAAAATATATAAGTGGTGGTTGAATATGAGATAGTATAACTGAAATGTGATTTTTACACCTTATTCCAGCTGAATTTTAAATTTTATTTCTTTATTTTAATATTCATTAAGCTGCCTTAATTATGTTTTAAAATCAATTACATAAACCCACCAGCAATCTTAAAAGCCAAATCAAAAGAAAAATTTTAATTCTAAACACTTGGATTGACATAAAATTTGTTACATCCATAGCAAGCACATAAAATTTGTTTATTCTTGCAACAAACTACAGAGTTTCAAGAAAATTCATTTTGGTTTTGGCTTTGATCAATAATTGAAATATCAAACAGAAAAGAAACAAATCAAAGTAAAAAAAATAAAAATAAAAATAAAAGAGAAACAGAAAAAAGGCACAAGCAAAAAAAGTGAAGGTGAAAGTGAAAGCAAAATTAAAAGTAAAGGCGAAAATAAAATTAGTCCATGTAATAAGTAAGATGCGTTTTTTTGTTTTTTTTGGAGTATTTACGAGATTTTTCTAGTGGGATTTTGACTTCTTGTTTATCAATCTTTTTTTTTATGAGTTGTTTTAAAAGAAAATTAAACGACATAAAGTATAATCACTAAATTGATTTTAGTAACGAATATTATTCCCAAAACCGATAGTAAAAGAATAGTTTGAAAAAATGAAGTTGGAAAGCAGTGGTTAGTGGGTTAAATTTTATAAAACAACTGGTATAAGTTTATCTGGGAGATGTTGAAAACAGAAATAACAAGCCAGATTAGTGCTCAAGAAGGTAGATTAGTACTTGGTATATGGAAAATCAATACTTGAGCAACACTCGAGATGATAAATTGAATTGAAGAAAATAAAGGCAAAGGCAGTAATACAATTTAATTTAATTTAATTTAATTTAATTTGCACTAATCTATACTAGTTTGGCAAATATCTTGGTGTAGAATTTATGGTAAAGGTTTGGCAAAAGGGATGGATAAGATGGAAGGTACAATAGTGGATATACGTATCGATACACTTTTGCACTTTGATTGTCAGATAGCAGAGAAATTGATACATGAAGATATTCACCTTTAGTTTGATTCTGGTACACAACTGTTGCTTGAGCTGTTGACCTAAACATAAAGCATATTTGGGTAGAGGCAGAAATAGGCCCAAGCAAATTACAGTCGAGTAAGTCCAAGTAGATTTGACAAATTAATTTTCATTGTTTTATTGTTTTAATGGTGACATGGAATCTGTAGGAATTTGTACAACTAGGAGGAATCTTCTTACAGGATTTGCTTCATATCTTGCTTTCCAGTAAGTTAAGCAGCTTTGAAGGTTTTTCAACGAGCTCAATGAGCTTTTATTCTGGTAAGGCGACCAAAAGATCGCAGGACAATATTGCTTGGAAAGAACTTGATAATTGATATTGTAATACGAGTTTTCCTGATCATCAGATCTGTGATTGTGAGTATCAGCATTTGGGAATTAAGGAAAATAGAATTGGGCTGCTGATTCTCAATTACAGAAACATTCCTCCAAAGCCTGCTACAGTCTGTTTCTCTGAAGCTGCTAGACGAAAAGCACTTCCCCTACACTTTAGCTCTACATATTCTTACAATCTGGCGAAAATAATGTTTTGGCTCTTCAGTATCATCGTAACATTTAACATTGGAAATGGGAATCAGATTTTGGACTCCAGAGCTATCTGGAGACAGGAATTGGGATCCAAAGTAAAGTCTGGGATGATCTGAATGGGTTTGAATGGATCTGAACAAATCTGAACAACTCCCATGAAACTGCAAAACTATTATCTGGCCAAAAAACTATTAAGACTGAGTATGACTATGGTCTTTTATTTTGATTTTTTGGACGATGTTTGATTTTTTTTATTATTTTGCTCAAATTCAAACCTCAAAATCAAAAAGTTTAATTTGAAATTTCTTTTTGCAAAGTTTCAAAAATCCTAAAGAATTCTAAAAGATTCTGAAAAGTCTTAAAATTTTGTAAAACACTGCAAAAAATTCTCAATTTTGTTTCATTTATCTCTTTTTAGAAGTTGTTAGCAAAACAAATAGCTCTTTTTGATAATAATAATTATTTACTGCTGAATAACATAAATTCATCAAGAATTTAACGATAAAATGGCAAGTGAACAAAACAACAAAGCGATTTATTACAAACAACAGCGAAAAAGATACCAACAAAAGACCAAAACACAAATAGATTAAAAAACAAAAAACAGAAACAAAAAAACAAAATTTAAATGTTTGTTTAAGGTTCAAACCCAAGTTCGGTTTTAGTTAATGATTTCATATCATATTTAGAATAATGGACTTATTTATTTTCGCTTTTCGAATTATCGTTTGCAATTGAATAAAAAAAAACTAAACCAAATAATATTTGCTTTTTTAGCACTCTCTTAGAAGACTCTTCGTACCATATTAGTGCTTGCTGGGTTGAGCGTGATTATCAGCAGGAAAATCACAAAGTATTTGGTTGTCCCGAAGTTTAAACTATGCCCGACTTGAAATGTTGCTTCGAAATTCAGATGATTAAAGCCCATTTAGCATTTATGATTCATGATCCAACACTCAAATCCCCAAACCACCCACGATTGCTTGCTGCGAGTGGGCGAGGCAGCGTTGCTCTGTTTTGCTGCTCCATGAAAGACTGAGCGAGTTGTTCAGCAAATTGTTGCACAAATTCAAAGAATCAAAGAGGCTTCTTCAAGGACTTCTTTAAGACTCCTTCAGAGACAGCAAAGAGCAGCTTGTATTGTTTGTGTGTTTTCGAAATCTGGATTAAGGATCCACTGGTCTAGAGGTTACGACGTCTCGTTCACACCGAGAAGGTCCCGAGTTCGAACCTCGGGTGGATCATTGTTTTTGCCTTTTTGTCGCATTTCTCCAGATCCAGAAAATGGAGCACAATCACCACCACTGTCTCTTCGTTTCGTCAATTCGTGATATTAATTATATACAGAACCGCTTTAGAGCGCTCAATATAATTAAACAAAGAAGTAAATAGAAGAAGTGAATTTAATCCATTCAGATACCTGGAATCAAAATTAAATAAATAACAACACAAAAACGCAAATACACAAAAACACAAATCAAAATAAATAAAAACAAAAAAACAACTAAAGGATCAAAAAAAATTAGCGTAGCAAAATATATTGTAAAAAAGATTAAACTGTTTTTCCTTCAAGAGTTAACATTAAAAAAAATAAAAAAAATAAAAATACCATTCAAAATTGTATTCAACGCCTCTTATGAAATAAATTAGACAATTTTTTAGTGACTCCAATTTGCTCACTCTTCGGAGCAGGTCCTGCTGTTGCTGCATTGCTGCTATTACTGAGTATCCTCTGTTTCCCAAATTTACCACCACTCTTATTTGATGAATATTCATATTTATGCGTGTATATTATCTTTTCATTTCTTGTAGGAACATTAGAATTAGCATTAGCATTAGCATTTACTGTTGAATTTGAGTTGATGTTTATGTTGACATTTGAAGTAGAATTAGCATTGAAATTAGAACCCCTATCAGAATTATTTTTAACATCAATATCGGACTTACCGCTGTTGGTTATATTAGCATTCAAATTGTAATTGAAATCATTGTGGTGATGATCATTGTGACGTCTGTGATGAGAAATATTATTAGTGGGAGTTTTCATAGTTGAATTAAACTCATTTCTAGCATCAGCACTATTATTACTATTACTATTACTATTACTATTATTATTATTATTATTATTATTACTATTACCATAGTTCTTCTTATCAAAGTTATTATTATTATTATTTTGAATATTAGAATTAGAAGCTGGATTTTTATACTTGTTCAAAATCATTATATTATCAAGAGTTTCTAAATTATTGAGATTCTTGCTTTTTGTTGGATTAAGAGTTCTGCTAATACTATCATTGGCATTATTATTATTATTATGATTATTATTGTTATTGTTATTACTACTGTCCAACTTATTATTACTAATAGTTTTATTAAGATTGTAATATGATGGTTTGGAATTCAAAAATTCAGTTTGATTTGAATAATTGATATTTTCTAAATTGCTTCTCGAATTATTCCCATTACGCTCAGATGCTTCCAAAGTGTTGATCGAGACTGCCCTGTTAACTGAATACAATGATGCATTGTATGAAGAATGTGTAGATGATACAAATGAAGATACATCTAAATTCGGATTCTTAGACTCTGATGAAAATATTGTAGCAGCATCATCGTTATCAACTTTATTATTATTATTATTATTATTATTATTATTATTATTATTATTATTATTATTATTATTATTATTATTATTATTATTATTATTATTATTATTATTANTATTATTATTATTATTATTATTATTATTATTATTATTATTATTATTATTATTATTATTATTATTATTATTATTATTATTATTATTATTATTATTAGTAGTAGTAGTAGTAGTAGTAGTAGTAGTATTAGTATTGTTGTTGTTGCTGTTATTACTATTATTATTATTAACATTGCTATTGTTTCTATTTATATTACCATTGTCAAGAGTGTTTGAAATATTAGGATAATTCCTATTATAAATATTCGACGCAAGCTTAGATCCACCCAAACTAGGATTATTACCAGAACTGGTATTCATATTTCCCAAAACATTCTGATTCGTATATTTAATTCTATTACCATCGACTGTCGACCTCATATCAAAACATGGTTCATCCACAGAATGACTATACTCAGATGATGCACTTGTCATATTTGTATTTGTATTTGTAGTATCAATAGTACTCGTAGTATTAATTGTACCTGTTGTTGAAATATTCGAATATTTTGGTGTCAAGTATTCTCCAATTGAAGAAATAGCATTCCTTGACATACTCTTGTCCGAATTTAACGAATTTAAATCACTATCAACTCTATTTTTATGATAAAATTGTCTTTGTCCAATACTACCAACTGGACCAGATGTTCTCTTCGATCTTGGATGGTATGACAGTATTCCACTATTAGTGCTAGCATTACTAGCAGAAGTGTGTGTTGATGACCGAAAATTAGCCTTCTTTTTTTCTGTTTTATGCCTTTCAAACCTATCCAACTGTCTTTGAATTTTCTCTTGTTCCAGTTTAGCTGCTTCATTTTTGCGTCGAACTTTCTCTAACCTTTGTTGTTCCAACTTTTCCTCTTTCAATTTTTTTTTGAATTCTTCTTGCTTTTTCATTGCTTCTTTTTTCGCTTCTTCTTCCTTAGCGATCTCCTCTCGTAAAACATCTTCAACTTCAACTTTGACTTTGTTAAAACGTTTAGCTAGATCTAAAATATTCATACTTCTAACCATTAATCTAACATCACACCCCAAACATCCCGTTTCATAAATATATTGCAACAGAAAAAATGATGGAGCTGGTGAATTACTTGATGCCAAATTTTCCAATGTAACTGTAGCTGCTGATCCATTACCAATCACAGGATATAATTCAGCTTCTCTAAAATAATCACTGCTTTTAGAAAAAACGCTCTGCTTCCCAGAAAATATTGATCCACATCTGAATTTTGTCTCAATTTCTGTATTATAAATATCATCAGCTAATCCCAATCCGATTTCAAAATCGTCTGAATCACTAGATGAAATGTCATCGTCAGTGCATAAAGAATTATCGTTTTGTTTAAGATTATATGGATGATTTTCCAAGTATTTCTTATCCTCAACAATTGGGTCTTGTGGATTTAATTTTTCCAGATTGTCATCATCAACATCCTCATCATCTTTACTGATTATGCTATCACTATCTGAATTTAAATATGAATTACGTGGATCCATTGATTTGCTATCACCTAGTTTTTTTTTAAGAGAAATTGTACTTGCAGTGGACAAATGGCTAGCTCTTTGTTTGAGTTCAGATCTTTTCCTACTTTCTCTTCTTTTGCTACTCATTTTTTTCAATAACATCATATCAAAATCTTCTTCAGTTTCAGCAAGTGTGGGCTCAAAAAATTCATTCAAACTTTCATATCTTTTGCCAAAAATCTCAAAATATTTATCTGACAATACCTTACTGTATTTTTTAATATAACTTTCTTTTCTGCCAATTATAACATATAAAATTTCAGAAATTAGATCGTATAATAATGGCAATTCATAGAATTTAGCAATCATTAATAAATCCAAAGTGTTGGTCAATAGCCACTTAGGATTGACTTGTCCTGTAAAAAAATATTCTGCAAAGCTATAAACCGAGCTTGTTGAAAACGGTAAGTATAGTGATCTTGGAATTAATAATGGCTCTAAACAAAGCTCAGAGTTTTGATTTAAATTTGAAAGATGTCCTAGTAACATTGTCCTATTGACATTGTCTTGATTATAATCAACTTCTGTGATCTTGTTTGAGCTTAAATTGTCAATAAAACTGGAAGCCCTGGAAGAATCATCATAGCTATATGGTTTATGTAAACGGTCACTAGAGGCATTGCTTTCTCGCTTATTCATGGCAACAGGGCCAACTTTTTCCAATTCACTTAACAAAGACATCTTCTGATTTTGATATTCCAACTGTTCTCTTTGTAATTCTGAGGGAACTGGCATTGGAATGGTTGGTTCGTTTGTCTTTGGCGGTATTATGAATTTTGGATGAGATTTTGCACTTTTGCTTTCTGGAGTATCAGATGTTTGATTATTTGAAAGATTTTGATGTTCAGAATTATTTTTTGTGGGATTTGACAGTGATCCATAATCACTAATAAAGATGTTTGGTGATTGAACAGATTTATTTGTGTTAGTAATGTTAGTATAGGTAGAAGAAGAGTTGGAGGTTGATTTGTAAAGGCCAATTAATTTTTGCTGTTGAGTATAAGAAGTTGAGTCCTCATTGCTTTCGACTTGAATACTGTCTGCACTTTTGTCTGCAGTTGCATCAGTTTCCCTTATACGCTTATCTTCCTGTGATTGTAATAGAGCGACAGCCCTTGAATAACTTCTGGCTAATATAGTGTCAAATGTTCTTCCCCATCTTTTTCTTAGAATATATAATGGAATTGGTATTGTATCACCATCAGCGGAAACAAATTGAAAGTCTGAAATGGAGAGACAAAATCTTGTAAATGCGTTTCTACCCAAAGTAATTGCAACGGGAGGGAAAATAGATCTTAATGAAGTCAAATTGCTTATGGGAGCAGCATAGTGAGCATAAGAAGCGAAGTTTGATTGATTTTTAATGCTGGAAATGTTTGATCTAATTGGGGCATAGCTTAAATAGTTTCTGGGTTGGGTATATGTTTCATTATTGTAGTTTGAGGCAAACAAAGGATTAATTGAGCTAGATTCATTTGAAGCCATTTTTAAGAAATTTTCAGTTTCTTTAATAGTTAGAATACTGGCAATTGGTAAATTTACAACAACAATGGAATCAAAATACTGAACAGATGGAGATTCGCCAATACGTTTTCTTGACCCAAGTAATACAATTTTATGATGGGATTGCCACACAAATCCTTTAAAGAAAGAATGAGGAGTGCCATCACCGCCAATATTTAATTCGGACCAGGTTGAATTGGGTTTATTAAAGATGAAGATCTTTGGTTGAACGTCACCATTAGATAGAGAAAACCCGATAATTGCGATGTTGGCTCCAAACAGCTCACCTACTGGAAACATCAAGTTATTGGGGATTATGTTTTTGGACTGTTCATTCAAACATAATCTTTTTGCCTTTGAGTTTTGTTTCAATTGGTAGTATATCAAGGGATTTGAAGGTGTGGTGTTGTCATTTTCCTCTTGGTCGACATAGAATAGTAAAGAATCATCCAAGTATAAATCTGATTGAAAAGTTGTATTGGTATAATGATCAGCGGTCAGCTGGATGGAGCGATTAATTTTGTTTTTATTGATACTTTTATCTTTATTGTTATTATCGGATGAAGAGAGTTTTAGATAGTGGGAAGTTGAGGGAATGATGAAGTTTCTTTCCTGAATGCAAGAAAAGGGAATATTTTCGTTATCATTATTGTTGTAATTATTTGATGGAAACCAAAAAGAACGATCCAATTGTAGAGGAGAGGCGTTTAAAGAAGAGGCAATTGAATAGGCGCTCGAGACATTGGGAGATTCTTTTGTTAGCCAACATTTTTTGGACAAATCGAAGATTAGAATGTTGTTAATTTTTTGATCATTGATGCTATTGCCGCCAGCTATAAGAAGAGCGTCGATTCTTTGTTGGTTTTGACTTTGGTTTTGGTTTTGGTTTTGGGATTCGAGATAGTTTTTAATGTTTTTCATTGGAATAGTGGTTTTGTTATTCAAATAAGCATTGGGGTTGTCTATTAGAGATTTGAAGCAATTGAGATCGTTTACAAGACACATTTGGTGGTTGAATCTTTTGGTGAAGTTTGGATCGTTAATGTTGGAAGAAGAGGAGTCAGAAAGACAAAACCAGTTTAAATTAATCAAGTCGAATTCCCATAAATCATTGATTGGAACCAATTTTTTTAGAAAGTCGTCGAATATTAAACCGCCATATAGGTATATTTTTGAATTGAAGCAACAGATTGAGTGGAATAGTCTTGGTTTTGGTTTTATTATGATTTTTTTTTTGAATTTATTGAAAAATTTATTATTATTGATATTTTTATTGAATTTGTTAATTGGGGTATGAGTGCTGTTGTTGTTGTTGTTATCGTCGATTGATGAATCGTCTTCGCCTAGTAGTTTGATTCTTTGCCATTTTCTTTTGATTATATTTAGATAGAATAGTTCATCAGAGATATAGTTATTTAGGGTTTTGTTGTTGTAGTTGTAGTTGTAGTTATTGATTAGAATATTTTCAATTTCAGATATTTTGATGTCATATAGATCGTTCAAAGGAATGGTTAAACCACCATGGAGAAAGATATTTGAGCGATAAAGAAAGGTTGAGGCACCAGTTCTGACTTGTAATAGCTTTCTTGGATCAATAGGTGTGTTTTCATCGATAGAAGGTAGTTCAAGTGGATAAGATAAAGAGGGACTTAAGATTAAAGGAGGCATTATAGAGAGATATAGATATAGCTGGTTGAGCGAAACGAGTTTGGTTCTTTTTTTTTGTTTTAAATTTTCAGTTTGTTTTAAGGGGAAAAAAAGTTTTGGTTTCTTTGGTTAAATAGAGATTGAGAATAAGAAAAGGATGTTAATTTTCAGATATAAAAAATAGGTTGGGTTTTTGTTTTTTCTGTTATTATTAATTTGAAACCAGCTGATTATTCATTATTGAGTTGAAATTTGGAATTGAATGGGAAAGCTGTCAATAATGTGTGGAAAGTGAAGGGGATAATTAGGGATTAATTAAAGTGCAATTAATTAATTACCAGTAGTTTGAGTAAAAGTGGTATGAATTGTGGGAAACAAAAAAATGAGAGAAAAAAAAAGAGATTTTGGACAATGATTGATTGTTCTTTTAATATAAGTAATTGCAATTTAAAAATAAAGTAAAATTAGAAAAATCAGGAAGGAATTCACAAAACTTTTTTTTCCTTTAGAAAAAACACAACAAACTCAAATACAGAAGGAAAGAAAGGAAAGAAAGGAAAAAACAAACAACAATTTGACTAAACCAAGATCAAATGGAAAAAAAAAGGTTGCTCCTTAAATAATATAAATTGAATAAGGCAGCTTCTATTCTGGTTTAAGCTCGTTTTTATAAAAATTCTGGTGAATAAACTTTTCTAGAATTATAGAACAAAAAAAGTATTGAGACAATAGTTGGAAAGAGAGCAAATTGCTAAGAAAATAAGAAACGAGCAAATGGAGTGAACAGAACCTTGAACCTTGAACTTTGAACTTGAAACTGAGCTTGAAATGGAATCTGAAATGAAACTTGGAGCTGAAATGGCAACTGTGAGCTGATCACTGGGCCAGGCAGCAAGCGACCCAGCAGCAGAGACAGCAGAGGCAGCAGAAGTAGCAGAAACACCATCGCCCAAGCAAAAAAACAGAATTTTGACAGAGGCAAGCTCCTGTCTTCCACACAGCTGGCGTGTTTCTGTCTGCACAACAATGCATCCAAACGTGTGTGTGCATGGATCACAGCGCATGGCCGCATTGTTGGTTTGGTGCTGCGTCTGGGCACGTGTGTGTTTGCGCAAGCGGGTCGTGTGGGCGGATCCTGATGTCTTATTTGCTCGGGACACACCTGTTTTCTCTGCGGGAGGTGGAGCATGTTTGGTGGAGCAGAATGAGGAGGAAGCCAGGCTTTTTGGCCTGCTGATGGCGCTGGAGAATTGAATTCCAATTGTAAATAATATTATGTTGGATGCAACTGCAACCTCTTCTTGCGGCAAGACCACACTGCTGAAATGTTAAATGATGAGAATGCGAAATCATCTCATCAAAAGCAACAAATCTTATGATAAACACCATTGCTTTGAGAATTATTATTAATTATAATTATTAGTCAATCCATTTGGCAATGCAACAATCCATCGCCAGCAATCAAATACTGCTTCACTGAATGCCTTTCGGGTCAATTTGGTCTCAATTCGAACATGCCACTGACTATGCCCTTTCCAGTCCTCATTTTGAACTATTTGAGAATTACCACTACAATACATTTGTTTTATTTCATGTTTTTGTGTATTGCTTTACTTGTTGTTGAAATTATTATTTAATTTACTATCACAGATGAGATTTTGGTAATAGAAAAAAACAATTTGGGACTGAGAGACACTCGCTAATGGCCATTTATTGCAAAACTGTCCCAAATAATAATTCACAATTATTTAACTCTCCCCTTAATAATTTGGGATTATTCGAGCTGTCTGTTTTGGGGAATTCTTTTTGACCAGACCCTATTCGCTTTCTTCTTTTTGAAATTAGAACTTTTTTTTTCTTTTCTTTCATATAAAATGTGTTATCAAAACCAGATTGTTTACTATATTGGGTAAATAGTTACATAGCAACTCTAATAATTCTGGTTTTTATTCTTATTTTTATTTTTATTTTTATTTTTATTTTTATTCTTAATCAGTTTTAGTTCCAGCTACTTTGACTTACATTTAGCAAGTTTTATTTGGGCATGCAGAATGTAATCTACACACTATTTTTTATTCCACAGCCAACAACTATTTTTTTCCAATGCTTCAGAAATCCATTAAAAAAGAAATCTTATCTATCATAAAGTTGTTAAAGGGGGATTAATCGAAATTTTAATATCTATTGCCTCTGATAAGAAATCATGAAATTGAATCATGAAATTGGGAAATCAAGTTTGAGACCAACAATACGGGTCGTGCTTTTGTATTTCTTTTTACTCTGCATTCATTTTTTAACAGATATTAGGCTATTGTAAATGAAGAGTATAATAATCATAGATACAAAGACGAAATGGCTCCTCAAGTGAAGAAAACTACAAAAGTGGGCAAGACTTTTTGCAAGAGTCCTACAGTAAGCGAAGAACGGCTCAACGAAGTACCACTGAAAAAAATTGGGTCCAAACGCCACCATCAAAGAAAAAACCAAAACCCTCCTACACGAACACCCTTCAGAAGCTAAAACAATAAATATAATCGACAACAATGCTGGTACAATCGAAATAACCCAAAATAAAAATATTCCCTCCCCCCCCCAATCGAATCTGAAATCAATGACAACATTCGAGAAAGAGCAATAGTCTGGGCAAAATTCTTATTCTTAGAGGAAACAGTTAAATCACTAGTTAAATCTAAAGATTTAGAAATCTCAGAACTAAAATCAATAATCCAAACCCAGGTAAAGGAAATGGAAAAACTCAAAGAAAGAATAGCCTTAGTTGAAATTGAACAAGAAAACTCAATCGAATCAACATGAAGGGTATATCAAAGTATATTCAAAAGTAAATAGATTATATAACCACCTGACCGCGTATTTCCGATCGCACCTTGAAATAAATGCGGGCAAATAAACGGAGAAAAAAAACCAAAGTACATTTGTAATTTAATCAATTCAATTAATTCATTCAGTTAATTTATTCATTCATTCAAAATGGTCAGGAAATGGCAGCCTCCTCATGTCTCCCCTGAGGCTGTTAGCGATTTTATAATAGAAGGTGATTCTGATTCTGATTCTGATATCAATATAACCGATGATTTAAATTTGAATAACCATAATAATAATAATAATAATAATAATACTCAAAATAATAAAAACTATATCAATTCTACAAACACCAATGCATCTACAAGTGCAACTGCAAATGCAAATAACAATCACAGCTTTCAGAATAACCAAATTTATGAAAGACAATACACAGGCGAAAACACCTTGGATGAACCAGTTCTACAAACCTTGTCAAGAGATCTTAAAAAAATAGGCTATAGATTAATCAGCGTCATCTGGCCAAATTCTCTAAGAACTTATGTGAAAAGCCAGCAAAACAATCTATTGACTTATGCTAGAAACGCAGGCTTGGATATCGACAACATGAATTTAAATTTAAACATAAACATGAATATCCCCAATATTCGCTTCTCATCTTTTGCAAACCCTTCTGCAAATAACAATGATAACACCACCAACGATAACAGAATCGAACAAGACATTGAAACTTCTGCGCTTGATTCATTGAATATAAATCCATTGGACTGGGACTTGTGGGGCCCATTGATCTTTATCTTGTTTTATTCGATACTAATAACGATCAAATCTTCTTCATCTGCTTTATCGAATTCTAACGATTCAACAACAAGGATTTTCTCATCGTCGTTTAGTATAATCTGGATAGCTTTTTTCTTAATCTCCATCAACATACAACTATTGGGTGGGAAAATCTCCTTATTCCTAGCATTGTCATCAATTGGGTACTGTCTCTTTCCTTTGGATATTCTAGCGCTAGTTTCAATCTTCGTCAAATGGTACATTGTCAAATTCATCTTATGCATTGTCTTCACCTCCTGGAGTATATATAGTTGCAGTGTTGCTTTAAGCTGCTCAGGCATCTTGCCCAACAGAAGCTTTTTAGCGATCTACCCAGTGTGCTTGTGCTACATTGCATTGGGTTGGATGTGTGTTGTTAGTTGATCTAAAACCTAATACATATACAACTCCCTACAGCAAAAAACGCAAACGCAGAATCCACAGCAGCTCGAGAATCACAAGCCCGTAATCAAACTGTCAGTAGGAAGGCAACATGTTTGTACCTCATATCAATTTGCATTGCTCAGAGATTGTTCACGCTATGTTAGTCATCATGTCTGATTACAAGAGGCTTCCGAGGAAGCTCGAACGAGGAACCTCGTCTCCCGAGGGCGCCATGGTTAGTGTGAAAGTTGAAGGTGATAGCCAACTGCGCCAAGTTGGCCAAAGCCCACTCTTTCAACGTTTCCAAACCTTAAGTACTTGGCCACCCAGCTACCTCTCCTGTTTCTGTTGTTTCTGCTGTTTCTGCTGCCTGAGCCGAAAAAAGACCCAAAGATACACTCACAATAAAGACAGCTCCTGTTATCACAGCTCCTTTTCAAATTGCAAAACAACCCAAAAACTAACTAACTCCTCCATCATCCAGCTATTCAAATGAAGCACACATTTTTTACTTCTTTTGAAGTTCTTTCAAGACTAATTACACACCATTTTCTTGTATATTATCACTTTGCATTACTGCTAATAGTTTATATTTTCAAACGGCTTAAATCTCATCAAATTATTGTCTGTTGTTTGAACTATGAATTATCTGCAAAAAACTTTTCATTAAGACCTCATTAGACTTCATTAGACTTTATCAAGACTTTTCATTAAAACTTTTTATCAAAACTCTTAATTGCAACCATTAATTAAAGCTTTTTCTGAAACATAAGAGCTGTTGATTTAGGCTATTAATTTGATTTTTCATCATGAAATCATTTAAATACCCTTTTTTTCTGACATATACTTTTAATTTGTTTAGATCTCTCAAACTTACCACTAAATTAACCCATTTCTTTCATTTATCCTATTGTATCCTATTAAATCGTATTTGCAAAAACTCAAACAAAAAACTCATTCACTCAACAACCTTCAACATAAAGCAACTCCTATTCATGTAGCAGTTGATTCAAGTCCAGACTTTTAGTTGATAACTGAAACTTGTAAGTACTTACTTTAAGTTGAAGAAATTATTAAAACTTGCAGATTAGCTAAAAGTTGGTTCAAGTGAATCTCGACTTTCAATTGAATTTAATTTGATAATAGCAGATCACAATTGGTTTTTCCCTCATAATCATCTGTAAAATTGGTAATCAACAGCACTAAGCTTCCTAAACACTCGGTTTACCCAATTTATTCAGCTATCATGTTATGAACCAAAATTACTTAATTTTTTTTCTTATAACCTGTGGTTTTCACAAAACAAACCAAACGAAAAATTTTATTAATCGATTATCTTCTCGTTTCTTATTTTGTTCTGAAGTTTAATTCCACATATTTGCTTCGTATTGTCTGATTTATCATTTATCATTCAAGATGTGTTAATTATTATTATTTTTTTGTTACTGCTACCTGTTTATCTCAATCTATATTTAAATTCCAAATCTAATCTTCAATTAAACAACCCTTAATATTTCTCATCAATTCTTTGTTTTTGTTATTATTTCTAAACAGCTGCCTTCTTTTTTCCCCAATTAAAAAAGAACTCCTTCCTGATCTCTCTCCATACCAAATGTCCATTGCCTGAAAACTACCTCGTAACTTATTTTATACACCACTTAGTATATACTCGATTCATTCGGCATATTAAGAATCTATTCTCCATTTTCTATATTCTGTATCTGATCTTCTTTCTTTTTGTCACCACTTTCGCTTTAAAGAAACACAAAAAAAATTCAGCATGATTCATTTGAGAAAACCAGCCTTTAATCGGCCACTTTAACTACTGTCATAACCAACTACATTCCAAAACAAATAAATCATTAACTCGATATTTGTAAATTCAAATTATTCACAAGCAAAAACCATTAAAAAAAACATTAAAAACAACATTAAAAAAAAACATTAAATACGGAACCAATCTAATAAAAAAAAAATTCTTAAAACACTTCATTTTGAATCTGAAATCATATAAAAAAAAACCAAAAAAAAAAAAAGACAAAAAAAAATTAATATTGTAAAAGTGGCTTTACAACCTATAACTAGTAAAGGAAAGAAGAAGTGACAAAATAAAAGAAATAAACATTATAAAAAAGTAATAGATAATATCACTTGCTAGATAATACAATTTGAGAAATAGCTTTCTTCCAAAAAGGGTAAAAAGACACAAAATGAAGAAGTAAAAAAATATATAAAAAGAAACCGAAAATAATTATTAAATAATATTAAATTACAAAAATTTACTAATTCTGAACTTCTGGAATCGCAACATTTGGATGTTTTCTTTTGTAATGCTGCTTGTAGTTATCCTTTCTATTAAATTCTGATCCACAAACTTTACAACAAAAGGGTTTTTTGTTTATATGAACCGAATTTAAATGTCTCGTTAAATGTTCTGTTCTAAAAAAGGCTCTGGTACAAACAGGGCACACTCTGGACTTTAGTTTTTGATCCAAGTCCTTTGAATTAATATTGGAATTTATCCTGATATTCCCTGGAAGAATAATAGGTCGTTCTTGAGAAGTCTCTGCGACATGCGTTAAAGGCAAAGAAACTTGTGTGAATGGCGGATTGTTAAAAGGAACATTAAATTGCTGATTGTAAACTGGACTATACATCGGACCAGGTAGGTTCATATACGTAAATGGGGTCTGATTCATCTGCTCTTCATGATTTAGTTGATTCGCCAGAGAATCCTGATTCGCTTCAGTTCTTGAACCAACTTGCTGCAAAGTTGGTGAAAACTCAGGTATTGTGTTTGGTGGAACAGCAGAGGGTAGATTTGATGATGTATCAGGCGATATGTTTGACGAAAGTGCTGAAGAAGTAACTTGTTGGAATCCTGGAGGAAAGTTGCTCTGAAATCCATTTTGTATTCCTGAGGGTAAATTGGATGATACACTCGAAGGGATACTCTCAAATGATTCTTTTTTGGATGAGATGCTTTTACGTCGTCTGCTCAAACTTGTATGCGTTGGGGTATATGATGGGTTCACATAGTAAGAGTTATACCTTTGAATTTCTGATGTTTCAGGATTAAAAGGGATTTCGAGTTGCTTTAATGTTGGAAGTTTGCTTTTATTAGAAGAATTCTCATCATTAGACGTTAATGATTCAAACGCGTGAGAAACAGGATTTATTAAATCTTTCAATGAAATTTTTGTTCGATGATGGTTGTCAAGAATATTGTTGTTATTTTCATGTTCTATCTCTTCTTTTTCTGAAAGGCTTATTTTATCAGCTTTAAATCCATTGCTAAATTCATGCTGTTCCTTTTCCTTTCCTTTATTGGTATATTCATACATTTCGACTTCTGCATTTTCTTCATCATTGCTCACTTCAATTATTTCGTTTGCTATTGAGTTTTCTTTTATATTTGTGGAGATTGGGCTCGTCTGAATTTTTGACAGTTCTACAGATTTTTCTTGAACTTTTTTAGGGACATTTAGCTTATTAAACAATCTTTGTGATCTTCTTGAATGCTTTGAATTTATCTCAGAATCACTGGCAGAAGTGTCATTCATAAGGCTATCATTTTTGGCAAATAGATTGTTTGAACTGGATTCTAGCATAGACTGTATGGAAAATCTTCTTTTTCTTTTGCTAGAATAACTAGATCTTCTCACAAGGGTGGAATCTGAGTTTTCATTATTTTGAGCAGAAGAAGCGCTGATATTATCATTTTGGTTATGATAGTCCATATATTCACCTTCTCGTACTGAACTTTTATTCTGAAGAATTGATTGAATCGAGAATTTTTTTGTTTTTGGAGGAAAAAGATTATTCTTGTCTGAAATTGTTTTTTGATTTTTTTGATTTCTTGAGCTTGTGCTGTGCAAATCTGAAACTTCATAAACAGATTTTGGTGATATATCTTTTATTGGATCAGCTAATAGTGAATTTTTCTCAGAATTGTTTTGTGGTATTGAAGCTGTGGTTTTAAAAGGATGGTTATATTGATGTATTGGTTTATCGTTTTTATTATATTTATAAAAAGTTCCATATTGATAATTATTTCCAATTACTAGAGGGTTAAAATTTGGCTTTTTCCCCTGGTTATCATCTTTTTTATCATTATTGTTGTCATTGCTGTTGTTGTTGTTATAACTATTATTGGTATTGGTATTGTTGTTGTTATTAGTATTGTTATTGTTGTTACGGTTAATTGAGGTAAAGGTGAAGTTACCTTCATAGAATACGCCTTCATCAGCGAATTTATCATTGTCATTATTTTCATCATCAGAACTTGGGACATAATCTAGGGGTATATCAGGTAAATTAGGATAAAAATTTTCCGATTGATAAACATAGGTTGGGGAATTACCTCTTTCAAGTTCTTTTCTATTAATTTGGTAAATTATGGTATTGATTTTTTTCATGTAATCGATTTGAGTTGACTTAATTTTTTGGCCCCAACAAAAAATTTCAGTTTTGTTATATAAATTTATTGAGTTTATTCTAGTTTTAAATTCATCAACCATAATTTTTCTTTCAATTTGTAAATTTTCTTTTAGTTTCACAATGAATTCAAGATCCAAGTCTTCAAGCTTTTGATCCATTTATAGGTTATATTTGTTATAAATTTATTTGTTTTTATTGGTAAGATTGATCTGGATAATAATAATGAGGATAATATAAATAATTTCAATAATTTCAATAATCTTAATAACCTTGATAATCTTGATAGTATTATGATACTAGGATGATTTGATATTGTGGTAATATATATTCATAAAAAGGGTATATTATATTAATTTTTAATGAGATTTTTTCTGATATTTTAGAAATAATTGAGTTAATGATCGGTGACCACAGAGAAAGAGAAAAAGAAAAGACAGAGAAAGAGAAAGAGAGAGAGAGAAAGCAAAAAAAAAACACAAAAAATAAATATGAATTATGAATTAAATTATTATTACCCTTGGAAAGATGCTGTTTAAAACTTGATGAAATTTGGAGTTTGAAAGGATTTGGAGTAAATGTTGAATTTAGTTGGATAGAAATGATAATGACGATACTAATAAGTCAGGGAATTAAGAAAACGATGAATTTAACAGAGGAATTGATGTTGAGGTTGATACTAAAAGTAAATTAATAATAATTATATTATTAAAAGTGAGAGTTGCGATCAATAGTTGAAATGCTTCAGGTTAGTGTTAAATTAAGAATAGATCGTTGAAGGAAAATGTTTTGGAATTTTTGTTACGACCAGAAAAAAATGAAAAATAGAATGAAATGAAATGAAGTAAAATAAAAAAGGATAAGTTGATAATTAGTAATTCAGAAAAAATCAAAGGATAAAACAAGAAAAGCCCAAAAACACCAAAAGAAAAGGAAGAAAAAAAACTGAAATACAATTGAAATGGTGTTTTTTTTCTAGTTTGTTTTTTTTGTTCTGACTTTTTGTTCTGGTTCTTGAAATAAAATTTGATTTCTTTTTTTGAATTCAGATTTAGTTTTAATTTTAAATCTAAGTTTGAATTACTATTAATTATAATTAAGTATGATTAATTATAATTTTTGTACAAAGATCAATATGTGAAAAGTTATTTTTTCTTCTGCTATTTTCAGTTTAAGAACTTTATGAGTGAGTAAAGAAGAGAAAAGAAATAAAAGAACAAAAACTTGACTCTTTTTATGTCTTATAATGAAAGTTAGGAAAAGTGAGAGAGGTGAGAAAAATGAGAAAAATGAGAAGTGAGAAGTTTAGAAAGTTGAGAAAGTTGGGAAGAGAGAGAAAATTGGGAACAGAGAGATATAATTGGATGGAAAACAAAGATTGATATATTATTTGTGTTTAATGTTTTTGAAACAGGTTTGAAGACAAAGATTACCAGTAATTAGCAAATAAACACTAAATGGTAATGGAAGATAATGGAGATCTGAAGATGAAAGAGAAATGGAATTGAAGAACAAGTTAGACTCAGAGTTTGTGTATGAGCAGCCAACAGGAGAGGAAGATTGTGTTGATAATTAGCTGGATTGGAATAACAGAGAATTGGATAAAGGGTAAAGTGACTGGATCAATAAGGTGAAGACCCATAAACAAAGCAAGGGATATCGTCTGTGATTTGTAAACAGAAAATGGGTTTCGGAGATTGGATTAAAAGATCAGATTTATTGCTATTATAAGAGAGTTGTCTGAATTATTAGAATATTACGGGAAGAATTCCCTTTGAAATAGATGATAATATTAATAAAATTCACTTGAGAATGGGAATGAGACTGATTATTATTAATATTATTATTAATATTATTACTGTGATTTAAAAGAAAATTTTTTAATGCAACTGTTATAGGGTACTCGTTTCTATTATTGTTTTTATTTTGCTTTTGATTTGTAGAATTGTTTGTTTTGTTTCTGTATTTTTGATCCTTTGGATATTAAACTTGGATTTTGCTCTGAGCAGCTTGGAGTCAGTTGGAATTGTTTAAATAAGAACTCAGAATTGTAGGACAGTAGGTTTGTGGAAATATAAGTTGATAAAAATTTCAGAAATGAGGACTTTTTTCAGGAATAAATTAACGTTCCAGCACAGGCAGTGTAGTGATAATTTTCAAATTGTAATTGAGAGAAAGATTTTTTGCTAATGTGGTTTTTGTTAATATTTTGATGAATAATTTTATTCCTGTTTTGTTTTAATTTAATGTATTCTATTTTCTGAGATTTGATTTTGTCGTTTTTTTGTAAATAATTTTTGGAGAAATTTTTCAAATAAAATTGGCCTGAGAAAAATCTCTCAAAAGAAAAAACAACGAAGTTGAAATTATAAAGAGAAAAAGTGGAAATTTTAAGAAATGAAGGGAAATGAAGGGAAGAGTTTAGGACAATCGTGAATGATAAATATGAAAGAAAATGATTTGATCAGAAAAGAGAGAACAAATAGCAAAGAGACTAGATATTAGATTCAAATTCAAATCCAAATTCTAATGCTAATTCAAATTCTAATGCTGATTCGAGTCCTAATTCCAATGGAGAAAAAAACGATTGAAAACTGGTCAAATTCAAGAGCCTTTAAGAAAACGAAACAATAAAAACAAAGAAGCATGGAAATACATAACAGATGCTGGAATCAGGACACAGCATAAGCAGTTCAAGCAGCTCAAACAGCACAAGAATGTCTCTTTCTCTGTTTCTGCCTTATCCAGCTCTTCTTCCGCTGCTTCTGCTGTCGCTGTTGCTTCTGGCTCCTCTGCTTTTTCTGCTTTTTCTGCTTCCTCTGCTTCCTCTGCTTCCTCTTCTGCTGCTGCAGAAGAGTCAGATCCAGCTGCGGGAGGTGTCCCAGTCTGGCACTGCTTTCGTCCTACTGCCATTCCCCAGCTGCTGCTCAGTTGTTCCACTTTAGCTTTTCTCTGTCTGCCTTTGCTCTGCGTGCTTTCCACACTGCTCTGAGTTGCTTTGTCGTCTTTTCCACCATCTCGCAGCACTTTCAGCAGCAAGAGTCCAGATTCTGGTTTCGGGCTCACCCTCCCAAAACGGAGCTTTCAGAGCACAAATATCAACAGACACATACATCATGCACACACACGCACAGCAGTACAGGCTTAGTTATGCTGGCACACCCGCAGTAGCGGAACAAACGCCGGTTGAGGTGTAGAATTTGTAGCCTGTGGCCTAGAGCACGCTTTATTTCCCCGTGTGTTTGCAACATGTTGTTCTCCTCTAGGATAGCGGAAACTGAAAACACACGCTTAGGAATTACGTTATTCCTCTCTGCAAACGGGAAATACGCAGCATCCATCGTCATGAACGAGATTGCTGAGAAACGATCAAATGTGTGTTTGTTGTTATCTGATTCACTTGATTTCTTTATTTATTCATTTTGCTTGGATTTGGATGGCGGTGTATGGAGATATACATGAGTTTGCTTCGCCCTCTGTTATCAACTCCATTTAACTGTCTCCAATCAGCTGTTTCGTTCTGTGCTCAAGTTATACCCTGTCTGCGTCAAATGCCTAATCTGTCTGTGTACTCACATCTGATCCTGCTTTTCAACAGGTTTTTCCCGTACCCAACTTTTTCCTGGTTAATAGACCAAATGTATCCTTTAGCACCTATCGATATATTGTTACAGCACCGTGCTATTACTGATGCTGTTTCTGCTGATACTGCTCTAGAACATCAGCACTTCTTGTTTCGCTTTTGGCTTTTTATCACTTGTGGACCGGAAGAGGCCCTACTCGTAAGGCCTGCACAAGTTATGTATCTGATTGGCATCCAAGCGTGTACTTCCAACTTGACAAAAAACAAGTTACATGCACACGCGCCGCCAGGCCCGAAAACGTACTTTTAAGACAGATCTTTTTTGTGAACCATTTAGGGTTTTTGTCGTTACAATTGTTTTTTTTGCACCGGCACCACTATTGTATTATTTATTTTGCCACTGCTTGTGTTGGGCCGTATTCAATAGTATGGAAATGTACTGAAATGTGTTCAGTTGTACTTGCAAGTATTCATTGGTGCTCAATCAACAGTACAACAAAAAAGATCCTTTCCGCTTGTGGTTTGCAACTGGTACTAAACATCCCTAATTAGCTTTCACGTTATCTCATTTTTGTCTCGGTTATTATTCAGCTTACACTCCTATGCAGCAGTACACACTTTAAGCTCTTGCAGCTGCACTACAAAAACTCTGCAAGAAGTTTAGCTTGCACAGAAAATATGGATTTTCCTAATTAGGCCGGTGCGGTTGCCGCTACCGTCCTTTGCCAAATCAAGAAACACCTATTTCAACAGCCACTGAGCTTCCAATGTGGAAATGCTCGTGCTGATCCATATAGGAGAGGTCATCTTGCTGCCACTGTCTTCGCGCATGAACTGCCTGCAGGCCGCTGCGGCTGCGGCTGTGGTAATTAGCTAATTATGCATTTATCTCTACTTTGGTTTTTTCAGTTTCACCTCCATTTGCGCTTCTTCAAAGAGCAGCCTCAGTATCAACCAACGAGAATTACGCTCCCACCATATCCACAATGATCAGTTCATTATTGTAATCAAAAGCCAATTTTTTTGCTCGTTATTTCTACAAAGATGACTTTGCAAAATAATAAGTATCATCTTTTTTCCATCTGTGCCGCACCATCAATTCCTTGTGCTGTCCTATCCTACCATATCCTATGCTATCCTACTTTTTCTCCTCTTATTTTCTCCTAAATTTATCCTTTCTTGATCCTATTGTTAGTTTTGTTCAAATTCAATTTTAGGTCAATCAGCCTAACACTTGAAATTAATTTTATTATTCACTCTTTGGGCCCCCATTTTTTTTCCTTTTTGCAGTCCTATTCCGTTTATCAACTGCTTTATCAACTTGCTTCTTGTTACAAATATCTTCTTCATTTTGCAAATTCTTTTTTATCATTTCCTATTGATAAAACTAAAAATATCTAAAAAATATTTTCTAACAAAAAAAAAGAAAAATAAATTGTAGGATCCAAAAAATAAAGCTAATAATAACTTTTATAACAATAATTTTAGTGCATCTTTTGTTTCATTTCTTAATATTTCAAGATTTTGAAATGTTTCACATATGTTTTTAGCTAATTCTCACAAAAACAATTTAAAAAAATAAAAAAAATAAAAAAAATAAAAAAAAATGAGGAAAAAGAGTCAACTCTTTTATTTGCTCTCTTTCATTCTCATTTTCATCTTCAATTCCCACTAAATGTTTGCTTCTCTTCAATCTCCAATGCCCCAGCTACCTCCCAACTTGCTGAGTTTATTTTTATTTGATACATTTATTATTATCATATTTCCTTGAAAATAAGTTCAAAGGGATGATGGTTGTTCATTCTCGTTGTTTGCCTCACTCCATTTAAACTCATTCAAACCTATTCTGATATTCCAAATATTTCTCACCTCACACTTTACACAATCCTTACAAAAATCCTTTATTCTCATATTACAAATATTCTCTACTCTACAATACTCAGTATTCTATTATTCTATTGTTTAAACTTCCCAACAATACAATTTTATATATGAAACTGCTTATTGTCCCGTTAGAAAAGCCCATGTAATTGGGATGGAACAGCTAAGATAAGTATCTGCACATGTATGCGTCTTAAAGCATACGCACAAAACCGCAGATACGCTGTTTGGTTTTTTGGTTTTGAAAGGTATTGTCCTGGCCAATAAAAGCTCTTGCAGAACTTCCACAAATAAAACAACTAATAATTAATTAATCAAAAAAAAATTAATATTTTCAATCATCCTATCATGACTGCCATTATTCTTATTACCATTCTTATGACTAATGCCGGAAATTTATGAAAAATTCCAACTAAAATTACCTATTTCTCATAATCATACTCTTATCCACTTGATTATTCTTGTAGTTATGAAATCATGTCTGTAATCTAAATATACAGACTGTTTTCATAAAGGTATTTGAAATTTATTTTTATCTTTTTCTTTTTAACCTTACTGATTTAATACGATAAATCTGTTTTATACTTATATTTTTACTTTAAATACGTTTTCCCAACTAAAACTCCAAAAACAAGAAATAAACAGAAAAATCAGGTTTCCATTTTTTCATCTTTTCAGGTTTTCAATTTTATTTCATTTTATTTTATTGTTATTATTTCTAATTCTTTTATAAATCAAAAGAAAAAGAAAAAAAAATTCACTTAATTATGTAATTCATTCATGTAGGGTTTTTTTTCTTTCACAACTTGAATATTCGTTTAATTGTTTTTTACTTGGTTTTGGGGGATTTTAATTCTAAACTATAAGTTAAAATAGCAATTGTTTATTATTTATTCTAAAAAGAAAAACACTAGTTGAGGTTGCTCACAACATCCATATCAAAAACAAAATGAAACCAAAAAAAAAAAAATAAAGCAAGACAGTAGATATTTCCAATACCTTGATGTAATGAGCAATAAATTACCAAAATTTCAGTAATTCTAAAGTTTTATATTATAATAATATTGAAGAAAACAAGCAATTTAATCACAGAATTAAATTAGCTGTTAATTTATATAGTGAGCAAGGAAACTCAATAGCAAGTAGTATCTGAAAAAAACTTATAAACCAAGTACTTGAATTTGCATTTTTTCAGTGAGCATTTGAAAAATAGTATTGAAAAAAAAGAAAAAAGAAATTTCAAATAATACTAATGAAGTAGAAGTGTGTATTAGGAGGATAGGTACATGATCACAACAAATATGCTTTTTTTTTGTATTTTTATTTGGTAGTTTGCAATTAATTATTGAGAAACTGATTTATATTTGGCAAGTCAATAAATTCATCGGGAATATTAAATTCCTTTTTCAATGCTGATGTTTCTAAATTTTTATTATTGACCCAATATGAGATTAGTAAATCAATATTATCAGTGATTAAATCGATATTGTAACCGATTTTTGTCAATTGATTAATTTTTTCATCTAAATTTCTTGGATCGTTTTCTGTGTAATCATTTAAAATTTGAAGTTTTTTCTCAAGGTCATTGCTAAATTCTTTGACCTTAGCAAGTAAATAATTTCTGTTTATATCATTGTTTCCATTATCATTATTAATTTTAAGTTGTTCTTTAACCATTAGCAACTGATTCGCTGTTAACTCGTTAACTCTTGATAATTTTTCTTTTTTGATTTTTTCAGCTAAAACTTGATTATTTTCAATAAGAGTTGTTTTTCTCTTAATTAAATTTGAATAGTTGCTATTGATCGACTTTGTTAAATCAAATTCAAAACACCAATAAAAATTGGTTATTCCACATTTTTCAAACTTGATTAAACTGTCATCAATTAAATGCTGAAGAATTTCTTTCATTTGCATTGAATTAACACCAATATACTTGGAACCAAGACTCTCGACCTCCTTGATTGTGTAGAAATTGTGCTCTTTCTTAAAGAACTCAAGCAACTTGAGTTTTTTCTCTTCAAGAGACAAACCTTTCTTCTTTGGTGGCTTTAGCAGACAATTTATGTTAATATATCTGCTGTTTTCAGAGAATTTGTCCTGAAATAAAGCAATCTGAATACAAGCAAGGTGAAGATACCATAGTTGCAAAAATAAAATAAGGTTGCTTCCTCTGCTTCTCGTTTTGCTGCTGCTATTACTTCCTGTGCTGGAGCTAAACGCCGACACTCCGTCCGGCCTGTGCTGGGTGTTGTCCTCGGCGGATTGCACCGGAAAACGCGCGGAAACTCTCGGAAACGGATACAGATGAGGACTGCGCACCGCACACGGATTATTATTTGGGATTTATTATCCGCACATGTATTCAGACACCGGATACTTACTCCGGAGAGATCCGCTGAAAAGTTGCGCTGCCTAGCCGCGGATTCCAGCCTCTATTAAAGTCTGCGTCGGATCGGGACCACTTTTTATCTTTCTCAGCTATTATATCTGTATCTGTTTTTTGGGCTTTGGACTTTTTTGTTTTGCTGCTTTAACAATTGACCACTTTATTATCCACCAATTTTTTTATTTGTCCACTCAACAGAAAAATGTCCAAGCGTCAACAGTTAAGAGTCCAATCTGAGCTCAAAAACGTTGTCAACTCAAGAGCTAATAAAAACCAATGTGCTGAATGTGCCTCCTTATATCCTAGTATGTTGTCTTCAGAAAATTATATTATATAATGCAGTCAAACAAAATCGTGCTTTTGCAATGTGTTTATCGAGTTTTGCTAACTTAACTTATTGTATTACTTTTTTTTTTCGTATATGCAGCCTGGGCCAGTTGGAACGTATGTTATCTTTTAACAAGTTTTTTTTTTCAATTTTACTTTGCTCCCTTTTTTAGGTCAATTTTTTATCTAATTTTCTTTCTCAAGCTAATGGGTTTCAAACTAACCTTTAAATTATTTTTTTTGTGGAATACATCGTAGTTGGGTATTTTTTTGTGTGCAAGATGTGCTTCTTGCCATAGAAAACTAGGTAGCCATTTAACAAAGGTTAAAAGTCTAACCTTGGATAATTGGTCTGAAGAACAAGTTATGAATTTGAAAAAAATTGGTAACAAAAATTCAAATAAAAAATGGAACCCCAGAAAGATCCCATTTCCCTATGATGACGATGATACTAAAGATATTGAGAAATATTTTAGAGACAAATATATTCTTAAAAAATATATGTTTGAACCAACTGGTTCGAAATTTGAAACCTTTGATGAATTTCAGAATCAAAGAGACACTTATTATGATCAATATAATAATTCAAATTCAAAGATTAAAAATAAAAAATTAAAAAGTTCAAACAATTTACCAAAATTATCTCATAGAAAGATATCAAATTTTGAAAATTCTTTATATTCAAAACATGCAGATTATTTTGTTAATCTAGGTTATAAAAAAGATCACGCAATTGAAGCAATCATTTTAGCTCAAGGTGATAATGATTTAGCTTTAGAGATCTTAAATGAAGACAACTCTATGAATGATTTGGATGCCTCTAATAAACTTATATCAACAAGAAATTACAGTGATTATTTAAGCAATAATAAAAATTATTCAAATAACAGTGAACAAGATGAGGATGCTCCTCCCTTACCAAAAAGAGCTGCTGACATCTCAAAACCCACAACAAATAAATCTTGGTGGAACGATGACGACGATAATGATGATAATTTATTAAAAGAAGATGACCCTAAACCTGCTGTTTTTGATGGGACTTCCGATTACAACGCTTCCACAGCTTCCACAAATCCTTCATCAAATGGCCAAAACTCAAATCAATATCAACAATACTTGGACCCAACAACTGGAATTGTTTATATGGACCCTTCAAAACCGATTCAACCTCAAAATCAACAATTTCTTCAACCACAAATACAACCTCAACCTCAACAACCTCAACAACAACAAATGTTTCAGGTTCAACAAACTGGTTTCCCAAATCAACAATTGTTTTTCCAACAGCAAAATCCACAGCAAGTAAATAATAACTCGATATTATCATTGTATAATCAGCCCCAAGCTCAACCACAAACAGTTCAAAATACTTTTGCAAACTTGAATCAAACTCCATCTCAACTTCAACAAAACCTTACTTTAAACCAATTACAACAACAGCAACAGATTGCATTAGGAGCAAATCCTATGGCTTTCAGCATTCAACAGCCTCAACAACAACCTTTTTATCAACAACCTCAGCAAGTTCTGATGCCCGTAACTGGGAACATAATGTACACAGGAATGTTCCCGAATACTGCAGGCTTCTATCAACAATAATTTAGAATAAATCAATTCACCTTCAAGGATGCTCTATACTCCATTTATTTCTCTGTTTTTTGTTTTCCTTCGTTTTTTCCTGTTTTTTTTGAAAATTTTATTAATTAGACTTTTACCTGCTTTTGTTTTGTTTTGGTTTAATTTTAATTTTTAATTTAATTGATCTTCTATTTTAATTTGATTGGTTTTTTATCGTTTTGAAATCCTATTTAAGTTTTAATATTTAATAATCCTTTTCTTTAACCTTTATTTCTGATTTCTCTGTTTTTTTGTTTTGTTTTGTTTTGTTTTGTTTTGTTTTGTTTAAACTTTTAATAATTCTTAAATTGAGTTTTTCATTTCCTTCTTTTTTTAGTTTTAAAATTTTTGTAATTTTACCGAAAATATTGGTAAAATTTTAATTATTATCAACTCCTTTAAATCAATATTATCTTCAGCAGACTGTGCAGTTATACTTTCTCATATCCAATGATTTCTACTTATTCCCCTACATTTTCTCTGTTTTCTATGTTGTTCATCGCTTTTCACTAAAAGTTCAATTTTCAGTTCCTAGTTAAAATCAAGCTAAGTTTTGAAAGATGATGGTATTTTTTAAGATTATTCAATTAAAGGGAATGTATTTAACTCTTAGCTGAATGCAAAAATTTCATACCTCAAATGATGACCACAAAACTCCCAAAATATACTTAAAATTAAAAAATGATAAACAAAAAAGTTTGGTTTGCAGTTTCAAGTCATATTTACAACATATTGGGTTCACTTTAAAACTTTTCAAATACAAAAAACGACTATCTAATGCTAAAAGTTGAATTTTTGCAATACTGATGTCTGATACTTAGGTTATCACGATGATCGTATATGACTGATTTTTATAGTTTAAAAGGTTTAAATATACTCTTTGAAGGAAAAGTGTGTTTGAAAATCCAATTGAGTTGATTATTGTAAGAGGTTTGTTTAGATTCCAAAATAAACGAAAATCTTTTGAAAGAGATAACCGTGATTTTGTTAACTTGAAAAAGATATATATTGTGATTGAATTTTTACATTTAGATTGTTTTTTTTGTTTTTGGTTGTTTTTTATTTTCAATACTTTGCAAATTAATTTTCATAAAAAGATTATCAATAAGAATATATCTATTTTGATTTTAAAACTTGCCAAATGGTTGAGACAAAACAAAGGAAAAATTGTTTCACTAATTTAAATGATAATTAGCACCAAAAACTTTTTGGTATAAAGAATATCCTTCAAAAGTTTGAATATTCATACAAAGAAATCCCATGAATTGTTTTTATGATATTGGGTTGAAGAAGTTACAATAAATACACTGTTATACTCAGGATAAAAATACCACACACGATAATAGTAGATGAAAGAATATTTTAAGATCTAACAAAATTAAATTTTAGTTATTGGGAAACATTGGTAAATTTTAGTGATTATCGAGATAGTTTTTGTTTTCATGTGTTTATGAAAGTGTGAATATAGCTTATGATCAGGCAATCAATACGATGATGATTCATGATTCACACACAACTAAATTATGACAACTAAAGAACGTAGATTCCATAATATACTACAATAAATTTACTCAGAACTAGAATGCGAGATTCTGGATAAGCCAAAACAGTTTATTTGTCTAATTGTTTTTCAAGTTTCATTCTAATCGTAAGCTTGAAAAATAATTACAGGTTGAATATCTTTAACATCTAATATATTTGGGATTTTTTTATTTCAATTCAAGATCATAACAATGTTTGTTTGTTAGAACAAGAAAAAGCAGGATTATTCATTATATAACTAAATGAATTGAACCAAATAAAATATCAAGGGATCGGTTGTAAAACATGAGCAAAATAAGTGTTTATATATCTCCCAGTATAGAAATATAATCAAAAAGACGCGAAAAGCATTTTTTATCAATTGTGAAAAAAAATTCTAAAAATAAAACCACAAAACGTCAGAGTTACAGCCCTAATGATTAGAGCCCTACACGTATAACCTCCATTATGGTTTGGTTTGATTTCACGATTTTGGTGTTTTGAAAGATTTTATTTGGTGGGAGAATTTAAAGCATGTTGTTGATTGGAGGTAAGGTGGTTTGGGCCTTTGGTGAAATGAAACAGAGATGGGCTGAAGAAGAGTTGTATTGCCAGAATTATTATACATCCATTATACACACATTCTTGAAAATCTGATAAACCTTATAAATGCAGCGATGGACTAGATTTTTATTGATTTGTTTTCAAAAGTAGTAACAATAACAATAAGTTAATTTCAAAATAGCAAAAAGTAAGTAAGTTTTCGAAAGAAAATTTCCACTAAATTTTTTAAAAAAAAACACATCAAGTAAATGTTTACAAACACAAAAATGGCAAAAATCTACTTGATTGAACAAATAAAAAACAGGAACCAAACAAAACACATTTTTCAATTTTTTAAATGAGATTTCTTTAAATTAAATTTATTTTATGGTATAATATTAATCGTATTATTTGTTATATGGAATCATATAAGAAATTTGATTAATTTAGCTAGTTTATTTGCAAATCACAGATCACAGATCACAAATCAAATATAATAAAAAATAAAAAAATAAAAAAATAAAAATAAAAAAATAATGCATGCTTCCAAATTATACTTGAAACTAAATCCATTTAATCAAAAATCGGATAAGAATGGAAAAAATAAGAGTAATGATAATGACAACGATAAAGAAAAAAAAATTGATGGAGATATCTCGATGTCAAATGCAATTTCAATTTCTAAAAAAAAATCAAATAATATATCTTTACTAGACAAAAGCAATGGAACAACTTCATTTCCTAGTGGAAATTTAAATTTCAACAGCATTTTTAATAATAGTCTTTCTCCCTTTTCAAAAACGTTTCCAAATGTCGAAAAAGATTTGAAACATAATTGGAATGCTGCTTTAATTAATGATATAAAAGTTCTGAATTCTTCCGAACAAACTAGTTGTGATAAATCAAACGAAAATAATGAAGAAGAGCCCTTTAAACCAAATAAATCCAATGAAAAAATATTAATACAAGAGAAAAAAAACAATCAGAATACAAGAAAAAAAAAAGATAAAATTACATATGAAAATGAATCTGTTCAAAGACTTTTTAATAATCAATCAAATAAATTAAAAATAAAATTGAATGATTTAGAATCCATTTCAGATATACCAAATAGTGATAACCTTTATGAGTCAACCTCTAATGAATCCATAAAGAATCTTTGCAATTTAGTTAAAACAGAAGTGGAAGATACTGAAATGGTGAATGAAGGAGGTTTATCGCAATTCAGTTCAAGTACAACTAAAAGTTCATCTGAAAATGAAATGAGAGGGTTCTCGCTATTAAATCATGATATTAATAACAAAATTTCAAATAACAAACAGTTTACGCAACAGTGTATTGATGAAAAAAATTCTGATACATCTATATCTTATAACTCTCAAGCTCAAATGAATAATGATCTTATAACGGGTATAATTAAAACAACTATCGATCTTAAGAATACGATTGGAAAATCTCAAAAAATTCTTGAAAACAGTACCAGTCCAGAAAAATCAAGAAGCATAATACATGAAATCATCGAATATACAATCAAAACGGATTTAATTAAAAATGAAGAAAACTTAAATGAGTCAAAACGAAAAATAAAGGAAAAATTCTCTCAAAAGCTATCAAATTCAAAAGAATTTTCTCATAATAAAATAGGAACTCAAGATATTATTCCACTTGATGCCACAGCACCAGAAGCAAATTTCAGCCCAACGGCTGTATCATTGTTAGCAACCGAAACAAGTTTTGGTAATGGGCTCGTAAAACCCCAAATTTTAAATTTTGAAATACCCTTTCCTAGACAATATAAAAATGCTGCAGCCGCCCAAGAATTTTTACCGCAAATTAGAAATAAAAGCAAAAATATGGAGCATGGAAGTGCCGAGGATCTAAACGAATATAGCAGAAAATTCCCTCTAATTGAGGAGGAAGAAAGATTGAACCGTTTTAAAGACAGAGGTATAATGGGTCGTGATATGTTCTTTTATGAAGAAAGCAGCGAAAGCAAAAGTAGCAAGAATAGCAGCGCCTTGGGATCTGGAAAAGCAGCTTGTTATTCTGGTGCAAATACCAATACCGAGAAGAGCATCTACTTCGAGGATGGAATTGGCTCATCAAATTACAGCAAGTTTGTTGATTTTAGTAGTCAGCGAATTTCAAACCATAAGAGAAAGAGATCAGTGTCTTCTGAAAACGAAGGACATACAGCCGAATTCTGCTTTCAGCATGAACCAAATGAAAGATGCACTTCCAACAACTGGGAACTGGTTGAAGAAAAAAACCAGGCAGGGACCAATGGAGACTATAAGGACAACCTATGCTACAACATGAGGGACTTTGGAAGCTGCAAATATGGAGAAAACTGTCAATTCAAGCACTAGAAAACAGCTTCCATCAAGCTCACTTTGGCTGATGTGGCTAATTGGTGATGTTATATTCTGCAGTCCCAATCGGGAACTGCACGTTTGCTTATGTAAGCATGTAAATACACGATTACATAACGAACCTCATTTGGAGTTGCTGAATTGAAGTTGTTAAAGCTGTTGAAGAGAGGTGGGGTGAAGAAAGTTATGGGAAAAACCTTTGAGACTGTTGGCTAGGTAATGGTTGCTTTGTTGGACCTATTTGGTGTTCTTCAGATGGAAGTGCTTTTGAATTTTGTGGTTCATCCTGTGGGTGTTGTGGTTTACAAAGATCTTAGCTTGCAGAAAGAAGGAAAGAAAATGCTCGCAAATGGATAGCTGGTTTCAACTTTGATTGTTTTGGCTGATGAGCTGCTAAATTTCCTTGGTCATGGCATCAGAGACTCAAATTCAAGAGCTCAACTTTGCAAGTGCTGCGTTGGAGACACAACTTCCAGAGGTTCCAATGACAAAATAACTAATTTGAAAACTGTTGTTGGATTCTGGTTGGTTTTCGACGTTTTTTTTAATGGAACTGGAGAATGATATGCTTTTGACAATATTCTCAAAGTATTGTATAATATCTGAATTAATTTGCTTGGGTTGGGTTTTTGTTTCATTTGTAACCGGAAGTTTTGGACTAAAAAAACTCTTTCATAAAATAATAATTTATTTCTTTTACTCTGCTTCATGATTGCTTTATAATCAAATTACTGAGATCACACTAAATAATTACGAATTTTGGTATTGGAAACTTTGTTTTTGTTTTTGGTTTTTGTTTTGTGTTTTGTGTTTTCTTATTTTTTTTTTCTTTTCTTATTTTCTTATTATTATTTAACATTACTTTGAAAATTTAAATTATTAGCAAAACATTTTTTTTACTCTCTAAAATTTGCTATATTGATTATGAAAATTAGTCAAATTTGTTTTTTTTCTTTCTTCAAAAATGTTTTCAGATCTTAAAAGAAGTAATGTTTCACAATCCCAACCTCTTGATGTTCACAAAGATATAAAAATGCTAATTAAATCTAATGGAACTTATTGAAAATATATTTTTTGATAAATGAAAGATAAAAGATAAAAGACAAAACTATTTCAATTGTATTTTGCCTCAACTTTGAAACCTTCTTTCAAGGATTTGCTGCTTTCTGTTTATTTAAATTTTTGAATATCAGATAAAACGACATTCGATTGGTTATCTCTAATTATTATTTGTCTTAAATGAATTAAATCATTGAGCTTATTTCGTACATTTAAAATGATTTCAATGAATGATCTTCAAGTAATGTTATCACTCAGAAAGGTAAAAAAAAAAAGCATGAGCTAATTTATATGAAAAAAAGAAAATACAAGTGCAATGGTATTGAATTAAACTAAAGACAATTGGATAGAATTGGGCAGAATTGGATACAACTCAGTAAAATTGAATAGAACTAAGCAAAATTGAATAGAATTGAATCATTTTAAATTTTTTGATTGCATAATTTTTTCCTTGTTTTAAATATTTCTTTCTTTAATTTTTTTTTTAGTTTTTGAATTTTTTAGAATATTCTAATTAAAATAATAAGCAAAAAAAAAGATAAAAAAGAATAAAAAAATAATAATTTAACATGATTTATAAAATTGAATATTCAGAAAAACTTAAGATAATCTAAGAAGAAAAGAAACTTATAAAAATTGGAGAAAGTAAAAAAGATGCGAACAAAGAAATGGATCTAAGATAATGATTTATAATTTGAATTAAAAAGAATAAAATAAATAAAGTTTTTGAAACTAATCTGACTTATAAATTAAATAAATTAGAACCATATGGACTCGAATTGGTTAATAAGTAAATAATTAAATTGATGGATGGATTAATTATGAAATGAATAAGAAGACAAATGAATAATGAACATAGAAAAATAATTAATATTATTAAAAATAAATTATAATTAGAAGGAAAAAACAAATAAAATTTGAATTTAATTTCAGTTTTCTATGGAATATATAATTAATTACAAGAGAAACTTTCTTTTTTAGAATTATAATAATAGTTTAATTTATTGATTTTTTTTATTGCGGTTTTAGTTAGTATTTTTTTTGTTTTCTTGTTTTTTTGTTTTTTCTTTCTTAAAAAAATGATAGATTCAACCAAAAGAGATAAATTAGTAGATTAATTGATAAAAGAATTGATTAGAATGAGAAATTAATTTTCAAAAACTGAACAAATTATGAAATGAAAATGGTGATGAACGATTGTTTCATTTGATGAAATAAATAAGGTGAATGAAATAATTTAAACAAATGAAATTAATAAGATTGAATTGCCCCAAGCTTTTTTTAATAAGTATTTTTAATAAATATTTTTAACAATCGGGATATTTTTTTAATGAATTTGCTAAAAGAATATAAATAATTAACTTGTCTAATCCAAATGAGACCGAAATGTTACAAATACAAGAGATTAAGATAGTGCAAGAGTACCAAATAGTTATAGAAAGAGTACAAAAGAGGTTTGATAAATCATATATATAACATTGCTTGTTGTAATTGATAAATAGTAATTAGTATGTGGTGAATAATGACTATGATAAATAATTGTGATGAATAAACACAATCGCAATAATAAAAATAAAAGAGTTGGAGATAAATCCGTTTTAAGAAAAAAAACCAACTTGATAAAGACAGAGAATATTGCCGAATTAGGAAAGCAAGCAAATGGATCTTGTCAGAGAAAGAAGTGTTTAATTTTAAAATTGACGAAAAGGAAAACAAGGTAAATGTTGTGGATATCAAAGAGTTGATAGTAAATAAGTAAATAAATAACTGAATTAGACCTAATTAAGTGTAGTATTTAAGAATTCAAAGATATCTTTTTTTGGTCTGCTATAAACTTCTTTGAGAAAGTAGTTTGATATTTGTAAGATTGTTTGCCAATCAAATTAGTACCAATGGTTTGTAAATTGCTAGATGAGGAGCATTAATTCAAGATAACGAAATTTGGAAGCACTGTTCAAATAAGTTTAAGATTAATCAGATTTGTTGTTTTCGTAAATCTTGGGGTTTTCAGTAATTGATAAAATAAAATTGCCAATTTATGGTAACATTGATTGATTTTCATTTGTTGCTTTATTTGACGGTCAATGGTAAGATTACGATAATACAAGAACAGTTGTTTATGGGATTCAAATGGGTGGGCTTACAATCGAGAGATGTATTACTGGGAAATAAGGATAATAATATATTCTATAATTTTATAATTTATAATTTTGTAATTTTTCCAATTTTTCAATTTTCCATGTCTTCAGTTTTTTGTTGCCAGACTTCCTTTTGTTCTTTTTAATAAAACCTTAATGGTGAGAGAAGCCAAAACGGTAGAAACAAATCAAATAAACGGAATATTGGAAACATTGGAAATACAAAAAAGACCTCAAAGCCATAAACCAGAGACACAAACCAAAGACAATAAACCGATGGTATTTAGTGCTTTGGAGAGGATCTCAGAGAATATATGAAATTATTGGCGCAGAGATGTGGTAAAAGTAAGGGCATAGGAAGTTAGCTGTTTTGTTCCACAGACTCAACAAATTAAAAGCAAAGAGAGTTTTTTTGGAAAAAGTAGCAAAAGGGTACAAAATAAATTCAGTGGTCTTCCGGTATATAGAAAGCAGTGGTTCTGCGGCTCTGAGGCAGCGCTGCATCATCCAGCGGTCGAAAAGCGAACACCGAGCGCCATGACTACGGTAGCATACTGTGTGGCGCATTAGACATCCAGCGCGGTGGAACCGAACAGCGCTCTCAGTCGATGCCAGCACTGTTTGCGAACAGATGTGGTGCAATGTGCGGCACACTGACGCATGCACTGCCGCAGCGCGCGTACTGATGGAATTTTCTGCGCGGCAGCGGCCCGCACCGCAGCACTGGCTCTGAGCTTGAGCAAGAAGCCAAATCGGGCATTGGAGCACAGAATTCAATTTGAGCAAAACAGAGAGAATAAAGAAAAGTAATGAGAAGTATTTATTTCTTGCTCAAATGGGTATTTTTCTGTATCAATTCAATTATATTTGGCGATTGTTCTAGTAACCTTCGGTGCACACTGCAAGTGAATTTGAAATGAATCTATTTGAAATTGAAATGACTTCCAACTGCGAAGATGTATATAATCTGACTGCTTTCCACTTCTTCTCTACTCTGTTTCTCTTTTCTTTTCATTTTCTTCATTTTATTTTACCTTTGCCTCTACTTTTACTCACCTTCTAATCCTTTCTGCAGTATCTTATAGTTTTTTCAAGTTAAGGCTCAAAACTGTCATACTTATTGTCTAATATTGTAATCGACTTCTTTCATAGTGCTCATATTGTCTCAGACACCTTTGCATCTCTATTCTCAATAATCCGATTTAAAGGCATTATTTTTATTTGTTTTTTCTTTAAAAAAAGATTTTCATCTGTCATTTTGATTTAAACTTCAACACTGTTTCACAAAACAAATTAAATAAAAAATAAAAAGGATTTGCATTTTCTGAATTTCAAAATTCACTCTAATCTTTAAATTTCATATTAAAGAATAGAATAGTGCCATCTGTTTGCTTATACAGCTTTATACTTTAACAAGTAAATTAGATCTGATCGTAATCATCTGTCAGATTTTCGATATTGGTTTTTTAATCGATTAAAATTAGCATATTCTTTCATTATTACAAATTTATCATCATTAACTTAAAAAAAAAACATTAAAAAAACTTAACCCTCATTTTGACTTGTTTTTAAACTAATACATATATACAAGTTTAGAATATCAAATTTTAATTCCAACAAATTTTTAGCTATTTTCTTCTCTTAAAATACCCATATTATTCAATATCTGTTATTTAATCCTTGATAATCATTAATAATAATCATCATTATAATTATAAATAAACAACAAATAACCATAATAATAATAATAATAATAATAATAATAATAATAATAATAATAATAATAGATTCAAAATGACTACTAAAGCATTTCCAAATTATAATAATATCAACAATATCAACCATTTTGATCCTGATATTTTAATGTCTTCAAACCTAAATAGCTTTGATCCATTAATAAACCCAACTTCTGTCTCAAATATTCTTTTAGATCCACCTTCTTTGAATCAGTTCCAAGTTATACCTAATGATATTGCTCAATATTTAAACAACATGGACTCTGTTCCAAATCCAAATGATCTTGATCAATTTTTAAACAACAATAATAATCATAATCACAACCATAATCATAATCATAACCACAATCACAACTTTAATGCAAATGCTAACACTAACATTAATAATAATAATAATAACATTAATAATAATAATGATAAAAATTTAGTTTCCAACAATTTAATACCCGAGAATTACTCAAATGATAACAAACAATTACCAATCTCTACCTCTATGGAAAAAAATAATCAACATGAATCATCTGGCTCTCTTTCTTTGCCCTTGTCAAATTTATCCATAAATTCAAATCTAAACAACCCCGATTATCATACCATTCTCAATAACAACAATCATAATAATATCAATAATCTTGAAAATCTCGAGAGTATTGAAAATCTCAATAATCTCAACAATATAAACAATTTCACTGATCTTAATGATCTTAATAACCTTAATAACCTTAATCTTAACAATATCAATAATATTAACAACCTCAACAATCTCAATAATTTTAATCTTAACAATCTCAATCCAAACAACGTCAATTTCAATCAAGAAATGATCCAACAGGCTGTAAGAATGCAACAACTACAGCAATTGCAACAGTTGCTAGACTTGCAAAAAATGCAATTGCAAATAGAACTCACCAATGAACCATCAATGGACATTAATAAAATCAACGACCAACTAAAAGCCAATACCAATTTCAACATGAACAACGAAAGCAGCTCAAACAAGATCAACAACAACGATAATAACAATATTGCCACCGATTACACAAATACATCAACCACCCCCAGCAACTACAAGTTCCCCCAAAATCTCCATGAACAGCACAACTACATATTGTCCTCAAATAACAACATCAACAATGACTACTCCTCCATTCAAAACGTCGAATCAATGCCCAAGGGAATAATCACACCTTCCCCTGATAATTACACCCAGCTGCTTTTGCCATCGTTTCAAAACCAACAGCTGTCTCAAACTTCTCCAATTAAACCATCTTCTTACTTCAATGGAATTCCTCTTCCCATCAACTCTGATAGCTTACTGAACCAACAACAACAGCAACAACAACTAGAATTCCAATCCAGCCCCAGCAATAACACCAACTACATCAAATCTAGCTCTTTATCGATATCTTTACCCTCGCAAAGATCTGCCAACCCTCCTTCCTCACCAACAAAACTACTATCTGCCCAGCAAATCAATACCTCTAATTACAACGACTGCAATGCTCATAGACCCCAATTAAAGCAATTGGCTTGGGAACAGATCGAAGCCTCTGATTTCGAAAAACATTTAAATAGTAAAGATCACTTGAAACCAAAACTTAGACGTAATAAGGCCTTCAAGATATCTACTCTACCTCCAGGGGAAATCGATAAATATATAACTGGTCCAACTGACAAAAAGACTTTTATTTGCAACTACAATAACTGCGGTAAAGCTTTCACCAGAAGATACAATATAAGATCTCATATTCAGACACATTTAAGTGATAAACCATTCTCTTGCCCATATCCATGTTGTGGCAAGGCCTTTGTCAGACAACACGATCTTAATAGACACCAAAAGATTCATTTGAGGAACCAAAATGAAATATTTTGTGAATGTGGAAAGACCTTTTGCAGAGTCGATGCTCTAAAAAGACACAAATTAAGAAATATCTGTTTGGGTGGTGTACAGGTCGAAGGGTATGTTAAGAAACCTTCTAAAAAGAGAGGCAGACCAAGAAAACATCCTCTACCTTTGGAAGTTCAAGAACAGTTGGTTGCTGAAATGGGTTCTGATAACTTTCAAGATGATAAAAGCCATAATCATATGTATCAGACTCATTCTTTATCCCCAAGCTTCGAATCTGCTCCATCAACTCCCCATTCAGATAATCATCAAATGTATCTTGACCAACCTCTTTCATATCAGTCTTTTGAGTAAACCTTTTGAGTAAGTCTCTTTATATCTACTGCTGTGCTTAGTTGCTTTTTTATTGTTCTACATTTATACGTTGCTCTTTTTATCTATAACTATTAATAGTCAAACAAATCATTAAAAGTTTCTTTTTCTGTGATTTAACTTTACTTCCTTTATTTTTTTTATTCAGTTTTTTTTTACATGTAAATTCTTTTCAGTTCGTTTCTAATTTAATCTTTTATAGAATGAAAAATCTATTATAATCAATTAATACACGATAAAAATATTTGCTATATACAAATTAATGCAATTTAACTTTTTTAAATTTTTCAATAGAGTTGCTTATTAAAACTGTGTTTGTAAAAGACCTTTTATTATAGTAGATTAACAAATTAAAACAAGATCAAGCGAAAACAAATGAATAACAAATGGATTAAAGTAAACGAAAACAAAAGGCAACAAAACAAAAACAAAACAAAAACAAAACAAAAACAAACAAAGTAATCAAAATAAAAAAAACAAAGAAAATATAAAAAGATGGTACAAAATTAATAAGGAATTCCATTTGTGAGTCTTTGAAATTCATCATAACCTTTTGTGTAATAACTCTCCATACTTTTCCGAATCATTTTTCTCATATACAAAGCTGCAGCCTTTTCACTTTTGGTTGGAACAAACCGGGATCTTAAGTTCTTAATAGTTACTTCACCTTTGAAACAGGGCAAACCACTTTGAAGCATTGGCAAAACACATTTAACGATGGTTTCCATATGAGGCCTTGTTGCCAAATAACCCTTCACACAGAGCTCTTCAAACCACTTGAAAGCTTGAGTTTGGTTACTACCTCCCATAACCTGGATCATCTCATGAGTTAGCTTGAATGGAGCAGCTTCAAATCTAACACCACCAGGAGTAATATCAAAGCAAAATCCAAAATCAATGTGCAATATATGTCCTTGATCGTCATACATAATGTTACCGTTGTGTCTATCTTTAAATTGAAGTAAATAGGAAATTATTGAGTAAGCTGCCAAGGACTTGACAAGATTATTACGGGCTTGCTGATATGCAATTGTATCTTCAGGTCCAAATTTCGTCACATAGTATTCATATAACCCGTTAACTGCTTCTCTACCCAACATATCTCGTGAAATCGAGTTAGGCAAAACATCAATTACACCACATCCAGGAGCAGTAGCAGTGACTCTATAGGGGAAAACATATAGATCCAAGCCATTAACAGCCCAAATCGTTCTGAAAACAGAAATTAATTGTAATGCTAAAACATCCTGTCGACAGTCATCACCCACTTTAAAGATGGCACTTTGCCATTTTTCAACATACGAAATTCTGACATTCTCTTCTTCATCATAGTCTTCAACTTCTTTTTTAATTCTGAATGTTGCCATAAATGGAGCTTTAGCATGAGATTGCAATGGCTTACCCGATGTACGATTAATATTAATAACAACACCATCTGGATTACTTGGTAGATAAACGCCAGATTTGACTACTATTTTCTTCATTTCTTCGTCTATTTTAATTTTTTTCTCACCTTTGGATTTCTTGATGTAAGGTTTGAGTTTTCCTGAAATCGATGTTACTTCATTAAAAAACGAAAATTCCTTCTCATAAAAAGCAAAATCAGTTTTATTGAACGACTTAACCATTTTGTTAGAAATATCATCCAACACTGGCTTGATATCATCTGGAAACACAGAGTCTTCATCCTTATAACTATTTGCAAGCATATTCCAAATAATTTGATGAGCAAAAAGTTGACTGATCTGAGCAGTTTCTAAAATGAATCTTGCAACATATCCTTTTTTATCAAATCTCAATGCTTGCACAATTTGAGGAACGTAAAAAAAAGTTAAATTAACATCATGGCTTTCCAATGCTCTCATTGTATATTGAAGAACATACGAATTTTCATCATATGGTGGTAAAAATAAATTTATAGCATCAATAGGACAAACCGGCTTCCAATACAAAAGATATTCTAAACTCCCGTTGCTGTTATCCCCATTAGGATCTAGGATATAAGCTACAGCATCTGGATAATTAATAGCTTTTATAGGCTCTGAACGTAAAAGTCTTCTTAATAAATAAACATATTTGTTGCTGGTCAAGCTGGGTGGCCCTATATCAGTGTATCTTTCAATCAAATTTATAGCCAAGATTGGGTTGAGAGCAAAAGACTGTCTTATCAATGACTCATTAATAGTCAAATCTGAATCTAACAACATGCCTGAAGCATCCTGAGGATCCAATGGGGTCAACCAAATAGACATTTTGGAAATTTCATTATCCATAAATAACAACAATAAATCTCTTTTAGTGCTTAAAATTCTCAGCATGTTTTTTGAAAATGATTTCACAAAAGCCAAATTCTTGATTATTAGACCAACTTCAATCAATAAGTTCATATCTGTTTTGATTTTAAGTAAATTGTTACCTAAAGGCCAAGATGCTTTGACTTTAAACCAGGATAAAGCTGCATTTAATATAAGATTAAAAAGTTCATAGGAAAACTTTTTTGACCCTACCTTCATGTTGAAGGAAAAGACATCTAGGGCAAGTTTAATTAATTCAAACCTCAACATTCGAGAAAAAGGATGCAAGCTAGCTTCTTTGAGATTTTCTAATGCCACCAAAATTGTGTAATTAAACTCTCTTAAAACATGAGACCCCTGGTATAAAACAGAGTAAAAATTAGATTGTAGTAATCTTATCAAGAGTAAATGATTCTTAAAAGTATTGTTCACTACAGCAGCATTATGGCTGATCTCTTTTTTATTGCTGGGTGCATATTCCATTTTTGAAAATTCAGATCCCACTAATTCCATATTTGAATCATACATCCCTTTTTTCATCAACACAGTCTTTCGGAAATTGGACAAAATTAGAGATAACAACAAAGACTGATTGTTTTTGGATAATTTTTTAGATAATATCAGCCAATGAGAAATAGCATATTTCGTAATGGATGGTTTAAATATTTCATAAGGTATATCCACAATGTATCTTAACAGTTCTCCATTATAAGCAGGCAAACTATTTGAAATTATCGTGTTTGACAAATCTTCCAACAAAAGTATAATCAGATCTTCCTTCATCAAAGTTGTTCTATGAGAATTTTCATCCAAATATTGCAAGATATCAATTACTCGATAACGTAGCTGTGAAAAATGAGAAAAGGGCTGAGAAAAACAACTTTTTTCATTTGACTGAATCGAGTAATTCGAAGCTTTTTTTGAAATTTTGCTACCAAAAACATTTCCCAATCCTCTTAGATTCGAACTTATATTATACGTTGAAAGAAATCCAGACATGGTATCAATCTTGTCGAAAAGACTGAAATTTTTGGAAAATGAAGTGATATTATAATGTTCTTTATCTGAAGGCAAAATTACACTGATCATTTCCATCGCAAATGAAACACCAAATTGAATTTCAGCATTGTAGGTATTTGTCGCTTTTTTAATATTTTCATTTTCAACACTTGCATTTACTGAAATATAAGACTGAAGCAATGACTTTACGTCAAAGCCAGACTTCATCAAAACTATTTTTATCCATTCTTTTGACTTTTTGTAAAATTTTTCAAGAGTTGCGTATCTCCAATCAAGACTGTCAGATAAAAGCAATGATCTCAGTATTTTTGTTTTATTTACTGTTGATACTAAATAAAACTCAAAAGCAGGATCATATCTATTTTCACTTAAATTCATGACACTCTCAAAAAGTAATGACAAAAGATTTAACAATGTAAACAAGGTATTTTCATTACATAAGAATGTTGGAAATTTTTTAATCAAAACATCAGAAGATTTAAAAGCAATGTCTTGAAGATCCGAATTTTTGTTGCAACACAATATTAAAAGCTCATTTAATTCGTTTGAAATTAAAGAAATTGGAAAAGAATCACTGTAACTTGATCGAGCCAGACCTTTGGATTTAATATTTTTAATTAATCTTCCACAATTTGTTAAAATAATATCTTTCAAAAACTTTTCCAAACTACTAATTCGAATTGAAGGATCCGAAAGATATGCCAAATTTGTGTGAATAATCCCACTTTCAACTCTCAAACTTTCTAGCAAAATAGTTGCCGATAAAAACATTAATTTGGGATAACTTATTGTCTTCATTTCAAATGAATTAATGTCAACAAAATCCTCAATATTATCCTTTTGATCTTTCACATTATGGTGAGAAGAACCTCTTCTTAAAACAGTATTTAAATCCAAAGATGTTTCATTGTTTTGATAAAATGACTCGCAGGCCAAAGGAGGTGAGTTATAAGCAATTATTTTCAATTCCCTTTCAAAATTTTTAGTAATTTTAGCGTTAATAAAATAACCATGAACAACCATATTGAACCAGATATTTCTAAATAGATCTGTTGTTTTTTGATCAAAATAATCAATTGCCAAAGGAGATTCTTTGTTTGAAGGTGAAGGGGATGGTAATAAAACAGCTAATGGCTTTAAATATAATGAAATCTCTTTTCCAATCTCCGAAATTTCACCGTGAGATCTATGCTGATTGAAATTTTCAACATCACCTTTAATGATAATTTGATTAAGAAGCTCATGCATATAAAAAACATAAGCTGGGTTTATATTTGAACTAGATAAATCATAAATCAAATTTCCATTTTCATCAACAATTGAATCCAGTTTAGTGTTTGATTTGTTTTTTTTATTTTTCAACAACAAAGTAGTATCAGCTACAAAAGAGTGTCTTCTACCAGAAATTTTTTCTTTGTCATATTTTTTAGCAAAGTCGTCAAATTCCTCATCACTTAAGAAAAAGTTTTGTTTCAAAATGTATGAAATTTGACAACGAGAATTAATTACCTCTCTCATGTAGTCTTTATCATTTATTTTCACTGCAAAATTAAAAACTGTGTTGTAAAACTTTATTAATAAACTTAAATTTTTAAAATCAAAAAATAAAACATTTATAATTTTGTAAAGATTTTTAAGAATTAAAATGTTCAAACATTTTGATAACGCAGATACTTTTCTTGATCTGGAAGAAATAAGAAAACCTTGAATTTGTTTTACTGGAGAAGTGGCTCTTGATGTGCTAGAAGATTTTTTTGATTTGGTTTTTTTAATTTCATTGTTGCTTATTTCGTCGCTGTTCAAACTTGGAAAATTAAATTTTTGAGACAAAATACTGATTACAAGAAGAGTTATATCCATTTGATTGTAATTTGTGGTTAATTCAATGATTGTTCTAATTGAGTTGCTAAATATTGACTCAATTTTCTTATCAACATAGGTATCATTGTGGTCAGAAAAAACATCATAAAATTTTTCATCTGACTTTAAATTTTGTTTAGAACTTTTTTTTGAAGTCTTTTTACTTTGTTTTATATCCGATTTATCAATTGAATTCACACTGTTAGTAACAGTTGTATTTGGAGGTAATAATTCCTCAATACCAGTTCTAGTTATTTTAGGTTTTCGTAAAGTTATTCCATCGATTGCATCAATTTCATCTAGATGCTCATCATCTATTGTTAGCATATTTATGATTGAGTAGATAGCACCAACAATCAAATCATCTTTTTGAAAATTGCCATTCAGTTCCATAAAGCCTTGAAAGTTTGCAGTGGATGATCTCTTAAAGGCTAAAGAAATGCAATAAAGTGATTTCTTTAAGATTTTATTAAAATTTAAAAAGGGATTATCAAAAATCAATAGAGAGAGCTTTCTAGTGATTAGACCCGGGATTTTGTTATTATCGGGATGAAAAGACAATAAAGATAAAAACCCTAAAATGTTGAAACTCAAAGAAGGATTAATTAGTTCGTTATTATCGTTGTATTCGTTAACGTCGCTGAAGTCGTCTGTATCAGTTGTATTGTCATCTGGGGTATTCAATTTAGAAGTTTCAGTATTTACTAGTAAATTTCTTTCTAATAAGTTATCAATAATAAATTCATTAGACAATATCTTTGTGAAAAACCCAATTTGGAATATTTCTAAAAGTAGAGATTTATTTTTAAAAATCAAGTGAATTCTCTCAAGGGAGTCCAAATTAATAGTTAAAGAATTTGAATACGAACCATTTTGAAGAATCCAAAGATTGTCCATTGAAGTTAGAAAGATAAACTTGCATAGATTTAATTCATTTTGGGTTAAATCATTAGAGGTCTTATAGTTTTGGTAAATTGAATTTGAAGAGTTGGTAGTGAAAATTGAAGCATTATCGTAGTTATATTCGGAATTGATAGACAATATGTCATCTATTAATTGAGGATTACTATTATTGATGTCTGAATTCAAATTTATATCAGAGGAAGAGAATTGATCATTTGGCACAAAATCGTTTTCTCTAAATTTTAGATAGACTAAAGTTTCAATCAATGATCTCTTTTTTTGTTGATTTTTTTGATTTTTTTTAGAGTTTGATTTATATTCTGAAAATAACTTTGATTTAAAATTTGTGGGAAATTTGTTTAGTAGTTTGATATTAGTGATGTCTAAAAGGATGTTTAGTTTGATTGAGTTCAAGTACTTCAAGAATAATAAACTTGAAAAGTCAGTGACGTTTTCGTCGTAAATGATTTCATTGTCATAATTTGAATCAAGATCGTTGTTATCTTTATTGTTATTTTCGTTTCTGATATTAGGGTTTTCGTAGTTTCTGATGTGTTTATCAGTGAAAAGTTTGCTTGATTTATAGAAATAGAGGTTAAATTCAAGCAAATATTTCAAGTCAATTTCATTGCTTGGATCGATACTCAAGTATTCATTGACAAAGCTATTATTTTCGATATTGGTATTGGTATTGTTAGTATCTACATAATCAGCGTTTGGAGTTTGAATGGTTATGATGTTTGTGGTATCAATTGGATTGTAGATATTAGAGATGAAGATTTCAAGATTTGATAAGAAGGAGTTTGAAGAAATCAAGTTATTTAAATTTTGAAATAGAATTAGATTTTTATTTCTGAACAAGACAGAGGTTAGATTTTGGTAGACATTCAAGTTATTGATATTTGAGTAATTGTTGATGTTGATTTTGAGATCATTGATGTTCATGTCTTGATTTTGGTAATTTTCGTCATCGTCGTTGGCGTCATATTCATCATCTTCATTGAAATAATCACCAAAATTGTAAGCATTGGAGATTTTTGCCTTATTTTTGGATTTATTATTAGTGTTAGTATCAGTATGAGTATTAGTAATAGGATCAATAATATTTGAATTGGAGTTTTGTGTTGATTTATGTTTTGAATTTGAATTTGAATTTGAATTTATATTTGAGTTAAAATTTTGGTTTGTATTATTGATGTTTAAAATCAAGACCTTTGAATGATTTGAAAAGGATAACAATAATGCAAAAAGTTGGAAATATAGATTTAAATTTGGGGATTCCTCGATGAATTGAGATAAGTTTGATAGATAGTTAATTAGGATATCATTTGAAAAGTTAAATAATTTTTGAACGTTTAAATGAATATCTTGAGTATCTTGAGAGTCTTGAGAGTCTTGAGTATCTTGGGTGCCTTGGGTATCTGGGGAAGTTGTATTTTTTTGAGCATTTTGGCTGTTTTTGTTTGCAGATTCTTGTTCTTTATCGTATAATAAGCTTTTCTTGAATTTTAACTTGAATTTTAATTTCTTTTCGTTGGTTAAATAGCTGTGTAAGTAGTAGATGATTTGGTTGATTGAATTAATTAGTAGTAATGAGATTTTGAAAAAAGGGTTTAGGTTTAAATTCAAATTGGAGACGTTTTTGTTGAATCTTAAGTTATTGGTAGAGAAATTTTTTAAAAGGAGGTTGAATAGATTCAATAGGATTTCGATTAGATCTAGATTTTTTTTGAAATTGTTGTTCTTTTCGAGCAAGTTAATTGATTTTGATAGGACTATTAGTAGTTCCAAGTCGTTTATTGATATGATGATAGGGTTTGTGGTGGACGTTTGTTTGTTTTTAGGCGAGTTTCTTTGAATTGAAGAGTTGAGATTGTTTATCAACTTGTTGAAGTTGGAGTAGTTGTTGTCAAAGTTGGTTGAAGCATTTGATAGCAACGATAGCTTGAGAATGGAATAAAGCGATTTCAAGCGAATGAAGGAAGCATTTGATGGAGCTATGGAGGAGGAGAAAATGGCCATTATTGATGCAAACAGTAGGTGTGTTTTCGAGTGTCTCTTTGAGTATCTCTTTGACTGGAGTGCTGTGGTATTTGGTGGAGGTGGAGTGTGTTGTCTTGAGGTGTTCTTTCATGGGCTTGCAGAGAGCAGGAAGGGAAGTTGGGAGGAAGAGAGGATATATGAGCTGTCTTGAGTGAGCAGAGCTTCTGTGAGCAGTGGGAGGTGATCAGTGAGTAATTAGCATAGAGTAGAGTAGAGTAGAATGGAATTGGAATTGGAATTGGAATTACAATTACAATTGCACTTCAAATTGCACTTGATTACAATTACAAAAGTTTTTCCAACCGCCTGTCAAGTTTGACGCTGCAAAGTCGCCTTTTTCTTCTCCAGAGGCTACAGAAGAAGCGCAACATCATGAGTTGGGAAGGGAAAATACAATTAAACAAAAGATATATATTCTAGAAGGGTTGGGTGAACTACATGAGCAACATCTTGGCTGGATCTTCGATCAATTCCTTGACAGTCTTCAAAAAGGTAACAGCTTCTCTTCCGTCGAGCATTCTGTGGTCGTAGGTCAAAGCCAAGTACATCATTGGTCTGGAGACGATTTGGCCATTTATTGTGACAGGTCTTTCCTTGACACCATGCAAACCGAGAACAGCAGTCTGAGGGATGTTGATGATGGGAGTACCATAGAGGGAGCCGAAGATGCCTCCATTGCTGATGGTGAAGGTGCCACCAGCCATGTCTTCCAAGGTGAGTTTACCATCTCTGGCCTTTTTGCCCAAGTTTACGATTTCGTGCTCGACCTCCAAGACAGAGAGCGATTCAGTGTTTCTGATGACTGGGGTGACTAGGCCCTTGGGAGTAGCGACAGCTATTGAGATGTCCACGTAGTCTCTGAAGATCATTTCGTTGCCTTCAATGGAACCGTTGACAGCAGGAATGTCCTTCATTGCTAAGGTGGAGGCCTTTGCAAATAGACCCATGAAGCCAAATTTTATGCCAGTTTTCTTGATAATTTCGTCTTTGTAGTTTTTTCTCAAGTTCAAGACAGCAGACATGTCGACTTCATTGAAGGTTGTTAAAGAAGCGGCTGTGTTTTGGGCTTCTTTAAGACGTTCAGCGATTCTCAATCTCATTCTGTTCATTTTCACTCTGTTTTCAGATCTGGAGAAGGCAGCCTTGGGTGCGTTTTCTTGGATTGGAGCAGCTGGAGCTGGTTCTTTTTTGGGTTGGGATGGAGCAGTAGCAGGGGCCTTTTCTGGAGCTGGAGCAGCTGAGGGAGCTGGTTCGGATTGAGCAGGAGCTGGTGTTTCTGCTGGTTTGGCTTCTTCTTTTGGGGCTTGTTCCTTTGGAGCAGATTCCTTTGGAGCAGATTCCTTTGGAGCGTCCTTTGGAGGCTCACCTTCTTCCAAGACTAACAAGTCGTCACCAACGTTAACAGTGTCTTCGGGTTCGAATTTGAATTCTTTGATATAACCAGCGACAGGGGCATTGACTTCGACATCAATTTTGTCGGTTTCGATTGTTGCAATGGTTTCATCTTGGGATACATAATCGCCGATTTGCTTGGTGTATTCTTTCAAAGAACCTTCAGTGATGGATTCAGCCATATCGGGGACTTTGACAACAGTGGAGGCGAATCTGTTGAAGGATAGACTACATGGTTTGTATTGAAAGAGGTGTTGGTTTTTTAGTTGGTGACTGAAACCCTTGGTGTTAATTGTGGTGATGAGACGAGACTGATTTATCTTGATGAGATACTTTGTGTTTGAAGATAATACTCTTTGGGAAATTGAAAAGAGATTTCTGTTTGAAATTGCACGAATATTGTTAGAAAGCATTTTTTAGTTTATTTGAAATTTCACTGGAAAATTTATTAGAAAATTTAATTATAAGTTAATTATAAGTTAATTATAAGTTAATTATGAGATAAGATAGTAAAATGATAAAAGTTGATTGGAATTGAAAAAAAGATGTGTCAAAAATATAGTACATTCAACGAAATTCAGAAAGATTTCAACAGTATTTAATATTCAAATAAAGCAAGAGAATTGAGAAGAAATGGAGATGAAAAGAGGAGATATCTTTATAAATATAAAAAAAATAAGAAAATAAGAATTGAAATATGGATCGTTATTCCAATATAAGTTGGAGAGTATAAGTGAAGATTGAGAAAAGCAAAGAAAGACGGTGGAATTGTATTTCGACCGTTGATGAAGGCAGTTTTTCTGATTCGACCGTCCGGCGCGCAGACAGAATAGCCGGGTTCGGTGGACATGGCGGACCAATCACAGGCGCGCAAGATGGGATTTGGTGGGATTTCCTGGCACTCGTCGCGAGATCTGGCAGAAATTAAGTACTTATCGGCTCCGAGACCCGTCAGCTGGTGGGCGTGGCGGACGAGGGCAGGTCGAAAGAGCACCCTCGGATATGTGTCGCACGTGCGGACTATATACATACATATATACAGGAGAGAGTTGAGACTAGAGGGAGAAGGTGGACTGGGTGGGACCCTTTTCGAGGTTGATGTGTTTCAAGTAGAACTTGAAATCGTGTCTCTGGCGAAGGTTGGCTGCGATTTCTCTGCGCACGTTGAATTTCTTGTTGCTGTCAATGGTGGTGTGGAGGTAGTTGTAGAGCGAGAGCTTGTCCTTGTCAAAGTACAACTGGTTGTGGAGCGAGCCGATGGAAATGTGCAAGTTGTTGAGGTCGCCGAGGTGGTTGAAGGAGTAGTTGAACTGGTCTCTGAGATAGGTCTTGTATGTCTCTGAGACCTCGCTGAAGTTGGCTGGGTGTTTGATGGTGGGGTAGTCTGAGTTGAAGTCGTGGTTGATGTCCTGGGTGTCGTTGTTGAAGATGTCCATCACAAGGCCATTTTCGATGTTGTCTAGGACTTCGTTTCTGTAGGAGGACAAGACCTGGAGTATGCTGTTGTGTAGGGGCTTGAGTTTTCTCAAGGTGTGGCTGTCGAAAGTGAGAGCGAGGTAGATTGTTTTGCCATTGTAATTTTTGAAGATCTTTAGGTTTTCGTAGTTGAAGTTGAGACTGATGCCATTTGATTTGTAGTTGTTGTCGTTGTCATCGATGTTTTCAATTTCTAGTAGATTTATGTTTTCTCTTTTGAACTGGTCGAATTTGGATTGCAAAATCTTTGACATTTCATCAAGGCTCTCTTTTTTCAATACAAATCCATTGGACAAGGATAAATGTAGAGGTTTGACTTTACTGTATAGCAAGGTTTTCTCGTCCATTATGCATTTGAAACTTGGAATTAGTCTATTGAATGAGTTCTTTTGATTCAAGTCAATTGATTTTTCATCATTATCATTATTTTTTTCATTTTCATTTTGATTATCATTTTGATTATCATTATCATTATCATTATCATTATCTTTGGGAGGGGCAACTTTACTAATTCTTTCATTGATTGGAACCTTTTCAGATAGTTTTTTGGATAACAAGTTCATCAAGTAATCTCTGGTTATCGGTTTGTTGAGTCCACTATAGGAAGTTCTAGCTGGTTTTTGATTTTGGTTTATTAGATTGGTTTGGCCATTTGGTTTATTTTTCTTTTCATTTCGAAGCACTCTTTGGTTGTGTGGAAAGATGACTTCTCTGTTGATTTTATCAACAATTCTTTTAAACGCGTGGATCTTTGTCGTATTATAAGAAAAATTGCAGTAGATATACCCCTTGAGCAAATTTGATGACATTCTTTGTCTTTTCGTATCTTCTCGACTGCGTGGAGTGATAGCAAGACTGATATTGGACAATCTTCGTTTTCTGGCGAACTTGTTGACAATGATCGATGGTATGTCTGGTAGCTCGAAATCCTTATTCTCCTCTGCACTATCAGTATGATCGAGTTCTTCGCTGGACGACGAGTAATTGTCAACCAACTCCATTTGATCTTGTTCCAGCTCTTTCTGTCATCAATAGACTGAAAAACTCCAGGAAACTCATCAGGGAAGTGCATCCGCACTGCTGGAGTCTTTGCTCAGTGCATGCACACGCCGCTGCATGCAGAGACCCAGACAAACTTCTGGCTGCGTACTGCTGCGTTTCTTTCTGTCTGAGATGCACCTCTTCCACCAAAACCGCCTCCCGGCCCGTGACCGACGCGAGATCCGCCGCTCTGGTAAGCGTTCGCTGCGTCTGCGCTGCGTTTCATGGATGCACTGAAGCAACTCTCCCACACGCACAGGCCCCCACTTGTGAGCAGAGACCGCCACAGTGGACGCTAGGGGCCTGTCCGGACAGCGCGCGAAAGAGCCGGGACCAGTGCTGGGGATGGAGGTGCCTCTGGGTCTGGGATAAATAAAGAGGCTGCTGAGTGTGCTTCCTTCCTTCTTCTTTCCTTCTTATCACTTTCCTGCTTCTTCAAAGGCTCCTTTTCTTCTTCTTGCCCTTTGAGCTGCTTTCTCTCGTCTTTTTCACTCCATCTCTCCATCTCTTTATCTCGTTATTTTCTTATCTCTCTTCCACCTATTTGAATCCCCCCAACCTCAATATCCTCACTTTCATCTTTACCATTACACATCCATCGTTCTTCACTCTATTGCTATTATTACTGATACCTCTCAACATCATTTCTAATACTCGACTACACCTCTCTACACTGTCCTCACTTCTCCAGATCACCACTTTAAACTGTCCTCACTATTCTTCCATCTTCACTCCATTCTCCACCATATAACCCCATACTCCCATTATCCCACACACTCCCATATCCCACAATCCCACACTCCCAATAATACCTGACTTACAACTGACTCATTTATCTCACTTTGCCTTTATTTTTCTCTTAATTTGATTACTATTAACAATAGTAGTAATCTGTTTGTTTGTTTGTTTGTTTTTTCTTTCTCCCTCTCTCTCTATTCTCTATTCTTCTTTTAATCCTCATTTAAAATGGGTTTAAAATACACTGAAAATATCGAAATTAACGATAAATCAAGCCAAATTTACGTCTGCAAAAACTGTAAAACTCACTTACTAAAAAGTGACTGGATAGAAAGCTACGACTTTAGAGGTATTCATGGTGATGCTTTTTACTCAAACAAGCTAATAAACTACCTAATTAACAAAAACATAAAAATCAAAGAAATGATGACCGGTTACTACCAGGTCAAATCAATCAACTGCTACCAATGCCTATTAGAAATCGGCTGGAAATATATCAAAGCTAATGATCCATCTCAAAAATACAAAGAAAACAAATTTGTTATCGAAGCTGAACTACTAAACCAACTCAAGTTTAATTCAAATAACATCAATCTCTCTCTCAATTCAAAAAAAAATCTTTCAAAACTTAAAAATAGCAATCTTAATAATAACAATATTAATAATAACAAACTCGCTAATAAAAATAATAATCTCATTCTAAATCAAAATGATTCAAAATCAATTCTTATTAATAACAATAAAAACAATAATAACAATAAAAACAATAACAACAATAATAACAACGATAACAACAATGAAAACAATGACCTGGGAATTATCTCAAAAATTAATAACAATACACACTTTCCAAACACTTTCAACTCCTACAATAACAACGACGCTGATCTCTTTAATGACTACACTGTTTATAACATCTACGATGAATACAACTCAAACACCAACAACTCAATTAAAATTGATCTCGACCTCGACCTCGACCTTGATCTAAATCTCATCCCAAATAATGAAACTGACATTGAAATCGATTCAGATCTAGATTCCCTGCAGGAAAACTCCTCCATCGACCTATCAAACGATAAACACTCTTCCTCTACTAACAACATTAAACAAATCAACTCAATCAAAAATGACGACTCGATAGATTCCTCTCTCGATTCCTCTCTCGATTCCTCTATAAATACAACTATCGATAATACCACCATCTCATCCCTAAATCTCATCCTAAACACAAACAGCGACTATTCCCTCATCTCCATACAATCTCTAGCAAACAAACCTCCAAATGATAATCTCACTCCAAATCCAATCATAAATTCTCTAAATACAAGAAACATCACTCTCAACAACAACCAACTCATCTATCCTTATTTCAGAAGATCATACTCAAATCTCCCTAACCACCTCCCTTCCATTTCTAATCTATTCTCAAATACCCCAGATTTCAACTTCGTAAATTACTATCCCTCGCCTCTTCCAATTCCTCACAACAATACCCCAATTACCCCAATTACTCCAATTACTCAAAATAACCAAATTAATACCCCAAATACAACTCCAAGTATTCCCACAACAAACTCAATCATCAATAGCACCAGCACCAGCAACAGCAACAACAACAACAACAGCACCGGCATTTCACACCGTTCTTCTAATGACCCTTCAATTCCCAATACAGATATCAATACATCTTCTTCTCCTTCTGCTCCTCCTCCTCCTCCCTCCTCTTCAAATCAATCTTATCCTATCAACAATAGTAGAATTGGTAGACTAAATTCTATTAACCAAGGAGATCCAAATTGTTACTACTTTCCTTATTCCTAAGGTTATTTTTTTTTATTTATTCTTATTACTTAATTCCAACTTGGGGTTTTATTTCCTATTTATATCATACCATCATTTTTTAAATTTTATCATCTATTTTGGTTTTTTTGGCTACCATTCATAATCTTTAACTGGTATTTATTTATTTATTTATTTATTTATTTATTTATTTATTTATTTATTTATTTATTTATTTATTTATTTATTTATTTATTTATTTATTTTCTGTTTTTGTCGTCTTGGTTCTTTTATTTAACTATAACGTTAATTGTCTTTATTTTATTTTCAATTTTCAGGGTTTATCTTTATTCAATTATCTCTCTTATCTCATTCAACTGTTTTATTTCAACAAAAAACAACACTTCCACTTCAAATACGACTTTAAAGTCTTCATATTTTCTTTTTTTTATTGTTCTTCACTTCTTTATCCTATTATAATTTACTGTCTTTCAACACCATCAATCTATTGCCCATTTTAGTATACTGTTTTTGTCTATATTTTACCAGTTCAACTATCTTTTTCAAGAAAGTTACGAAATAATTCTTAGATTCTATATTTTACTTTACTTTACTTTACTTTACTTTACTTTACTTTATTTTATCATTCTAAATAAACCTTGATTTATCTATATCTAAATGAACCCACAATAATGCCCTACCAACTAATCCTTTCTTTTATTTATCTCACTTCTCTCATCCTCACATAGATAGTAATAAATGTCATGAACTTTGAATCAACCACTCCTGAACCGGAAAGTCGTGAGTTCGACTCCGCCATCTACCGTTTTAATCAAATTACAGCCCATAATCCATAATAAATACATTGTCCATAAAAGAATAACCCCATGGTAGTTTCTTTATCCCCTACATTAGTCAAAAAAAATTATCAAATGATCAGCTTTTTTATCAAGAAAGGAATGCAATCTTTAAAAAATCTTTACTAATTATATTTCTAAACTAAAACTACTATAAAAAATCCGCTAGCTAAAGAGAGACTAGCAGCACCAAATAAATTTCATCGTATTAAAAAAATTCATCAAAACTAGTAGCAGAATCAATACAAACCACCTCTTAATCTGAGAACCAAATGCAAAGTGGACTCCTTTTGAATGTTGTAATCAGAAAGAGTTCTGCCATCTTCTAATTGCTTACCAGCAAAAATTAATCTTTGTTGATCTGGTGGAATACCTTCCTTGTCTTGGATTTTCGATTTAACATTGTCAATAGTATCAGAAGATTCAACTTCTAAGGTAATAGTTTTACCAGTAAGGGTTTTAACGAAAATTTGCATACCACCTCTCAATCTGAGAACCAAATGCAAAGTGGACTCCTTTTGAATGTTGTAATCAGAAAGAGTTCTACCATCTTCTAATTGCTTACCAGCAAAAATTAATCTTTGTTGATCTGGTGGAATACCTTCCTTGTCTTGGATTTTCGATTTAACATTGTCAATAGTATCAGAAGATTCAACTTCTAAGGTAATAGTTTTACCAGTAAGGGTTTTAACGAAAATTTGCATACCACCTCTCAATCTGAGAACCAAATGCAAAGTGGACTCCTTTTGAATGTTGTAATCAGAAAGAGTTCTACCATCTTCTAATTGCTTACCAGCAAAAATTAATCTTTGTTGATCTGGTGGAATACCTTCTTTGTCTTGGATTTTCGATTTAACATTGTCAATAGTATCAGAAGATTCAACTTCTAAGGTAATAGTTTTACCAGTTAAAGTCTTGACAAAAATTTGCATGTTGAGAGTGTGGAGAGAGTTGAGATAAGTGAGAAAATAAGGGTAGATTGGATAAATAGATAAAGAAAAATAATAAGTAATAAAATTACTACAATAAAAAATAGTTGTTGATAAAACCAAAAAAATAACAAATAGAAGAAAGCAAAAAGCAGGAAATGAAGGATATTTATACAAATGGCGAGAACTTTGCCTTGGCCACCCAAAAAGAAACGGCGATTAGATTAGCAACCTCAGCGATAGACCTCAGCCCGTTATGGTGATTACAAATGCCGCCGCTCCACACAGGTGGTCTTACACATGCGTTCAATGCATTTCCCTGCAAGTACCAATCACCAGGGTCATTTGTGCCAAGCCCTCCACACTGCTGGAACGCTTTTAAGATGTGAGACATAAGCGGTAATGTGCTGGTGTTTCAAAACAATTTGGGTCATAGAATAGGGCGATGTAGCTCGAAGAAAGTGTCTATTTCTTCAAGAGCACATTGTGAATAAACCGAGCTCGATACCGATATCAGCTAACATTGGCACATGTATATCAACAGGTAATATGGAGACTTTGGGAGATTTGAGAATCACCAAACCAGGTCGTCGTCAAAGTCGCTTGGAGCAACAGAAGTAGCAGGGCTGGTGTGGTTTGTGGGTGGAGTGTCGCAGAGATCTCTGTTTGTGCCCAAAGGCGTTGCACAACCACTTGGTGCTTGTTTGTGTTGGTGTGTCTCGCTCAGCTTTTGTCTGCAACCTGTGTCGTGCTCTTGCCCTTGCTCTTGTTCTTGCTCTTGCTTTTCCTTGTCTGCTTCCTCTCCTTCTGACTGGGAATCCAACTCCATCACTGGTCGAGTGGGATTTACCCAGTTGTACACTGCTGTTGGCACAAAATGCAAATCAGACCCAATCCACTTGCGGTTGCCTCTGTGGCTGCTGTTGTCTGGGGCATAGTATAGTGGTGTGTTGGAGTAGATGGTCTGGAGACACTGGAGGTCGTCGTCTGAGAGATTGGGGGTTTTGACCACTCTGATTCCAGTGCTGAACGAGTAGGTGAACAAAACTGGGCCATAAAGCAGCAGGAAGTCAGGGAGAAACTGCGACAACAATCTGCTCAAGCCCTCAAGCGTCACACACATATCCCCATAGCTGTTGTAGCAAAAGAGACTGCTGCCGGTGTTGCTGCCATTGTTGCTGCCATTGTTGCTGCCATTGTTGCTGCCATTGTTGCTGCCATTGTTGCTGCCATTGTTGCTGTTGATGGTTGTGTTGGTTGTGAGATGTGCATTGCCAAAGTGGGTGTGGTTTTCATCTGGCATTGCTGACATTGCTGAGTATGGTGAGTTAGCTGAACTTTGCCGGTTTGCTTGCGTTGGCAGTCTGTGTGGAGATGGGTAGTGAGTTACAGGTGCAATTGACAGTTGGTGGATTGGGTGGTGAATGAACAGATACACAGGTTCAAGATGGATAGTTAAATAGATTTGGAATCGGACACTGGGATTGTAAGAGCTTTTATGTTTTCATGTTCACACAGTTTCAAGTGTTTTGCCCCTACTTTGTCTTCCCTTTTTTTATTTTCAATTTTCGTTTTTCGTTTCTCTTTCTAGATTTCTACTTTGTATTTTCTTTTTTAGTTTATTTGTCTGAATGGCTAATGGTTGTGTTATCTGGATTGCATATCTCACACTGGAATTACAGGTTTCAGGTTAACAACCAAAAATAGTTGGGATTTTTCTCAGTCAATGTTTCTTCGACTTAATACTCGACTTTCTCTTGACTCTCTTTTGATTCTCTTTCTCGATTCTCTCGCATTGTCCACCATTGGAACAACTTTGCAGCCAGAACTGTTACTGATGGCCCAAATCGGCATTTGGGAATCCGGAAAGCATCGCCGGTACTGTCCGTTGGACTCATCCAAGCAACGCTCGAACACACGAGTGCTCACCATCCTTTGCACCGTTTTTCCTTCCAAAACAGTGGAAACAGCTGGCTTTCCGGTTTCTTCGGTGTGTTTTGGCAGCTCGCCGAAGAAAAAATTGGAAAACACCAAACTTGAGGATGCAATGCCTGTTGCGTCACAATGCGTCCGTCAGCCGCAAAAGTCGAAACTCAAACTACTTCTGTAGTTTATCAAGGATATTATCAAAATACCATCACCTTCTTGTCATCGACAGATATATTACTGTAGAAAAATTGTCGAAATACAGGCAAACACAATTTATATATCAGAACTTAATTATCGAGTAGTTGGATTAACAAAAGGGAAAAATCATCATTATTTCCAAACTCAAAAACTCAAAAACTCAAAAATTCAGAAACTCAGAAAAGAGCTCAAAGGAGGTCGATCAAGAAAAACACATTTCCATCAACAACCTCGCAGTTTGTTCAGTCTCCTTGCTCTTTCCACCAGATAAGACACTATCGATTGAAGTGCCAGCAACGACATTGAATACTTGTCTTCTCAAGCTCTATCAACGGCACCGATACATCAATTCAATTAATTGCTATCAAATCACTTAATTGCTAATTATTTTGCACTCCCACAACTTCAAACAGTATGTAAATACAGTTTCACTACCATCAATATTGATTGTCTTTGAAATATTTTAGCTTTTCTGATGATTGCACATGTAAATTCTATGTGATATTATTTAATAGTCGGAATTCAAACTGGAAAACTGTATTTCTCTTTTGCAAAGAAATGAGAGCTTCATATTATCTATATCGAGTCTAATTTTTCTGAATATTTTGTTTTTTTTGGAATACCATTTTCATTCTCAGTCTTTTGAATCACCAGCTGTATTTTTCCGCTTTTAGCACAATTTCAGCTTAGATACAGTCCATGAGACATAAACTGCTCTCTTAATCAATCCATAAGCCAATCAAATGACTTGTTCACCGTTCTCTTACCCAAAATCGCAAAAATCACCGCAAAAGTAAAAAAAAAAAAAAAAAAAAAAAAGAAGCCTGATNGGTGACGCCTATATATGCATATTCATGCAGTTTTACAGCTACTTGCTCCACCCGTATCTGTGGTGTTTTTCCATCGGTGAATCAAAAAGTCAAAAACAGTGGTAAGAAATTAAAATCCATTTATTGTTTTGATATTTAATCTAATCAACTATTGTTTATCGATTTCGCTTACTTCTCATTCATTTCAAACAGATCTGTTTTATATTCTCCGATAAACTTCACACAGAACCCTGTCTCATTTCTCATTTCTTTTTCTTTTTCTTTTTCTTTTTCTTTTTTTCTTGAGGACTCAAAACTTGATAGCTTGAGAGCTTAAGAAACAGACAAAATGAGTGGCAGAGATCATTATAACCCAAGTCCAAATGGAAGAAATATATCAAATATGCAATCCAATAAGAATGTTTCCTTGAATATTATTAATAGAAATCCAACCGAGATTGATCTCTTATTCAACTATCTAAGAAACCCTTCTTCAATGACTCCAAAAACCATTTTAGGCTATATCGTTCATTATTTGCCTACACTAAAAAACGATAAAAATGTTTCTCTTTTAATTTCCTATCTTTTAATCTCTCCAGCTTTTTTTTTTAGTAATAATAATAACAATAATATCACAAAATCCACAAGTATAGGTCTTAATGATTCTTACTTGGTTATCGAAGCAATCAAGACCTCATTTGAAAAGAAAATCAAAATCTCTTTGCCAACTTTATCAATCAAAAATTTTTACAACTCGTTTTTAAAAATTATACTTCAATTTCATAATCTGAATATTAATCCTCTAGGTCAAAATTTAATAATCTCTGGCATCTTATTAGCTGATAACTCTCTAATTAATTATCGCTTGAAAATCCCTGAAAATATTTTTTTTTTCAATGATTTTAACCAAAAGATTTTACAAATTTATTCAATAAATTTAAAAAGGTTTTTCAACAATGAACTGTACATTTTGTTAAATTTCAAGTCTCTTGTCTTAAACAATTTCAATAATTCTCCTCTTAATTATTTAAACTATCTAAATTATATAAACAGTATCGATAATAATAACATAAATCATTTAAATAGAAATAAAAATAAAAATAAAAATATAAATATAAATATAAATGACTATAAAATTTTTGAAACAATGTTTAAAGAAAAGTCATTAATGGTCATTTCACTCGCTTGTGTTTTCAATTATCTATTACAACCAAATGTTCAAAATACATCTCAAATTATTCACTTTAAAAAAAATATCCCCAATTTAGAAATCTTATTGCTATCAATTAATCTACTATTTAACTCAAAATATGGATTAAGCAATATCAATTTACTCACCAATAGTAACAACTCAGCTGACAATAATCTTGTTTTAAAGCACTTGAACAGGTTATCCTTTTTAATTGAAAATTCAATTATAAATATTGGAAAAAATCTTGATCAGCAATACAGCAGTTTATTGTTTAACGCTAAAAACATCATATCGCTAATTCCATTGAATAATAAACCACTAATCGCTAAAGATAACCAAATCATTGAAAATAAATTGTTATTATTAGATTATACTTTAACTAATTTAGTCGACTACTCTAAAAATTTAAACAACTATTCATTAAACTTGTCAGATTCAGACAATGAGTTGAACTGGAATGTGATAAAAAACACAATTTTTTCAATTATTATTATCAATAAAAGCTTTACTGACTTGTCATTATCAACCAACTTTTTCTCAAATAATTTCAAAAATAGTGAAATTTCGTCATTTATTATAAACTATTATTCCAATATCTTGAAAATTTTATTCTTTTTGAATTTCATATTGAGTAAAATCGGTACTGGGGGATTTCAAAGCTATAAATTGATTTACTTAACATCGATGAATAATTTAATTGAGTTTGATTTGAAAACAAACGATAGAGAGGAAAATAAAGCAACAATCCATGAAAATTTAAGTGATTTGTTTTTAAGTTATATCCCCAACTATAATTCAAATAAAAGACCGCAAGAGTTGGATATTAATAATAAGATTATCAAGTCAAATCTAAACTTTTTATTGAATTATTGGGAGTATTTAGTTCAGCATTGTTCACAGCATTATTTTAACAATACTATACTACCGATTATAAATTTTTTTATAGAGAAACCCATAGTTGAGATTATAAAAGAAGGCCATAAAGATTTGCTAGAAAATTCGCATTCTGTTAAATTGTTGTCGTTAGGGGCTATTAAGGAAGGTGAGATCAATTTAATAAATTATTTGGAGATAATTTTGGGACAGTTTCCGATAATTTTGTCTTTTAATCAACTAAATCTAGCGATAAAATCAATTTCAATAGTTATTAGAGGAAATTACGATGCCCAGGATTATCGGCTTAATCAAACAATAGAAGAAATGTTTTTGTCCAAGATATATTTGAAAATCAACTCAATCAAAAGTGGAATCCCATTATCAAACCACAATTTAAATGACTTTGATCCACCATCGACGAAAGCAGCGATTGCATGCTGTTTGATCAACATTATTCCATACACGAATAGCGAAATTCTAATAGACTGGTTAAATGTGATATATTTCAACATAATATTCAGCCGAAGGAACGCACTAACTGGCAAAGAACAGGACTTTTTGGCTGATAAACTCTGGGATATAATCAGCGACAACTTGGGGGTCGAGAAGTCGAACATCGCGATAAACTGGTGGTACAACAAGGAGAAGATAGAGACATCATTGATTCCATCAAAGCTCTAGTAGACAGCAGGACTGGATGGTTTTATGTAGTTTTTTCTGATAGTTGATTTTACATTTGTTCTTTTCTCTCGCTGAGCTGTGTCAAAGGAAGTAGACGACGGCTATTGAGCAGCAATTTCCAGCAGCATCCATTGTAACTTTGAAACAGACTGAGTTCGAAGAGCTGGCGAATTGAAATAGCTACCATTTGCTGTAGCACAGAAGATATTCCCATATCGCTATCTCATATCTCCAGTTTCCAAGCTATCGCTCCTAGCGCGGAATGCGCGAGTATAAGAAAGAGCTTTGGAAGCTGAGGCCCATGTAGAAACAGCACCAGGAACAGCACTTTTCTTCTTCATCTTCTTTCTCTTCTTTCTCTCCAGCTTCCTCTCATCTTGCACTACTTCACTATGGCATCCAGAGCATTCACCGGCAAGTTCGCCAGATTCATGAATTCGGAAACAGGCCCCAAAACAATTCATTTCTGGGTACGTTGAAGCTGTCCTTTTCTGCTTTTTCTGTCTCTTGTTTTCTTTCTTTTACTAACACCAGTGGCAATTTGCTTACAACACAGGCACCAACATTGAAATGGGCACTCGTCATTGCTGGTATCAGCGATATCAAGAGGCCTGTTGACTCCCTTTCTGGAACCCAACAGTTTGCTCTACTCTGCACCGGTGCTATCTGGACTAGATGGTCCCTTATTATAAAGCCCAAGAACTATCTTTTGGCTTCTGTCAACTTCTTCCTTGGATCAGTCGCAGGAATTCAAATTGGTAGAATTGTTTACTGGAGAAATTCCCAAGGGGATTCAATTGGTGAAATTGCTCAATATATTGCAAATGGTAAGGCTAAAGAAACCAAAGAGGTTGCACCAGCTCCGGTTATTGCTAAAATAATTGAAAAGGCATAGATCAAGAATTGCAATGATTTAATAATTACTTAATTTAACAATTAAATTGCTATAAAATTATGTTTTGAGGAAAATTTTACATTTTAAAATTAGAATTTTTTTCGTTTCTTTTCATCACAATTGTATTTTTGTTTTCTTCTTATTTTAATTACGATTCCTGTTTTATGGTTCTACTTTATTTTGTCTTTTGTTTTTATATTTTTTATCTTTATTTGATTCTGTTTTGTTTTATCATTCATTTTAATTCATCAAAATAAGATATCTTAACTATGAAATTACTTGAAAATATTTCTTACACGTTTGATCCGTAGATCTGGTTTGTTTATGCATGCAGAAACACGCGTCTATGTAAAAATGACCATGATTGAGGTACACATGAAAGCTATATACATTATTTGCTTTCATCTTCTTTATTTTTATCTTCTACTTGATCTTTTAGTTCTTTATCTTCTTTATCTTCTTTATCCTCTACTTCATCTTTTATTTCATCTTTAGATTCCTTCTCTATATTTACTATATTTTTATCTTTTTCTTCATTGCTTTTACTTTTACTTTTACTTTTATTTTGATGAATATTTACTTGATTTTGTTTTTTTAATTTAAAACTTTCCATTGCTTCATCAATATCAGGAAAGGAAGAAAGCAAATTAATCTGATTGTTTAATTCGGAATATGTTTTTATTTTATAATAGGCATGTACAGTTTCGAAAGGAGAATTGTAATAAATTCTAAACTGATTTGAATCGGAATCCAAAATAATATCGTAAATGATGGCATACAAAGACAATAGGTTGAAAATCTGCAGTTTATCTAGATTTGAATTATTCTCAAACAAGAGACTGTTTGATTCATTTTTATAAGAATCGAAATCAGCGTCAATTGTTAATTTAGAAGAAATTTCTGGAGATGAGCTGATTTTATAAAGAAACCTCAAGGCATTTTTGGCTTCCAGATTCTCAGAAAAGACTAGGTTCATTCTCCCAGTATCTAGTTCGAAATCTTTGCCAAAGTAATTTAAACGGGATCTTAAAATGGTGTCCACTTTTTTGTTGAAATGAAAGACATCTCCCTGATAACCACTTAGAGATTTTATTTCCAAGGAAATCGAATTAAAGAGTGGATTCATTGCTTGATACTTTGTAAATTGAAATTTTGTATTGTATTTCGATAAGGCATTGAGTATAGAGTGGTGGGTATATGGATGGTTAAAATTGCAAATTATACTATACATGTCGATATTTGATTCAATTACAGTATATTTATCGATACCAACTATGCCAACGTTGTTATTTTCTTTAAAATTTTCAGCTAGAAATGTGTTTTGGATCTTATAATTAACGAGTTTGGGTTGTATAGCACGTTTAGAAGTGAAGAAAAAGGAGGGTCCATTAGAAGCAGCAAATCTTTTGAATATCTGATCAGGCAACATTTTATGAAGATAATGAAGATAATGAACGATTCGAACAAAAATTGATCTGAATATGTAAACAAAGAGAAAACGAATATATATACTCTCAGATAGAGATATGATTGGTAGCTTTCTGTGAAGAAAATCTACAGAAAAACCGATGCGAGCGGGTAACGGTATTGGAGCAGAGCCGTCGGAGTGGACTTGAAATGTAATTTAGAAGCAGAACTCAGAAATGTAGCAGTGGTGGTCAATGAGAAAAAGAGCTAGAGATAAACATCAGACTCACTCAGGTCGCTGAGCTTCAGAGCAGGGGAGTCTGGAGAAGCGTAGGCGTTGACAGTGAAATCGTGGAGACAGTAGGGACAGGTATAGTGGGAGGTGGAGGAGGAGGCGCCCGAGAAATAGTGGCCATTAGAGGAGGAGCTGGATTGGCTGCTGTTGAAGATTGTCTCAACCCACGATAGGATGCAATTGGAATGGTAGATATGATTGCATGACAATTTTATGATTTTGTCATTTCTGGCAAACGTTTCGTAGCAGATCGAGCAGATGTTTGAGTTGATATAATAGAACGGATTCTTGGTAATGGCATTACCGAGTTCGTCAATCTTATTAGTGTTCTCACCGCTGTTCGAGATATTATTACCATTATAATTGTCATCACGATTATTATTATTGCTATTTGTACCAGTGTTGTCACTGCCGTGAAAGCTGCTTTTTATATTGTATTTGTGGATTGAATCAAACAATAGCTTGTAGGTCTGGCAGCTGTTGTATATTTTTGAGTTATTTCTTCTTTTGATCAAGTAGTTTTTAGTATACTTGAACAAACTTAAATTAATATAGACTAACAAATTAATGTAGATTATGTTGAAAAAGTTTGAGAGTAGGATGAATCTGAAATTTGCAATGAAAAAAACGATTATTTTTGAGATGAAATAAAACCCAGATATTAGAGAGGTGGATGTATGAACAATCAATAATGCCAAATTGTTTTTCAAGTACGATTTTAGTAGAAAATAGGTAATTGATATCGAAGAAACCATGCAAAGCAAATTAACATCGTTGAATACTTTATCTATTATGACATATAGAAAATCAGCTAAATGTAGTTTTGAGTTGAAATTGTCGATGATTCTCAGTATAAATTTCAGTATCATTTTGCGTATAGTGTGATAATACTCGAGGATTTTAGTTATATAATTGTGATATTACAGATATACAAAAGTTCAGGCACAAAATCTGGAAAAGAAAAAAAAAACCCACAGAAAACATCGTTGTATTTATATATTGCTCATGCAACTGCCAGTTACTGATGAAATTGTGTCGAGTTGAGTCCAAACAGAATACCAACGAGAGATAAAGGGATACTGAACAATGCTGGGGTCGATCTGTTGTTTTTGTGTGGTTAATTAATTATCTGCACTACAAGCAGCACCTCATTTCGCTTTGCTGTTCTTCTTTTTTTCATGTAAGAAGCTAATTAGTGTTGGGCAGCAGCTGCCTCATTCTTTCGCCCCAATCTCTCGCCGAGGCAAGTGTGTGCCAGCACCAGAGTCGCTGGAAAACCTCTTGCTGTGTTTTTGTTCCATCTTCCTGATCTCCTCCACCAGCAATCCCTGGGCTGTCCTAGGTCGCGTTATTTGACCCATCCCACCAAGTATCTTCAGTTTATCTATTGTCTTCACTCACCACTCTTTAGTCTGTGTTTCTCTCCGGTATGCTATTGTATGCATACCACTGCGCACAGTCGTGTGTTTCTGAATGATGCTGTCTACTCCGCAGACACGGATACATCCACCACCGGAGGTCTTCTTTCTGCGGTGACCACGCTTTTGTTCAGAATCTCTGGAATAACCCCAAAGGAAAGAAAGTATCTGCTCTTTATCTTATCTCCAGCATATATTTAATTCTATATTATATCGCATCATTTTGTCTTATCTTATTTTATACTATATTACATTATATCACAATGAGCGAACCCATGGAGGTGGAAGGTATGTGGTTTTCAGCTATGGCGGTCTCGTTGTGTGTGAGTTTTAGAATGAGAAATTACTAACTTTGATTTTAATTTTGTTTATTTACTTGCTAAATAGTTGAGCCCAAAATTGAAAACAAACCCACCAAGAAACTAATTAATAAGGACAAAAAGAAATTTGAAGTTAAAAAATGGACAGCTGTAGCATTTTGGAGTTGGGATATTCAGGTCGAGACATGTTCGATTTGTAGAAATCACTTGATGGAACAATGTATCGAATGTCAACCAAATAGTATGGGGAATTCATCTGAAGAATGTATAGCTGCTTGGGGTGATTGCAATCATGCTTTCCATTTTCATTGTATTTCAAGATGGTTGAAGACTAGAAATGTGTGTCCATTAGATAATCGAGAATGGAATTATCAAAAATACGGTAAATGAAAAGGAAAGGAAAGGAAAGAAAAAAATAAAAATAAAAATAAAAATAAAAATAAAAAGCTACACTATCTTAAATTTAATATACATTTATTCAATTAATTGATGAAGCGATCGTCGATTGTCGATTGTTTGTTTAGCATTTGAAATTGACAGCAGATTGATAATATTTCTCGTTTCGTTTAAATGATCCAAGGATCTCGAAATCAATACAATTCTCCTTCAATTCTTTTAATATTTCTAAATTATTTTCAATATTATTAGCGTTGTTATTAGCGCTATTAACATTGCTATTACTAAAAATTTCAAAGAAAAATACATATTGCCACTTTGCTAAATTGGAGGGACGGGAGTTAATTGTAGCTATATTTAGTTTGAATTTATTGAAGATTGTTAAGATTTTGGATAAAGAGCCAACTTTACTATTTTCGATATTGAAAACTATCAAGCTAATGAATTTATTACCAAGTTGGTAATCATTCAAGAACTTTTCATTGCTAATTCCATCATCATTACTAACTTCGTTATCATTAGTGAGGATTAAAAAACGTGTGGTGTTATTAGAATCGTCTTCGATGTTATTGTATAATATTGGAACGTTGTGAACTTGGCTTGATATGAGTGAACCAATGGCAGCACAATCATCTTGGTCTGTATTTTTAATTAACTCAGCGGCTTTTGACGTTGAAGAGGTGTCTATTTTTTCGAAATTTAAACCATTTAGAAATTTATTGCATTGTGTCCAAACCTGAGGATGTGTATATATTTTTTTAATCTTTGATAAATCCTTCTGATTAGTTATTAAATTATGACAAATTGTAACAAATTCTTCACCAACCACTCTAACTTTTTGTTTTAGAATCTTATTATGATTGTTATGATTGTTATTATTATTATTATTATTATTATTATTGTTGTTGTTGTTGTTGTTGTTGTTGTTGTTGTTGTTTGAACCATTTAATTTCAAATGCTTTCTTCCATTGACAATATAATTACTGTTTCCATTTAAACTTTTCTCTTTTAAAACATCGTTATTAGGTCTTTTTTTGATAAAATAATCACGGAATAAATCATAAGAAAGCACCACTGAACCATTAGTTGAGTTTTCAAATGGAAGAACTGAATAATTAATTTGATCTGTATTGTTGGCTATGACATTAAAGCAATCGCCTATTGTTCTTTGGGGGATATATTCAACTTTAAAATTTTTTGAAAATTTTGAAAATTTTTGAATCGCTGCTTGATGAGAAAAAGTTCCTGGAGGACCAAGATAAGCTACTTTTATCGTTTTAACTGTTTCTGGACTTGTCATGATTATAGAAATAAGCCAAAAGAAATAAGTAGAGCTATAGTACAATAAAAACACAAAGAAAACAAAAAAAAAAGCTAATATACAGTCTGAAGAAGAATCTGAGGCAAGGAATAGAATAAGATATGATACAGAAAGTGATAACCAGCCTCACAAATCTCCATAAATCATGTATCTGGAGATGGATGAGTCTTTGAAATTTCACTCAAAATTCTTTCAGCAGCAACACGCACTTATTGTTTCTCTTCCGGAGACGCACCGGTGCTCCATTTCCGCGTCTCCGTCTCTCCACCTTCCACCTCTCCGTGTTGCTTGCTGCAATAGCAAGCACATATTATTACCGATAGAAAGTGTTACTATGGTTGCGAACATGACAGAACTAGCGTTTCTTTCTGCTAGGTCGCGCGTTTTTTGCGCGACGTCTCTCCTTGAGCTCCCGCTGTTTGCGAATTTCCTCCGCGCTCCGAAGCTCTCTGCGGCCGGTACCAGCCTTGACAAAGCCCTTTACCGCTACACCACGGTCGACCGCGGACTCAACCTTCTTGCGCTGGGCCTGGTAATTGTCGCGGAACTTGTCGGGCTGTCGGGGTGCGGTCACCTTGCGGTGCTTGAACCGGCGGCCGTGGTTGTCTTCGGCCCCGGCGGCAAAAGCACCAGAGGAAGCAGCGTCGGTGTTTTCGCGCGCGCCGGCCCGCAAGCTAGCCCTGGAGATGTGCTGCTTCTGTCGCCACTCGTTAAACTTACCAGCCTTGTAGGACGCTGGGATTCGCTGGCCACTCTCCCCCGTAATGTACCTCTTGTCGGTAGACTTGGAGTTGATGTACTTGCCCTTCTTCTTGTCCCAGCGCATCGTCTGCTTGTTCACCTGCACCTTGTCGTCGTTGTCCAAGTCAAAGCGCGCGTCCAGCATGCCGTTCAAAAAGCCGCCGCTGGTGTTGTCGTTCACCGCCAATTGTCGGTCCTGGATGCTGGCCGTCGAGGGATAATGCGAGAGATAGTTGGCGTCTTTGAATGTCTTTCTCTTTTGCTTTTGCCTGTTTTGGTGCTTCACATCTTCAGCAGTTTCAAAGCCGTTCAACATGCTCTCGCCATCTTCCTCATCACCTTTGGCATTTCTTAAAACACTGTATCCAACTTCATCTCCCCCCACGTTTTTGCCTTGGAGAATCTCATCTTCAATATTGTGTGTTAGCCCTGCGATTCTTTCCTTTTCTAATAGTTTTTTCTTTTCTTCGGCTTTTCTTCTTATGGGTGCAATTTGTCTTCTTCTTTTGTTCATAAACTCAATCATTTCTTCATTGTTCTTATTAAATTCAAACACTGTAATCTTATTTTTCCGGTTTTGCAATTTTTGCAAAAAAATATCCTTTTCTTTTTCCAAGTTTTTGCCAAAAAGTAGATTTTGTTCATCCCAACCATTGTTGACCAACTCTTTAGATCGCTTTATCGATTCATTAGATGCTGCAACTCTTGTCCTCAAGTACAATTTCTCTCCCTTTTTAGACACATCTTGAAGAGTTTGCAATTCATAATTACTCTTAATTATACCATTGAAACTCTCAATATAATCTTCCAACTCCATTCTAGGCACAGACCCTAGCACCAATCTATCATTGTATGATACTATCGGTTCAACAAACTCACCCACGTTTTCATCTTCCTTTCCTTTTCCTTCTGCTTCCTCTATTCTATCCTTTAATATCTCGCATTTTTTCTCATGCATTGTCGTTAACAATACCTTTTTTCCCAAAAAGATCTCTAAATCTAATAAATACGGCAATTCTTGTTTCTCTAATATCGAATATGCCCACCCTTTATTACCTGCTCTGGCTGTTCTACCAATTCTGTGAATAAATATCTTAGATGAACTTGGTAATGAAAAATTTACAACATTGGATAACATCGGTATATCAATTCCTCTAGCTGCAACATCTGTAACAACCATTATATAACTTAATCCATAAGAAAACTTTTTAATTTCCTTATTTCTAGCCACTTGGTTTAATGAGCCATAAATACCAGAAATTATACTATATCCAAATTTAATCAATAAATTGCTAACATATTCAACATGATGTCGTGTGGGCACGAAAATAATAGTAGAATGCTTAGATATAACTTGGTTCACAACTGGTTTCCTATATTTTCTTTTATTATTATTATTCTTCTTATTGCTCTTATTATTAAATTTTCTATTTTTTTTTTTATCCTTTTCTTCCGATTCAAAATCAGATTCGGATTCATCATTCTCATATGCACTATTATCAAACTCTTTAATCCTCTTAATATCCTCCTCATTTGGAAACGGAACCTTGATAACCCTTTGCAATAAATACAATAATATAGACTCCTTCTCACTTTTCTTTGCACTTAAAAACGCCATTTGCAAATCATCAGAAATCTTAGTCTCAGAATCTAATCGAACTAAAACAGGATTACTCAACCCTGCTTTAGCAAACTCAACCAACGACCCTGGTAATGTGGCCGAAAATAACAACGATTGTCTATTCGAAGGCAACGCAACTAATAACTCATTCAATTGCTCGCTAAATCCCATCTCAAATAATCTATCTGCTTCATCAAATACAATATACTCAACCGTCTTTAAATCTAAACTCATCTCAACTTTTAGATGCAAAAATCGCCCAGGTGTGGCAACTATTATATCTGGATTACTTAGAATCGAACTAAATTGATCCCCCAATGAATCACCACCAACTAATAAAACACTTCGCAAATCCGTATTCTTTGAAAACTCTTTAACAACTTTAAATGTTTGTAGCGCTAATTCTCTAGTGGGCGATAAAATAATAGCTCTTGAACCAATTTTGGCTGAATGAACTTTTAATCTCTCCACAAGTGGCAAAATAAATGCTGCTGTCTTGCCCGACCCAGTTCTTGCCATTGCAACAACATCTCTCCCTTGGATAATTAATGGAATAGTCTTCCTTTGAATAGGCGTTGGTTGCTTATATCCTTTCTTGGATATATTAATTACTATGTTTTTAGAAAGTCCAAATGATGCAAATGACCCATTCTTGGGTTTCTTTACACTGGACGATGAATCAGCGGTAAGATTGGTGATTTTTTCATCTCCACTATCATCATCCTCATCATCCGATAAGTTAATCTTGGGCATTTCTTTTAAACCCAGGGTCTTTTTCTCACTCTTTTTTCTATTATCTTCTTTACCTTTATCTTTGCTTTTACTATCATCAATTGTCACCTTGGAACCAGCCTCACTATCTGAGTCTTCCTCACTTGAGGACTCCTCATCACTCGAAGATAAAATCTCATCTTGAATTTCAATCTCACTGTCACTTCCACTATCTGAATCACTATTTAAATTGTCAAGCGAACTCTCTGATTCATTACCAGATCTTACTAAATCCTGTGCAATATCAAACACATTCTCAATATTTCTGTCATCATCATCACTAGAAGACATTGCCATTTAATTGCCTACCTAATATTCTGTTCTATTCCACCTTCTGTGCGTGTTCTATGAATTTTTATTCCGATGAAAAGCAGAAAAAAAAAATTCACAAAAAATTTTTGAGACCAAAAATACGGTTCTATATTTATTTTTTTAGTTCGAGATGAAAAATTTAAAGATTTTGATGTTTACCAAATTTTATCCAAAAAAAAAGAAGATAATTGTAACAAAAAACACCCTCAAATGAATAATTACAATCTTGGGCTTTTGCACTCCTATCTATTGATTTTGAGTCCCTTTCAATCGTTTAAGGCTTTATTTCTTGATGGCGTATCAAATGTTGGTATCGAGAAATCTTTAATCGAACCAATATCGTTGATTTTAAAAGGTCAATCAAATCAAGTGTTATCACTTGAAATCTTCAAAGATTTATTATTTGATGAAGAGTTGATAAAAAAAAAGGTTGTTTTAGAGTTTGGAAATGATACAAAAAAACGTCTCAATGTCTGCTTTAAAGACTATATCAATGCAATCTTCGATAATATAGAAGAGTCCGATGATCTTAATCAAAACGAAAAATTGTTAAAGAAACATTTAATTTTAATTTTTGCAGTTTCTTTATTGCAGTTGTTTCTTCAATTAAATTTTACTGGTCCTAAAATTAACGAGGAAAAAGTTTCAGAGACAGTAAATCAATTTTTCAAACCGATTATTCATGAAAATGATAAATTGGCTGATCAAATTTCAGAAGAGATATCTAAAAGCTTGAATTTAAATGGCCAATTTATTTACGAATTAACTAACCATCCATTTTTGTTACTATTTTCTTTACATTTATTAGAAAAATTATCTTTGACCGAAAAATCCTTATTAATAAGTAAGGAAATCGATGCTGAATCGTTATCAACTTCGACTTTAATTAATAATAATAGAAGTGAAGACTCTGACAATGTTTTATTAGCAGCTTCAAACTGGTGGAGGTCTAGAGCCTTGCAAGTTCATATGTCTTTATTCTTTGAAATTTCCGGTCCACACGTTGTGGTTTCATCATTACTTTTAAACAAAACTCTATTGGATCCATTGATACATGAAATTAATAGAGATAATATTGCTGAGAATAAAAATAACGAATTAATTAAAAATTTATATGCAAGATATTATTTGGAAAAAGTGAGAAGTTATTTACAAGCTGAAACTGAATCATTATGTTTGAATCCTTTGGATGACTTGAATGATATAACTGGTTTTCAAATGGCATTGACTGGTGCAAAGGCTAAAAGAACAAAGTATCAGGAAAAATCAATAGCCAGCTTGATTTTATTAGCCCTATCTTCCAATGAGGATTTATTTGATGATTCCCATCTAATAAAGTCAAATGATAATACGATTGAAAATTTTAAATTAAACTCCGATTACATGTTGGAAAGACCAAAATATGAAGAAATTGGGGACAAAACTCTTATTGAAAATTTTAATCAAAATTCTGTTGACAGCGAAACCAGTTCCACTTTTTTTAATGCAATCCCTCTCCTATTAGAAAGTGGTTCTATTTCAGAGGATTTGAGAAACTTGGATCCAAACAATCAACCAAGATTGAATGATCTTGATAATATTCAATTATTATTGAGATTGGCAATTGTAAGACAGACATCTCCATCAAAAGATCCACTTGCTGAAGAAGAATTGTTGTCAATTGTTCAAAGAATTTTATTTACATCAGAAGAAGATATCAAAACAAATGGGTCCAAAACCAACTGGTTAATTTTTTCAAAATGTCTATGGGAAAGATCATTAATTGAGTCAACCAAATCTAAAACTTTGGAAAGAGGTATATTGCAAATGGAGGCATTGGTTGAGGAATTGGGGATGTCAATGAATCATAAATATATCCCTGAAATTGGAAAAAATAACAAAGATGAACAAGATTCTGATATAAGCGCTGAAAGACTAAGATTCGTTTATCAATTACCTTTATTACCAAGATGGGCAATGGATGTTGAATTAGCTGAAAAATATATGTCTGTGGGGCTAATAAAATCTTCTATTGAGATTTATGAAAGATTAAAATTAACTAATGATCTAGCCTTGTGTTACATGTCTATTGGACAAGAAAAAAATGCTGAAAAGTTATTACTTGAAAGAATTGAGAAAAAACCGGATGATGCTAGACCGTATTCAATTCTAGGAGATATTAGACAAGATACAACTTTATGGTTTAAAGCTTGGGAAGTTGGAAAATATTCTAATGCCAAAATATCTTTAGGTAAATATTATTATTACAATAAAAAACATAAAGATTTGGCAGAGTCTATGAAACATTTAAAAGATGCATTAGCAATAAATCCCTTGAAGAAAAACAATTGGTTTTTTTATGGATGTGTAGCATTAGAGGCTTTGGATTATGAAACTGCAGCACAGGCATTCACTAGATCTGTTGCAATTGATGACACTCAAACATTTGCTTGGTCTAATTTGAGTTCAGCCCTAGCAAACTTGAACAAAAATGAAGAAGCATTGAGTGCTTTACAAAAAGCCGTTAGAAGCATAAAAGATTCTAATAAAAGTGGCAGTAAACTCTGGGAAAATTATTTAATAATAAGCTCCAGGTTACAAAAATGGAACCATGTATTGATAGCTGTAAAACAACTATCAAATTTGAAGAAAGATTCTTTAGGGGAGAAGAGTGTTGATCTTCCAGTAGTTCAAAAACTTGTTGAGGTTTTGGTTGAAAAGCCCTATCCAACAAATGAAAATGAAAAACTTACATTCTTTCAAAAAGATTGTATTCAGTATGTTTGTAATGATTTACCCAAATTAATTACAACAAGTACAAGATTATGGAAAGTCGTTGCAAAAGTTGAATTGTGGAGAAAGAAACCTTGGGAGTGTTTGGCTTGTTACGAGAAAGCATTCAGAGCAGTAATACACGATCCTAACTTGTCTAGTGAACAGGACATATGGAATAAGGCCGTTGAATGCTGTGAAGATTTGGTTGCTTCATATGAATCTCTTGGTGAGCTTCCAGGAAAATATGGAGCAGATGATGTGGTTTGTAAAAATTGGAGATACAAGTCAAAATCTTCTATAAGGAGTTTGATGAGTAAAGGGAAAAGAACGTGGGAAGATTCAGATGGCTGGGAACGTCTTACAAAACTTAAGGAGCATTTGGGACTTTAAAAAAGAATGAAATGATTTAAATCGTTTTTTTCAGCCAAAGTGACAAAACTAGTTTATAATTTTTGAAACATCTATTATAATAATTCTAATAAAAAAAAAATAAGATTAAATGAAAAGAATAAAATAAAATCTCAATAGAATTCTAAAAAAATTGATGCAAAGTAATAGTTTATTTTTATACTTTTAAAGGTAGTAATGAAAATATGATCATAATTCCGATTTGGCTAAGTTAATAGATTTCCTAGAAGCAATTCTGGATAATTCAACTTCATATTCTTGTTCACTTTCAGACTTAGTTTCATTTTTAACTCTGTTCTTTGATTTAGGAACTCTAAGTAGCCAATAAAAGCCAGCTATAATGAAGAAATTGATGAAAATATAGCAAATAAAAATACCAAAGTTTCTCCACATTTCGCTATAAACACAGTTAGCTTTCTTAAGATATGCATTAGTGCTTGACATGATACAATAGTGACAATAATCGGTAGCATTCCCATCCACTAAATATCCGCCAACAACAGAAATATAAGGTGTCATATATTGTAAACAGGTATAGCTGGTAGGTGGTTGAAATATTAACAATTCTGAATCACTACAAACAACAGGAGCATTAGCCAAACTTGCCGACATAATACCTTGGATCAAGTATGTTAATGGCGAGACCCTATACATCCATTTCCAAAATCCAGGCATAAAATCTGGTCCAGCTAAAACACCACAGAAAGCCAAACACATAGTGAACAAAATTGTGGTTAAAATACCAGCAGTTTCTTTACGATCCAACCCAGCAATGACTGCTTGACCAAAACTAAGACTCCAGACGTAATACGTTATTGAAAATAACCAAACTAGTGCTCCTCTCTCAGCAACTGTGTCGGTATAGCTAGCATTGTGGTATAAACCAACAGGATAGTACCAGCAGAAGAAAGCAATGGTACCACATAAGATATTCCATGGAATTTCGCCAGTTATTTGAGCCAAAATGAAAGCAACCCAACTGAAAGTTTTTGATGGTCTTTCTCTAACTTCGTATATTTTTCTTTGAGTCACAAAATTTTCGAACATTTGAAAGTTCAATGTTATAAAAATGACAGTATACATGAAGATTGAAAGCATTTGATTCTGCAAACCTTGTTGAGATCTGCTTGCATTGAAAAACGAAAAACCATTGAATAATTCGGAGGCAATCGTTAATAGGATTTTTGACCAAATATACATTGGTGTTCTCCAATAATGTTGGAAAACTCTTATCAATACCTGTTTATACTGGAAGAATAGTGGCGCTGCAAATTCTTTAAGTAGTTCATCAGAGTCGTCAACAGATTTTTTAATCAATTCTTTTTCCATTGACTCTAATTCTCTCAATACTTTTTTGTGTTCCTCAGAGTTGGTCCAAACATCAAAATAATCTTTATCAGCATGAGACCCTGGAGCACTTCCAATCACATCTAACATCCATTCAGCAGGGTTAGCTTCTTTGGGGCATTTTTTGTTGCTATATTTTTCAAAGTAGTTAACAAGAATATTGCATTTTTCACCCAATTCTCCAAAATACACAGTTTTTCCTCCAGCCTCTAGCAAAAGCAAGTTATCAAATTCATCCAATAAAATTGCTGATGGTTGATGAATAGTACACAAAATAGCCTGGCCTTGGTCCGCCAATTTTCTAATTAATTTGCAAATGGACCAGGCAGTTTCTGAGTCCAAACCAGAAGTTGGCTCATCTAAAAATAAAAGCAAATCAGGTTTTGCTGCTAGTTCGACACCTATTGTTAATCTCTTACGTTGTTCGACGTTGAGACCTTCACCAGTAACACCAATGATTGCATCAGCGTATTTTTCCATTTCTAAAGTGGAAATAACACTTTCAACATATTCATCCTTTTCTTCTTTAGAAACACTATAAGGTTGTCTCAAATATGCACTGAATCTCAACGCTTCTCTTACTGTCGAAGTGGTGCCATGTAAATCTTGCTGTTGAACATAACCAGTAGATCGCTGAAATGATCTATCTCTCAAATGCCCATCAACAAACATATCGCCATAAACGATACCCATCGTCACTCTATTTGCAAGAACATCTAATAGTGTAGTTTTTCCGGCTCCCGATGCACCCATTAAAGCTGTAACTGTTCCAGGTTTAACCCAACCACAAACATTGTTTAATATTCTTCTTGTTTTACCCTTGATTTGAATATCATAGCAGACGTTCTTCCAATGAAAGATTCTATCACCACAAGAAATTTTCATTTTCAAGCCATCAGAATCCTCAGCTTCTGTTATGACTTTTTTTTCGTTTATGTTTCCGGTTTCAATATCATTGGAAGTGTCAATTTTTTTTTGCTTTCTTAGTTTTCTTAAAGTCCTTTGTTGAAATAATAAAATCTCACCTTTTTGTTTTGCACCTTCATTATATTCACAAATAATTAGATATAGTAAAAGGAAAACCACGATATATGCAATAATAATTCCAACATTTCTCCACTTGTGTGAATTATGATAATCAAAAGCTATTTCAATATAATCATCACCATTAACGTAGTTTGAACCAAGTTTTGCTCCAACTGAGTTGCAAACATGATTCAAACTGCCTAAAGTATCATAAGTCGAGGTTGAGGGAACATTTAGAGAACATGTGTAATTCATTCCATGGAACTCATTGGCCATAATTGATTCAAAAGTATATGCTAAAGGATCAATATAATTTATCCATCTTGACCATCCAAGCATGTAGTTAGTTGGAATAATAAAGCCCATAAAGATTGTAATAGCCAATAACAAAATTGAAGCAGGGGACATTGCTTCATACAAAGTTTTAGTGCAAGCACCTATACATCTGAAAATATGGGACATGGCAAATGTGGACAAAATACCAACGAAGAAATAAAAGAAAAAATGGCCAGCTGTTCTTCTTAAGTTAACCATAAAGTAAAAAGGTATATTGAAACTAAGTGCAGTGAGAAGTTTATTGAGTAGTTCAGAGATAATCGAGGCTAAACCATCAGCAGCTGGATGATATAAAGCATAACCTTTGTGTTTTTCGACGATTGGTCTTGCTTCATATAAGGCAAGGATTTCCAAAATAGAAGCAAAAGCATTAAACAAAATGGCAATAAATAGAGCAGCCCCACGATAATAAAAAGATCCTGTATCGTTTGGTAGATCGAAAAATATAGAGCCAATAATTAACGATATTGCAAAATTACCACCAATATTTACAAGAGAATATCCCATGTTATTCCGAATTCTTTGAAAATTACGAATGATAATATATTTAACTTGCATCCAAAACGAAATCATGTATGGGGATTTTTTCCTTTGGAGTTTTGTTTGTTGAGCATAATGTCCTTGAACAAAATCAGATGAAGCTTGATTGTTATTTTTGTTTCTCTCGATATAGTCATCAACTTCTAAGACAAGATCTTTATACTGTTGAGAGTTTTTCCAGTAGGTTTCAAATTCTTGAGGAGTCCTGGGAACTTTATTTTCGTAACCCTTTTTAACAATTCTTTGAGCAGGATTGGTAAGTGAAGTTAAAAAGTCAGCAGTTGTTTGACGTTGGGGGCATTCGTAACCCATATTGAGGAAAAATGCTTTAGCCTTTTGGGTTGATCCAAAATAGATTTGATAGCCCTCGTATAACAAACAAACTTTGTCGTATAAGTTATAAACTTCAGTTGAACATTGGTAAATTGAAACGAGGGTTGTATAATTCAATATATCAGCTTGGGTTCTAAGACATTTTGTAAACTCGACAGCATTTGCAGCGTCCAAACCTCTAGTACTATTATCCCATAATTGGAAAGGAGCACCACATAACGAAGCCTCTGTGATACTTAATCGTTTTCTTTCACCACCAGAGATGCCTCTCATGAACTCATCACCAACCTTTGTATCCTTAACTTGAGATAAACCATACATTGCAAGATACACCTCGGTCATATGTTTAGCGTAAACTTCTCTTGAGATTCCAGGGATTCTGTTTCTTGGAGCTCTCATTTTGACAGCCAAATTCAAAGTTTCCCAAACAGTCAAATGAGGAAAATGGATTTCTGTCTCTGCATTGTAGATAACTTCACCTCTGAAATTTTTTTTGATATCCTGTTGGTTTAAACCGTCATATGTGATTATCGATTGGTCATCGATTTCGAAACCATGAGTTCTTCCGGCAATTGATTTTAGGAAAGTACTGCAACCAGCACCAGGTCTACCTAATACAGCTAAAATTTCACCTGGATAGACTATACCATCCATTTTTTTTAAGATATCAAAGTTTGTTTTAGGAGCAATACCTGGGATCAAATGGACAGTTTTATCGCATAGTTTATATATAAAGTTGCCAACATTTGTTTGGTAATCGGCATCAGAAGCAATACCATGGCTTCTCAAGTTTCTCCAAGCGACACCTAAGGTTAAGGGTTTATAATAGTCTGGGTCCTTATCAGTGAATCTTCTTAGATTTTTGACCCAGTATCTTGAATTGAAATTGGGAGAATTGGGATCTAATCTTTCGTCAATTTTTTGAGTGTTAAAAGTGGAAACGCCAGGAACTTCTGATTGTTGAGACATTGAGCTCAAAGTTTTGATTAAATTTAGGTCTTTTTTATTGTGATGAGTGGTAGAATCTATGTTAGAAACATTGGTAGGCATACTATTATTAGATTGGTTTGTTAATTGTCTGGCTAATTCGTGGATTTTATTTCCAGTTGTCTGATCAAAACCATTGTAGGCTTGAGTGTGGGAATGAGATTCTTCGGAGTCATTAGTAGTTGAGTTACTATTAAAAAAGTCTTTTTGTTGTATTGATATAGACATGTCGTCATTATTTGAAAGCTTATTCTTTTGAACAATCATCCTTGATTTATAAGATTGAAATTATAATATAATAATGCACAGTATAAAATTGGAAGATAAATATTGAAAAAAAAACCAAAAATTGAATCCAAAGAGCATGAATTTATATCATTTTCAGTGAGTTTAATAAACTGGGTGTGGTTCTAAAAAGAAAATAATAGTTGAAAATGCATTTAGCTTCTGGGTTATCTTTAAAATTCTAGCTCATTAATAGCTGATAAAAGTATTTTGTTTTTGCCTTACACTGCTGCCAAAATATGGTTGAATACTAATGGAAAGCCCAAGTAGTATTGGAAAGTCAGAAGATATTGACAACTAGGTTTTCAAAAAACAGCAGCTGAATATTCGAGCCTTATTGGGAAAAGATTCAAAGCAAAAGATGCACAATTCATAGTAACAACTAACAATTTTGATGTAAAGACTGATATTCGCTGTGATCATATCAGTTAATCATTGCTTCTGGATAAGTTCAGGAAACCTTATAACGAGTGTTTTTGGCTTCTAGCAGTATAACTGCCTTCACATGCTAAGAATCACACAATGGAAGATTGAAAACCCGAAACTGTTCTCAAGCAAATAAGGTTCAATTGCAAACCATCCGAGAGCATTTGCTTAAGAGCTGAGCAGCTCCATCAAATAGTCACCCAGAAGGCCTTTGGGCCTCTCTGACCATGGCATCGCAACAACGTCGGATGCTCTCTGGATCCTGTTAGCAGCTGGAAAACCACACATACCGAACCTTGACCATCCAGAAGCAGCAGCAGACCCAAAGAACAAAGCAGAAACAGCCCAGTCGTTGCTGGAGGCCTCCACCGGTGTGGCATTTTCGGCTGGAAAGCACCCAAACACGACAGAGGTTTCCTCTCACTCTCCAGCAGCGGTTCCACCACAGTTTCCGCGACAAGATCCTGCAGCCGAGCAGAAAGACAAGCTTTGTGTCATGTGAGGCGCGTCACGAGAACCTCAGCTGCTGTTATTACGTATTTTGTGCGTGTGTGTACAGCTACAAACGCGGCGCCGCAGAGATGGATCGTAAAGCTCAGACCGAAACAAGGCTCGTGGAAAATTCTAGAACCGTCGAGACAACTCTCCTCCAGAGCAAGGGCCGGTTCTGCAGTGGTCCTTTCTTTTCTAGAACTTTCGAATCACAACAAGAAGATTATCGCTTTGCTCTTCACAACTGGTATAAATACTTTTGCTACTTCCAGGATGTTTCTGTCTGTTTTTCTTCTTCAATTCATTAAGTGTTTATTAGATATTTCTCTTTAACCAAATTATAGAATTCTATACTATAACACAACTTTTTTTTGTTAACGCTAGTTTAATCAGTTTTTATAACACATTTACAATATTCACATCATGTCTAAAGCAATTGGTATTGATTTAGGTACAACATACTCCTGTGTTGCTCATTTTACTAATGATAGAGTTGAAATCATTGCTAATGATCAAGGTAACAGAACCACTCCATCTTATGTGGCATTTACTGACACTGAGAGATTGATTGGTGATGCTGCCAAAAATCAAGCTGCTATGAACCCCAAAAACACTGTTTTTGATGCTAAAAGATTAATTGGTAGAAAATTCAGTGATACTGAAGTTCAAACCGATATGAAACATTTCCCATTCAAAATCATTTCCAAAGCTGGAAAGCCAAATATTGAAGTTGAATTCAAAGGAGAAACCAAAGTCTTCAGTCCTGAAGAAATTTCATCAATGGTTTTAATTAAAATGAAGGAAACCGCAGAAAGTTATCTTGGTGGTACAGTCAAGGATGCTGTCATTACCGTTCCAGCTTACTTTAATGATTCACAAAGACAAGCTACCAAGGATGCTGGTTTAATTGCTGGAATGAATGTTTTAAGAATTATCAATGAACCAACTGCTGCCGCTATTGCTTATGGTCTTGATAAAAAAGACAGTGGTGCTGGCGAACACAATGTTCTTATTTTTGATTTAGGTGGTGGTACTTTTGATGTCTCCTTATTGTCTATTGATGAAGGTATCTTTGAAGTTAAGGCTACCGCTGGTGATACCCATTTAGGTGGTGAAGATTTTGATAACAGATTGGTCAACCACTTTGCTAACGAGTTTAAGAGAAAATTTAGAAAAGATTTAAGCGGCAACCAAAGATCTTTACGTCGTCTCAGAACTGCTTGTGAAAGAGCAAAGAGAACTTTATCCTCTTCCACTCAAACATCAATTGAAATTGATTCATTATATGAAGGTGTTGATTTCTATACCTCAATCACTAGAGCTAGATTTGAAGAACTATGTGCCGATTTATTTAGATCTACTGTTGACCCTGTTGAAAAAGTCCTTAAGGATTCCAAATTAGATAAATCTCAGGTTCATGAAATTGTTTTAGTCGGTGGTTCTACTAGAATACCAAAAGTCCAAAAACTTGTTTCTGACTTTTTCAATGGAAAACAGCCCAATAAATCAATCAACCCAGATGAAGCTGTTGCATATGGTGCTGCCGTCCAAGCTGCTATCTTAACCGGTGATACCTCTTTCAAAACCCAAGACTTGTTGTTATTGGATGTCGCTCCATTATCATTAGGTATTGAAACCGCTGGTGGTGTTATGACTAAATTGATTCCAAGAAACTCCACAATTCCAACAAAGAAATCAGAAATCTTCTCTACTTATGCTGACAATCAACCAGGTGTCTTGATTCAAGTATTTGAAGGTGAAAGAGCAAGAACTAGAGACAACAATCTTTTAGGTAAATTTGAATTGGCTGGTATTCCTCCAGCACCAAGAGGTGTTCCACAAATTGAAGTTACTTTTGATATCGATGCCAACGGTATTTTGAATGTCTCAGCTGTTGAAAAGGGCACTGGTAAGTCTAATAAAATTACTATCACTAATGACAAAGGTAGATTATCAAAAGAAGATATCGACAGAATGGTTTCTGAAGCTGAAAAATTCAAAGAAGAGGATGCCAAGGAATCTGAAAGAGTTGGAGCTAAAAACGGACTAGAATCATACGCATATTCATTGAAAAACACATTGTCTGAATCAAAATTCAAAGAAAAAATTATTGAAAGTGAAAGAGAAGAATTAAGCAAAGCCATTGAAGAGACCATCAAATGGTTAGATGAATCACAATCTGCTTCAACTGATGAATACAAAGACAGACAAAAGGAATTGGAAGAAAAGGCCAATCCAATTATGATGAAGTTCTATCAAGATGGTGGTGCTCCAGGTGGTGGTGCTCCAGGTGGCGGTGCTCCAGGTGGTGGATTCCCTGGTGGATTCCCTGGTGCTGGCCATCCAGGTGCATCATCTGGTCCAACTGTTGAAGAAGTTGATTAAGCTTTATTTTGTTTTTGTTAATCTTTTTTTTTTTTTTGTTATTTCTAAGTTTCTTTCATTTCTAATTTCGTCGTTCTATGGTTAAGTTTTAAAATTGGATTTTTGTTTACCTGTAACTTGTAATATTTTTAATATATAGCACAATTAATATAAATATGACTCTAATTGTTACATGTAGCAAATTGTAAAATATTGACCAACCGGTTGACGGCGCATCCATTGTGCTGGTGAGTCAGGGTAAATGGTCGGCTTCACCTTCGTTGTTGAGCGAGTTTTGAGCAAGCATTTGCCTGTAGGTTGCTGCGAACTTGACGGAAGATAAGAAGCAAATATTTGGTGCAGCAACGTCGGTTTAAGAGACGCACAATCTTCAATTTTTGGGTAGTTTCTCGAAGGTGCATCGGTTTGGCGTGTGATTGATGTAGCTCTGCAAACTTCTGACTTTTTTCCAACACAAACAGCACAAATAGTGGAGATTCGAAGCAAATTAGCTAAAAAAGAAAATACAAAGTAGAAATCTAGAAAGAGAAACGAAAAACGAAAATTGAAAATAAAAAAAGGGAAGACAAAGTAGGGGCAAAACACTTGAAACTGTGTGAACATGAAAACATAAAAGCTCTTACAATCCCAGTGTCCGATTCCAAATCTATTTAACTATCCATCTTGAACCTGTGTATCTGTTCATTCACCACCCAATCCACCAACTGTCAATTGCACCTGTAACTCACTACCCATCTCCACACAGACTGCCAACGCAAGCAAACCGGCAAAGTTCAGCTAACTCACCATACTCAGCAATGTCAGCAATGCCAGATGAAAACCACACCCACTTTGGCAATGCACATCTCACAACCAACACAACCATCAACAGCAACAATGGCAGCAACAATGGCAGCAACAATGGCAGCAACAATGGCAGCAACAATGGCAGCAACAATGGCAGCAACACCGGCAGCAGTCTCTTTTGCTACAACAGCTATGGGGATATGTGTGTGACGCTTGAGGGCTTGAGCAGATTGTTGTCGCAGTTTCTCCCTGACTTCCTGCTGCTTTATGGCCCAGTTTTGTTCACCTACTCGTTCAGCACTGGAATCAGAGTGGTCAAAACCCCCAATCTCTCAGACGACGACCTCCAGTGTCTCCAGACCATCTACTCCAACACACCACTATACTATGCCCCAGACAACAGCAGCCACAGAGGCAACCGCAAGTGGATTGGGTCTGATTTGCATTTTGTGCCAACAGCAGTGTACAACTGGGTAAATCCCACTCGACCAGTGATGGAGTTGGATTCCCAGTCAGAAGGAGAGGAAGCAGACAAGGAAAAGCAAGAGCAAGAACAAGAGCAAGGGCAAGAGCACGACACAGGTTGCAGACAAAAGCTGAGCGAGACACACCAACACAAACAAGCACCAAGTGGTTGTGCAACGCCTTTGGGCACAAACAGAGATCTCTGCGACACTCCACCCACAAACCACACCAGCCCTGCTACTTCTGTTGCTCCAAGCGACTTTGACGACGACCTGGTTTGGTGATTCTCAAATCTCCCAAAGTCTCATTAAATTTCATCAAATTTCATCAAATTCCACTAAAGATGGCGGTCTTAGACTCCCAATTCTAGATTTATTTGAAACAAAGACTTAAAAAGACAACTTTAGTACTCCTACCCAAGTATAATAAGAAATGCTTAAAACCAAATCCCACCAATGGCATATCAACAGTATTAAGGATTGCAAAAAAATCAATTGAAAACCAATTAGAAATCGAGTTGGTTTATGGTGAATGTATCTCATCAACATCTCCATCTTATCTGTTAATGTTCATGCGCCGATACTTTTTACAAAACCCAATATTACTATCTGATTATCTTCATCTATTAATCACTGAAAAGATTTATTACCCCATATTCCCATATATATATATATATATATCATGCATTTTTTTTTCCAGTTTTCCAGTTTTTTCCAGTTTTTTCCATTTTATTACATATATTCTATTTCTGTCTGTCTTATAAATGATCTTAATTCTTAACCACCACAATTCTTATTTTTGTTTCTAATACAATTGAAAGAGCACTCCACCAACAGAACGCATCGAAAACATTACCTTTTGTGTTTGATCAATATAAAGAATTTTTGGAAAATGTTTCCAGTAAAAATTTTAACTCCCAAAAAGAACTCCAATTGAACTTTCACAATTATTCAAAAATGAGTGAAGCATCGAACCATAGATATCTGATTTTGCAAAATTTAAAACTGTCAATATAATCGAAACTATCCAATTTTTTTTGACTTCATTTAGAAGCAGTTGAAACAAAATGAGATAAAAAAAAAGAAAACTTTTGGACTAATAAATATCCTATCAACCAAAAAAACCATTTAGAAAAATATGAATAAATCTAGTCATATTCATATTAATACCATTCCTTGATTTCCATAGATACGAAATCAATTTTTTGTCAATCCAACTATTCTTCGATTTTTTCACTTTCAAGCCAACTGTTGTAATAAATAAACTATTAAAAATACCAATTTTAAACGACCTTTCAATCATCCTGTTTTACCGATTTCAATACACTCACCAATAGAAAGAAATTTAAATAATATTAAAATTATCTTTGAAGATGACAACTTATATTCTAGTAACTGATTTTTTGGGGGGTTTTTTCCCCTTGAAGATTTTAACAACTGAAAACAGTAAGCAAAATTATGATTTTTAAAATTTCTTGTTTATAAAAGGTATTCTATTAAATTTGCTTTTTTATTCGTCATATCTTTGCTTTCCAACTTCCAACTTTCCCTTTTATTCCCGTGTAACCAAAATCCGGTTTAGTTGATCTGGTTTTTAGAAGCTATTTGAATATGTTTCTTGAAAGTATCACTTTTGATTTTAATTTTGATTTTGATTTTTTAATACTGATTGAAAAATATGCACAAAAATTTAAAATAAGCTATAAACGTTTAAGTTTTCTACCAAAGACTCTGAAATGAAAATTTTACTTTATAATATCCTTTAATTTTTCCTAATTATCAAATCCAAACGAGGTTATAAAAGCTGCTTTTAAAGCATTTAGCCTATTAGATCAGTATTACCTTTCAGTGGCCAATTGACAGATCGAACCACTGTTACTTTGGATATGTATTGGGACGTTCAATAAAGATTGGTGATGAGATGAACACAAAATTTGAAATATATTATAATTTTCCGGTTACAAACTGCAATTTCATATTAACTGTACAAATTAAAGTGATTTTTTTTTTCTCGGATTAAAAGCCCACGTTTGACTTATCTTAAAGTGTTATCAAATATGTTTAGATAATATAAGAATATGTATTAATATTTTCTGAGTGTTCTAATTATCGTAAGTTTGCCCACAACCTATATATTAATACCGATTGGCCCTTTAGTTATCTAAGTCAGTTAAGGATATTATTCAATCAAAAAGTAAGATAGGAATAAGTAAAAAAAACTCATTTTCAAGAATAATGTTATAAAAATAGAATACATCAAAATCGCCTTTTTATATGTATCAATTGTATCAATTCTGAATAAAATAAATATCCCATGAAAAATTTGAATTAGACTTGTTATAATTTACAAGAAATGCTGTTAAGAAGTTAATGTAAGTCAATACACTGAAGAAAAATATTTATCTCTAATCTTAGAAAAGGCATAAAAGATTTTGTATAGTCCCATTGCTATCAAGAGAATTGTATAAATTCAAGATCCCTTCCCATGTCCATTTTCTTTAATTCTACTAAAGCTATCCACAACCACTTCTTCTTTCCATCATAAATTAACCACACAAAACAAAGCATTTTCTTTAACATCAACATGAGATTTTCATCCATTATTTCTACCGTCACCTCGTTTTTAACCCTATCTATGACTGCACCTGTCCCTGAACCTGCTGCTGTTGCTGAAGCTGACGCTAAGTATTGCAAACCAATCTGCGTTGAAGCAGAAACCAGTGTTCCTTTATAAAAGCAAAATATAGTAAGAGTTTTTTTTGTCCATCGGCCTTAGTTCATAATATTTTAAACTCGTCCCTTTTTTAAGACTGCCAAACACTTTTCTATGATTCTGAGACCATTTACCTCAACGGGTATATATATCAGTAACTTAATATAACACTCTTAAGCAAAGTAATTATATTGTAGGTTCCAAATCGGGAAATTTCGCAAAACACGTCAAAACGCGAAAGTAATAATCAAACATTTTCATGTATTTGCAAAATTGGAAATAAGTAAACAAAGCGAAATATCCGACGCGTTGCATTTCGCGTAACATTTAAATTATATTTCAACATATATAAATAATTATCAATATTTCCTTTTTTCACACACCTATTGCTTATAAATTTTCAAAAACTTTGTTGTCAGATCGATCATTAGGTTTTTGTTTTATTTCAGCAGACACTTCTGATTAGATATAACTTCTAAATGGCGACAATACTAAGAAAACGATCCTCTTCATTGGAAATAATTCCTCCACTGACGCCAAAAAAAATGAAAGGCTACAGCTTGGATTTATTAACACCATCCTCAACTAAACCATTATATCTTAATAAAATGAACATTAATTTCCAGCTCAATTCTGCTGATAATAACAATTCTAATAATAATAATAATAGTGATAATAATGATAATAACAATGATAATGATAATGATAATGATAATGATAATGATAATGATAATGATAATGATAATGATAATGATAATGATAATGATGACGTTAAAAATATAGTTCATCCCAAAATTATACACAATTTGCAAGATGAAAATTCGCCTTTTTATAACAACATAAGTGACTTGATATCATACTCTGAGCTAAAATCACCAAATAAAAGAATAACAAGAAACCAATCAAAATCTATAAACATTAAGAGTCCTTTATCAGACTCTACTAATACAATTTCAAATACCGGTACGCTTGTAACAAACAAATACATGCTTCCTCCAACTCCAATAACTGAATCTTCAAAAAGGATTTATCTGAAGCAAAAAAATTCAACTCCAAGAAAGCTAGCTTTTAAAAAACAAAACAAGCAAAGCGAACAAAAGAAAAAGAAAAAGAAAAATTTGAAAGAAAATATTAATAATGATAGAACAATAAAAAATGAAAATGAATCAACACGGTTGACTTCTGCCAAGGAGGAATCCAATCAACAATCAATATTATTTCAAAAATCAATTTATACAAAAGTTAAGCTGGTCTTCCAGAAAAATAGATATAACAAATTCGATCAGCCCGTAATTGGAAGAGAATCTCAATTTAATCAATTAAGTTCATTTTTAATTAACAATATATTGTCTTTAACCTCAAATTTCTTATATGCATACGGCCCACCAGGAACTGGTAAAACATATCAAGTCTCTAATTTCATAAATTATATGATTTATTTCAATGGTCTCACAAAAGATTGTGATAAAATTTGTTTGTATAAAAATACCAAAAAAAATTCTCAAATACCCAACATTAAAAAGATTTCTATAATCAGTTTAAACTGCATGGTTTTAAGTAACTTGACCTCTAATCCCAATAATTTTTTCAATGAAATTTTGAAACAGTTACAGATATCTTTTAGCAATAGCTCAACATATCCCAATTGTATTAAAAACTTGAAATTTGCTTCACCAAAAGATTTATTCTTAAACTTACTCTCTAATAGAAAATTTTCTGATCATAATATATTAGTTTTAGATGAGATGGATTTTTTATTAACTTCAAACAAAAATAGCTCATCTAACGGTGCCAATTCAAACAACAAGTTGCAACAATCCTTATTCGAACTCTTTTCTATTGCGTCAAACATATATCCTACTAGTTCAAGATTGATTATAATTGGAATTGCAAATACATTGGATTTGAAAGAAAAATTAATACCAAATAGATTAAAATTAAACGGATTGAAGTTGGAATTATTACAATTCTTGCCTTATTCTTCTGAACAAATATCTAAGATAATCAAAAACAAGTTGTCGGAAATATCAAAGGAAACAGAACTGTTATTTCACCCTGCTGCAATCATGTTATTATCTAAAAAATGCTCGCAAATAGGTGACTTAAGAAGTGTTTTTGACATTTGTTACAAATCAATTGACATTGTTGAAAATTCAACTAAAGACAGCTATTTGAGAAACGAAAATGATCTAACCAAATTTTATCAATTAGATATTAAAAATTGCCCTAAAATTAATATTTCTCATGTTGCCAGGGTATTCTCTAATTTGAAAAATGGCTCTATAAGCAAATTGAAAAATCTAAACTTCCAGTCAAAGATAGTGATTTCTTGTCTATTAAATTATGACAATAAAGTAAATGAAATCGTCAATCACCTTAATGATAGATCGGCTCTTATTGTTAAAGATGAGAAAGATCAACTTGATATATTGAAACTTAAACATAATCAGCAATTACTACCTTCATTGCTTGCCGATTCTAATACCTCCGCAAATAAAAAATCTTCCAGAGATAATTTAGAATTCAATAAAAACAAATACCTTTTACCAATTAGCCAATTTTACCGTTACTACAAAAAATTATTAAGAAACGATAAAATTATTTCTTCTCTTTCAAAGTCTGAGTTTGTGGAGATAATATCTAATTTAGATTCTTTAAGTTTAATTAACTTATCAAACAATAGTGAAAATGTGACAAAGTATTGCTCAAGATATGTCAGCTCTGCAGCTAATACAAAAGAACTAGCGAAAATAAGCAATGAAATTCCCTTCTTAAAAAAAATCTTATATAATAGTGATGACTTAGAAACTTTGACATGATATCTTTTTTTTTTTGTTTTACATTTTTTTGCATACCAACAATATCTGTGTATTAATTCCTATCTTTGCATTTTTCTTTAAAATACCAATAAATAGACAATTGAAATAATATTCGCTAACTAAAATTTTGGATTAGTTGATTTTTTAAACTTATTGTTTCTGATTGTAGTTATTGATCGCAATGATATTTTCTCCTGTCTTCTCTTAGAGTTTTTATCTGCAATCTTAAAGAATGTTGGTGCAACTTCAATTAACCATTTTGGCTCTATAGTGGTGATACAATGCATATACTCTCGAGAAGTAAATAATAGTGTATGATATACCACATATTCTACACCACTTTTACCATACAAAGAAGACCCTGGATGCATATAGACTGGTGTCTTTTCAATTAATGTTTTATAAACACCTCGTTCTTGAGAGTCTCTTTTAGCAGAGTTTTTAAAAAATCCAGAACATAATGTTTTTCTTATTCTATCCAACATGGATCCACAACTTACTAGTTGATGCTTGTATCGTTGCATAATTTTCAATAATTGATTTCTAATATCTCTTGCTTTTTTTAAACTCCTATCCTGTATAAAATTATCGTCGCACCATTTTTTAGAGCAATTATTCAAAATCCAAGAATTATAAATATTAAGCAAAGTAATATGATCTCCATATCTGTTGTTAAACTTTGCTTTCTTTTTTTCAACTAGGTCTCGTTTGTCCCTAGAACTATAGAAGATCTTTTGAACAGAAAGCATGGCAACAATAGTTAGCATTTCTTCAGAACAACCCATTTCAACGGAATAAATTAGGGATTTAGCTAGAGATGGATCCATAGGAAAATCAGCCATTTTTCTTCCCAATTTTGTCAACAAGCCCTCATCATCTAATGCTGAAAGATTGTATAGTTCCTCTAAAGCAGTTGTTAGTATGTTAACAGGTGGAGGATCCATAAACTCAAAATTCATCAAATCATTGATTCCCATAGCCTTTAACATCAAAATTGTGTGAGATAGATTTTGTCTTTGAATCTCTGGAATTGAATTAGGAATCATTTCGTTTTTAAATGCATTTTCTGTATATAACCGATAACATTTACCTGGTTGGGTTCTACCTGCTCTACCTGCCCTTTGTTCTGCTTGAGCTTGAGAAATTGGTGATACAATCAAAGAATCCATACCTAGTTTGGGATCATAAGCATTTATTTTCACAAACCCTGGATCAACTACATAAACAATACCATCCACAGTAATCGAGGTTTCGGCAATATTTGTAGCTATGACGCATTTTCGTGATCCTTCAGGAGTCTTTTCAAAAATTTTACTTTGCATTTCACTCGGCAAAGCAGAGTAAACTGGCAAAATTATTAACTCTGGTATTGATTTTCCCAACTTTTTAACCTTTTGAAATAGTATTTCACAACACGTCTCAATCTCTTCTTGACCAGTAAGAAAAACAAGAATATCACCATCTGGTTCTCTCAAATGGATATGCATGATTGTATCTAATGTAGCTGCAAAATAATCAAATTCTGGCTGTTTAGCAAATACTCTGTCAACAGGAAAAGTTCTTCCAGGAATTTTTAATATTTGACATTTATCAAAGTATAAACTAAACTTTTCTGCATCTAAAGTTGCTGATGTTATTATAAGTTTTAAATCTGGTCTTCTTTTAGCAGCTTTTTTCAACAAAGCAAAAAGCACATCAGTTGCAATTGTTCTTTCATGAGCTTCATCCAACATAATAAGAGAGTATTTAGACATGTTTGGATCTAAAAGAGCCTCTCTTTGCAACATACCATCTGTCATATATTTGATAATGGTACCTGGAGAAGTTTTATCATCAAAACGAACTGTGTAACCAACATCATCCCCAACATATGAGTGCCTTTCTTCAGCTACTCTTTTAGCAACTGATATTGCAGCAACTCTTCTGGGTTGAGTAATACCAATTATTCCATTTTTGGAGAATCCCTCCTCAGCCAAGTATTGAGGGATTTGTGTTGTTTTACCCGAGCCAGTTTCACCAACAATAACAATACATTGATGATATCTTATTGAATTAACTAATTGATTCCTCATTAGGAAAATAGGTAATGACTCTCTTTGTTCTTCAATCGATTTGTCTGTTTTTTTACCATATGATATATTTTGCTTTTGGTTGGCTTCTTTCCATTCAGAGATTGCATTGTTATTATTCTCATCATCAAAGTCATAATTATTACTTTTGCTAAAATTATCGATATTGAAAGTATCTTTATTTATGTTTTTAAATAAAGGATGCTTTTTAATTTCAATTTTATTTGATTCTTTTATTTTTTGATTCATAGTTTTCATTTTTAATAGTTTTTTTTCTTTAAATTCTGAGAATAGTTTTGAACCGTTTAGAGCAAATCGATTGAGACTTCCTTCAGGTTTTTTAATAATTTTCAAAGAGTTTAAATCATTTAAAGCAATATTATTTTGTTTTTGATATTTTTCATGTAAGAATGGGGGATCATCATTTTTTAATTCAATTTGAACATCCAATTCCTGTTCAATGTATTTAGAATTAGCATTAGGAGTAGAATTGTTTGTCAGAAAATGATTTGAATCTTCGCTTTCAATATCATTTTCATTGATGTTATACGTTTCAATTGACTCATCAATTTCATCATATAAACCCGCTGCTTTTAGTTGCTGAATTTCGAATCTTTCTTGAGAACTCAATCTCTTTTTATCATTATCAGATTTTATTGCTATTTTCTCAGTAGATCTTCCTCTATGAGAAATATAATCAGAGCCATAGTTATCAAATATGATTTCTTGACCATTTTCTTGATTAATATTTTTCATTGATAAATTAATTCTACTTCTTTCAGATAATTTGATCAACTTGACATAAATTATATCATTTAGGTTCAAAATTTCATCTGGATGGTTTATTCTATGAGTTGAAATTTCTGATACATGTAATAGTCCAACAGGAAAGTTTTTAATCTGTAATATTTTTATAAAACATCCATAGTTTTTTATATTTATAACTTGGCCTGAATAAATTTTATTTAGAACCGGATAATTTTCTAAACTCTGGTTGGGTTTATTATTGTTATTGGAATATCTAGGTGAAGTGTCAATTTTTTGTCTTTTTGAGAATTTATCGAAGTAAATATTATTTCCTGTGTTTTCATTATTCACTCTCTTGTGATCATTTTCAATTGGGTTTTTTTTTGTCTTTTCAGGGTTTTCAATATTACTCAGGACTGATCTATATTTGTTTCCAGTGATTGCATTCTTTGTCTCATTCGGTATATCCTTAGTTTTAGTGTCATCAATCTTTTTTTGGAATTTTGGATGTAATTTGTGAACTATAGCGTCTATCTTACTAGTTAGTTCTTCATCAAACTCAGCATCATTTTCAGCTAGTTTCTTTTTGAATTCACCTAAGTCATTCGAATTTAAATTGAGGTCTATGATGAATTGAGACAAAATTTTTACATTTTCGTCCTTGGAATCTAATTTCAAGTTTTCAGATAGTAGCTGCGAGACTTTTCGTGTTGTAAGGACTATTTTGATCTCATCCATTTATGTTATCTCTTGCAACTTCGATCCTATCCCACTCATTATGCTGAGATTTCTGGTGCTACAATTTGAGTTGAGAGAAAAAAAATACATAAATGTGATCGCGTGATTTTTTAGAAACCGCTTGTGTGGGAGCATCTTTTTTTATGACTGTCCGGATATAAAAGGTACATGGTAAAAAGCCCAGACTACTTCCTGCTTAAGCCTGCAGAAATCTAAGCGGTGATGAATTTCGGCCAAAAAGGTGGTTGGTTACGGTCCAGCCATGTGCTTGTAATCGGGAAAATGGCTCTTACACCAATAGGATACGCAACGGTTAGGTTCACTGTTTAAGTTGTAACTCAGTCTAAGTTTTCTTTTCGGGGAAATTTCACTGAAACTTCTCCAAAGTTCCTTCTTTGCATTTTTTCTAGAATAAAAAACAGTATTGGAAACTTCATTAACTTTTTTCTACTTGCAAATTAACAATAAAACAGCTATTGTTTATAGAAAAATGTTAAAACAAAAACAGTACACTTTCCTAATCTGGAAATTAAAGTTTGTTTCTCATAAATACATAAACATATAATAACTGTTTAATTCGGCACCGTTATTCAAAAGTGAACTCAAATTTAAATCGCGCCATCTATTTTCGATATATTGTAATGGTAGTTTTCTTCTAATATACATCATTTCAATCTTTTTCTTTGATGTGCACAAATTGTAAAATTTCTTGTTATAAAAGGATGAAAACTCAAAATTTTGAATATTTGGTATTTATCTTGCGAGTATGCTTATATATGCATAGGCACGTGTTTATATGTGGGCTTTTCAATAAGATTTTCAAAATTTGCTTTAATTTTGATAAAACATGCTTTCATTTCAAAATCTGGTAGGCGGTTTTAGAAAAAAACTTCCATATATCAGTTTAAATTTCTGTATAATTAACCTAAATGAATGATTATTTTGGATATTATTTTTTGGTTCTGTTATTAATTTCTTATTGAAAAAAATTGTTAGAAATAGTTTTTCTTTAAAAATAAGAGCTGTATAATGATATTAGTTTTCATTGAGATTTATAATTGAATTATTTTAGCTAAACCATTTGTGTAAAGAGTAAATTTTGTTTTTTCAGTAATTTTTTTTGGAAGAATATGAATTAAGGAGTTAAACTTTTCTAAATACAAATTTTTTGGGTATTAAGTTATTTAATTAGCATAAAAAATCGACCCATTTTAAAACAATTGATTTTCAATATCTAGCAAAGAATATCACAAATGAATTATTTTATTTAAATATATAAAAAAGGCGAATGCTCTACATTAGAAAATAGATATATATGTATATATTTTTTTTTTATTTTTTCTTCTAGTTTTTAATTTTTTCTCAATCTTTCAATGAAAACCAACAATACTTTAAGGAATACAATAACGAATGAAAAATACTAATTTACATAACAGAAAATTGAAA